AGTTTACTTGTGTATATTGGCTACATGGAAGTAGTGATGCTATTTAAAAGGCGAAAGCTGCAATGAGATTTGCTGCTGGTGGGCGTATAGCCATGTGGGTGTCCACTCGTATATATTAGCACCGTTGCTCGTAAATTTCCACGCCTGTCCCAATGACCTGAGCGTTTTTCAATTTTTGGGTAGGATGAGATGGCCGCCCTTCAGATACGTGAGATACGTGCGAAGCATCTCACCCTACCCCCACCCGAAAATCGAAAAGAATCTGCTTTGAAACGCTCACGTTATTGGTACAGGCACGGAAATTTATGAGAAGTGGTGATTATATATAAAATACATATTAAATCAACTTCATTGCTGAAGTCAATACTGGATGATTTCACGGGCTGCATTCAGTGAGTGAGAATTCTGTAATTTGGAATGGCGAGAGTCGGCAAAAGTTAAACGGTGGTATGGCTTGCAAGCTTAAAAGACAGACATGTGGCGGGTTGTATCAGCAATAACTATATAGCTGCAGATTGACAGGTATACCAAATACTGTTCGACCGTTCAGGGCCCCACAAGGTCCACCCATCTCTGGCAGAGGGCAAGCAGAACACTATATTATGTATTATGAAATAAATATCACTACACCAGTTACCAGTAATTTCATTTTACTAGTTTTGCCTTGACCAGATCACTGTGTGACCATATTACTGTGACCAAATTACCGTGTGACCGTATTACTCTGACCAAATTACCATGTGACCCTTTTACTGTGACCAAATTACCGTGTGACTTTTTTACTGTGACCGTATTACTGAGACCAAATTACCATGTGACCCTTTTACTGTGACCAAATTACCGTGTGACCTTATTACTGTGACCAAATTACCATGTGACCTTATAACTGTGACCAAATTACCGTGTGACCTTTTTACTGTGACCAAAGTTCCAGTGAATGAATTTCCTGTGACCTAATTACCGCGCCCCGATGATGCATATATCAGTGATTGGAACTATTTTATTCTACAAGTACACACATCAACAAAACAATATAAATACGCCATCATGACAATGCAAAGCACAATATGTCCATTTTTATCATTTCAGACTGACTGTGATTTTTTCTGCACTTTTAAATACTGTATATCTGAAAAACAGAAACATAACATGTATTTAGAGGTTATGTAGAGATTGTTTCTGAAAAATTGACCTGGATAGCTCGCATTTACTATTAACCTTTATTTAAACTTTCCTTTGGTGAAAAATATAAAAGAATTCTTGTCATACATAAACATGTAGATACAAATCATACATAAAAAAATATCTTAAAACTTGACCGACCCAATTTTGCAAATAAGGACTTATATTATAGACATAGTGTGGATTTAAGATTTAGATGTAATAGTCTATCCATGTGATGAATAAAATTATGAATAAGGCATTAACTTTATTTAACACTTAAATTTTTCTCTGCAAACCATTTCAAAATAAACACATTAAATGATATATATTTATCTTTCAAATATGTTGAACATTTTTATCCAATGATATGAATTGTGCTAGAAATTATTTGCCATAAGTAATAACATATATCCATTTAAAAAACTGTGATTAATACTTACAAATTACATGAGTTATATCAGATGAATTAAGGTTTCTGTTATTTCTTTCCTTTCTTTGAAAATTTTTTAACCAGGACTAGTACAATCACTGACACTCCAACTACAATAGCAACTTTTTTCAGAGTTGTATTATCTACTGCCATTTTAGAACCTAAGAAGGATTAATTTACTATGTGGTGTATTGAAATGATGTAATCTGTTCAGATCTTTATGAAGAAAACGATTGAACTTTGAGCACATCTGATGTAATTTTATTATCACTAGTGGGTAAAGGCCATTTTGTTATCTGTATTTTATCAGTGATTTAAAAATAGTGAATCTCTTTAGAATAAATATTAGATGGATTTGAACTTTAAAGACATACAGCAGATATTGAACTGTTAGGCAGCACAACATTGATCATTGCTATTGCAGACAATGCTCACCTGAACGCCACTGCACCACTTTGCAGCTCCTAAACGCCACTGCACCACTTTGCAGCTCCTAAACACCACTGCACCACTTTGCAGCTGGGTTTGTCAATTCATGGTTATGCTATTGATATCCTTACGGGAGTAGGTGGGGGTTCAAGTAGGTCACAATATTGTCAAGAGGAGGGGTGGGGGCATAGTTCTTCCTCTATATTATATGAAATTTGAAAGTTGGCTTAACCATAGCAATGCCACTGCCTTATGGATGTGAAGGATGTATTTACGCAAGAACTTGTTGCTATTAATGTCTATAGTCTGTACTGACTGAAAATTATTTTTTCAACTGAAATATGATCAGTGATCAAAAACGCATTTTAAACATGAATGACTGGTAAGCAACTACCATTGCAACATCAAAGAGGATATCACAGAATAAACTATATCAGTAAAAATTTTCTTCTATTATCAAATAGAGAAATGTTAGGTGGATTAGAAATAATAAAAAAGATTGATTTTTGTTAGGTAGATAATGTGTCTATCCTATCGAAATTTCCAACATTGCACAAGCCATACTAGTCTTCATCAGCAAAGTCAAGTGCAGATGAGAAAGAGGTAAATAGGTAAAACTCAGTTCATTTTAAGGTCAGAAACGTTTCAGATCTTTCATTATGCCGCCTGATGACCAATGCTCAACTATCTATCTACATGTGAACCTAGGGTTTTCACATTTTGCATTCCATGTGAACACATTGTAAGTTGATTGGCTAAAATTCATCCTCAAGTTACGTCATAAATTGGTCACCGCTTAGACACGTGTATAAATATGGGTCAGCGGGTCAATCATTCGCGTCACATGACATTGGCCTAATAAGTAATTAATGTCGACTTGGTTATTTTTATGGCCCTATTTTTATGGTAACTCTAAAGCCCAACGCAGACGAGGAACATTTCTGTCGACGAACAAAAGCATCGAACAAATATATTTGTTTTCCCTTATCTGCAGACGACAAACATAATTCCGCAGACGACGAACATTTAGCTCGAACAAAAGAATAAGCCAGTGCCACGGAAAATCACATGACCTCAAAATGGCGATGTCCAGAAGAAAATGTAAAATTGCGTAAGTTATTTTACTAATTTTAAAAAGACGCCAACGTAGACGGCGAAATAGGAGCATTTAGATCCGTACCTGGATTCAACGTCGGAAAGATCAGGGTGTGTTCGGCAACCGTGTAAATTTACCGGTTGTTTCCAGCGCTTGTGCTATTTCTTGCATCGCAGCGTACTTCTTGTTCCTATCTGAATAGTCGGGCGAAGAAATCATAAACAAACGGGCAGATTGCGACCACATATCTTCTAAAATCTGCTCCATCTCCACAGTCCAAAATTTTGTGTTGAATCAATGGACGACGCCATTTTGAGTGTCATATGGTCTGGCTTCGATCGCTGATTGGTCTTTCGTCGATGAATGTTCGGCGCTAATGTTCGTCGTTAACGCAGACGGCGAACAAAGAATTGTTCGGGAGGCGAACAGTTTAAAAAAATCAAACATGTTTGATTTCACGAACAATGTTCGTGTGTTCTGTAATCCGCAGACGGTGACAAAAATGATCGACACAAAATTTTCACGATTGTTCGCTTAAAATATTCCTCGTCTGCGTCGGGCTTTAATAATTTAACAGTCTACATAACTTTAAAAATGTCGTCGTGATAATATAACAGCCTAAAGTTTATGTACAGTTGTAAATCATCATATTTCCATCAAAACATAAAAAACTTCCCTTTTTCAGAGTGAACACACTTTCCCGCAGTACGGAATGTAGGCTAATGTACTGGAAAACTTGGGCTACAATGTTTATAAAACATGGCCGACTATTTACCAGTATCCAACCATTGAAGAATCTTAATGGTTTGTGTTTGTTTATCAATTTCCACGGAGAAGAGTCGAGAGAAATTTTTGTCTTGTAATGTTTGTTTCTTAATTTACAAGGTCTTAAAGGGCCTAGTTATCGAACAATGTAGCAAGATCAAGATAAGAAAGTTATTTATTATTATATTTTGATTCCATGCCAAGCCAAATGACAAGTCTAAAAAAGTAAAAATAGCATAGACAACAAAAACCATTCCATATCCTCCAGAATTGGCTTACAACAATGAATTTTTGATCAATTTTTTGTGTACCGGTAGTCAAATGGCAGCATTCTGAGGTCAAATTACATATCCAGAGTACCGTATATATCTATGTATATATTCAATGCATTGATATTGATAAGAAATAAAGGGACAGGTTTGCCATCCATTAACCAATCGTACCTTAGACTTAGTCTGGAATTTTTTAGTTATTCCACATCCACTGATGATAGCCTGACGGAGCCAAATCAGGTGAATAAGGTGGAGAACTTTGGGAATATTTTAGTTAAGCTAATCAGTGATAGTGTTCACAGCTCACAGTCGAAATTTAAGCCTTCAAATCCTTGTGTGTTTGGAACTATTATTTTTATTAGATTGGAACCGACAATATACTGTCAGGGGCTGTTGTGAGCCTGAAGGTGTGTGGTACAGATAAATTTCTTTAATTTAAACAATATTTATTTCTCAAAATTATACATATGTACATTTGCAAATATATATGTCTGACCGATTCAGAAACAAGGGTGGTGAATAACCACATCCACTGATGATAGTCTGACAGAGCCAAATTAATCAGGGGAATAAGGTGGACGTTGGAGTAGTTTATTGATTTTGGCCATTACTATCAGTGATGAGTGTGCTGGAGCATATTGTTGTAATTACATAATCCTTGCAGTCAATACAATACAACAATCCTCTTGTGTATTTTACTGTACTTGATCAGTCTATTGCCACCACAATACCATACTCCTTCAAAGGAAGACTCACAACTCGTATTTTGAAAGAGTTTTGTATAAAATTTTCAGACAAAAACTAATACCTATATGTGGATGATAAATTGCTTTTTGAAACAAAAATGACAACAACTGAACGCAGAAAGTTACAAGATCTTAGAGTATGTCGAGTTTTCTTTTCTTCTCCCTTTGGTGGAATGGAGGTTGAAAGAGAGATTTTAACCAGAAAATATTTTCCACAAATCCATCATCTGTGTAATTCACACGGTGTCCAATTTGTACCAGTTGATATGAGATGGGGTATCACTAAGGAAGCAGGAGAAAATGCTCAAGTTATTAATATTTGTTTAAGAGAGCTAGATAGATCAGATATGTTTGTTGGATTCTTTGGTCAAGTAAGTTGATATGTTTGCTTATATAAGAAATTGTAAAAAAATATTTTTTATGGCAAGGCTTGAAAGAGATAATATTATCCACATATTCGCTAAACTTAAATTTATTTTGTTAAAAGAAAGAAGCCAATAGCGGAGCTGATATACAAGTCCTGACCTGTGTATGACCTAAAATAGGAGCTAAGCCTGTTTCCCAATCCATTTCATAATTTGATAAAAGTTCAAAATTTGAAATTGAGCCCTATATATTCCCTTTGTTATCTTGCATTTTGAAAATGCTATAGCTCCTTCAGTTTTCAACCAACACCTGTCAAAGTACATATTTTGTATTTATAGAGATATGGTTGGCATGGGAAAGAAGATAAGTTATTACAACAGAACTTTGATAATGCCATGGGTAGATATCCCTGGATTGATGAATACAGACATCATAGTGTGACTGCGGTAGAATTTATGCATGGTCATTTGAATAATCCAGGACTACATCCTGCTTGTTTTGCTTTTAGAAATAAGGTAATTGTGAATTTCAATTTGTATATTTAGTATATTTGATCAAAGGTATTTATGCTCATCTCGGTCTGATTTAAAACAGAAACATGATCATCACTGTATTTATAGATCATATACTTGAAACTATGCAAACTTAACATTGTGTTGGTAACTACTTCATACTACCTAAATATTGTATGATATAAATGATACTATATATACTAGTCTTGTTTATTGTTTTCAATCAGACCCAAAGGTTCTTAATTATTTTTGCTTGATTATAAAAAAGAAATGAACTATATTTTATAACAAGGATAAAATCTTATGTTCACAGTTAAGGATCCTTTTTCCCAGCTGGTCCTTGGCCAAACCTCTTGCCATTGATATTTCCCGGATTATCCTTACCCAATAACAGCTGAGTCGACTGGAATTATGAGTTAAGATGACTTGTTCAAGATTGAACTTTCACCCGCCAATCAGAATTAAAACAAACATCCACCATTCACTCAACGTAACCAAGCAAATGACATCATTTAAAGAACCAATGCTCTAACCGACTGTGCTATATAAACCACAAATTCTATAGTCTTTGCTACATTAGATATATAGATATAATTCTGTTTTAGTTTGCATTTATACCAAGGTGTTGAAATTTCAAATGTAATGCTTTGTCAGCTTGTAATCAGCTGTAAGGGTTGGTTTTGGCATTTAAGATAGTATTTTCCAGATAACAAATCAGGGCAAACAATTATGATATAAGGCACAATTTTGAATTAAAAAAAACCTTCTACAGTACAATGTGTACAATCATACGTTTTAACATCTTAGTTTAATGAAAGTGCAAAAACCAGAGACGTCTGATTAAATATTGCATTGGTGCATATTGATTATATCAGTGTCCCTAATACACATAAAAAGTTTAGAAAACCTCTTTACAATCTCTTTAAACTGTTTTTCTTTACTCCCTTACTGATATGTAAATTGAATTGAAGGATTATGATGATAAATTGAAAGAAGAAGGACTAAAGAGAGATGATAAAGTTCAAGTGTATAAATACTCTAGTGAAAGTGACTACGCTAATAAAATGTTGGAGGGTTTAAAACAGGACATCATTAAATCAAAAGACAAGGTTGGTCTTCTAATAATTTTAAGATTTTTATCCTACTTCATTGCAAGAACAAATATAAAATTGCTTGGAAATATGATCATTTTGAGTTTTTGTACTTTATGTTAACTTTTTGATTCATAGTTTGGTCTGTTTCAGAACATATGTCAGAACAGTAGAATATCTGCTTTTGAACCCAGTATCAATTTTTTTTCTGTTTTAAATTTATAAAAAAAAATTTTTAAGTTAAGAGATTGCAAAAATATAGAACTTTAAATAATAACGATATATGTCGCCGTTGGCACAAAATACAATCTAAATACTATCTAGAAAAATTTCGAACATCAAACGAAATTCTTTTATTTTTCAGCTACTTGGTGTCCATGTGGATTATAATGACCCAGAAGAGGTTAGTTTTATATTTATCTTTAATAAGTAACTTTTTTCTGTGTAATTCTGTATATAATATTTTGGTTATTATAGGCCAGATTATTATCTGAAACTATATCAGAGCAATATTATGTTGTTGGGAGCTAGGTTATTATTCGCGTAATATTTTGTTTTAGGGAGCTAGGTTATTATTTGAGTAATATTTTGTTTTAGGGAGCTAGGTTATTATTCGAGTAATAATTTGTTTTAGGGAGCTAGGTTATTATTTGAGTAATATTTTGTTTTAAGGAGCTAGGTTATTATTCGAGTAATAATTTGTTTTAAGGAGCTAGGTTATTATTTGAGTAATATTTTGTTTTAGGGAGCTAGGTTATTATTTGCGTAATATTTTGTTTTAGGGAGCTAGGTTATTATTGGAGTAATATTTTGTTTTAGGGAGCTAGGTTATTATTTGAGTTATATTTTGTTTTAGGGAGCTTGGTTATTATTTGAGTAATATTTTGTTTTAGGGAGCTAGGTTATTATTTGAGTAATATTTTGTTTTAGGGAGCTTGGTTATTATTTGAGTAATATTTTGTTTTTAGGGAGCTAGGTTATTATTCGAGTAATATTTTGTTTTAGGGAGCTAGGTTATTATTCGAGTAATATTTTGTTTTAGGGAGCTAGGTTATTACTGGAGTAATATTTTGTTTTAGGGAGCTAGGTTATTATTTGAGACTATATGGAAGTATATGACTAAAGAATTACTGGTCAGAGATGAAGAACTTACAGAAAGTATGAGACAATTAGCTGAACATAATGCCTACCTATCAGCCAGAACATCTATATATCTACAGGGAGATGAATATATAATTAGATTGGATGACGCCTTAAATTCAAGTATGTATCAACAAGATTAAGAAGCTGTTTTTTTTTTTTTGAAATCCAGATTATTTTTAGTATATTATAATTTACTTGTCTACATTCTCAAATTTTCATCATACAGACAGATTATTAATATGAACTTTGCATATTTGTTTGAGCCTACTTTGATTTGAGGTACATGGAAATATAACTGACACTGTTATAATATTTTAATTATTTATGATTGTAGATGATGCTCCACCATTTATTGTGTTAGGAGAAGTTGGTAGTGGTAAATCTGCCTTGCTGAGTAATTGGATTAATAACCATAAATCTGATGATAATGATAATGTTATATGGTTATATCATTTTGTTGGGGCAGCTTCCGGTAGCACAGGTAAGTTCATATAGTCAGCCAAAGATATTTTTGCTCATCCAGGTCATCTTCAAAGCATAAACAAGAGCAGTCCACTTCATTTTAGGGTAGACTAAATATAAATAGATACTATACAGACTTAACTTACATTGTGTATATTACTTCGTTATCAACCTAAAGATAAAGTGCACTTGTCAAGTTGATGTTTGAACTTTACTTGATAGGCATAAATATAATATAATAATTTATGTAATATTCTGATATCATTTTGTTGATGCTTTAATTAGCTGTCACTATTGCATTTTACAATATTGATAATTTATTTATGAAAGACATTTACAATTCCACTGTTGATAAAATGAAATCCAAGACTAAGTCTGATAATCTTTATAAGACATTCTAACAGGAATTACGAAGCATCTGGTATAATTAATATAGGCATACGAACCTAGGGGAATACTCTGCAATAATGCTTTATCCTTTTGTCCTTTTCAGCCCCTAAACAGATTTTATCTCGTATTGTAAATGATTTAAAATCAGTTATTGAAGGAGAAAAAGAAAAAATAAACAAACCAGGTGATAAAGAAAACCAGCCAGAAGATGAAGGTGATGGTGTATGGAAAATGTTAGAAAAACTGAATTTATTATTAAGAAAGGCAACGCATTCAGAGAAGAAAGTTGTCATTGTTATTGATGGATTAAATAAAATTCAGCAAGCTAAGAAAATTATGAAAGTAAGTCGTTTCATGTGATCTGCCAGAAGTTAACAAAATTGGTCAGAAATATTGTCAGTCAAGCTATGAAAAATGAAAATGAAAATACATTGACTGGTATGCTAGTTATTCCATAAATTATTAATCTGATTTAAACCAATTCACATCACATGTTGTGGATAACATTAATCTTTTCACAGATTTGATTTATTTTCCTGTATTCTAGGCATATTACTGGGTTCCAAAACCAAAGGATTTACCCCAAGGCGTATTTATGGTAGTTTCTACCACATCCAATGATCAGGCAGCACATGATGTTTTTGTTGTACAGGAAAAGTTCCATGTTTTAAAAATCCAACCTTTAGAAGAAGAAACTAAGAAAGAATTGTGTGTGGTAAAAATTAGTTTTTATATAAACCTTTTTCTTCACTGTTCATAGATTTTGAAGATTTAATGTGAACACTTTTGTCAACTTTCAGTACAAGGTATTTAGTTTAGATATGCAATATTAAAAATATTACTGTTGGTTCTGAGATCTATTTATTTTAGTCCTGTTTTACTCAAACATTAGTCCCAGTTCAACTTGTGATCTGAAAACTGTCATGTGTCAAGTATACCAGTAGTAAATAGGTGTATTTAACCAGTAATTGCGGAGTGAAAGTAAAACTGGACACAGATAACAATTGATATCAACTATTGATTTATCTAATGTTTTATTGTAGAAATCGTTAAAAGAGAGTGGTAAAGAGTTATCCCCCCATCAGTTACAGAAGATACTAGATGCTAGACTAACTAATAATCCGTTATATTTGATGATTGTTTTATGGGTTGGTGTTTAAGTTAAATTTCGCATTTATTCTTTGAATCCAGAAAAAAACTTTCATGAGTTTCTTAGAGGAAAAAATAACATTTCTCAGCATTATTTCTATTTTGTTAGGCTTAAAAATCTTTTAAGACATAATTTTTTTGTTCTCAATCATTGTAATGAGCCAAATGCTATATCAACAAGCTGAATTTGAATATTTCATTGTTTAGGAACTGTCAGTGTTTGGTTCATTCCGTTTGTTGGATAGTAAATTAGATTCTCTGTTGCAAGCTGAGAGGTGAGTTATTTCTATAAAGTATTCGATGTATTTCTACAATATTGAAACACCATACCTAGAGATTCAATATTTTCAGACTAATAAGTTACAGCAATATAGTGAAAGCATTGTTCTTAAATCAATTGTCAATAACATTAATGCAGAAAATTTCAGCCACATGAATTTTTTCTTTAATGTTACACAAAAATAAAAAGTATAAACTCCACACAGTATCCATGTGTGATAGTAGAAGTATATTTTTATTTATTTATTTCAGTGTATCAGGACTATTTGTAAAATATCTAGAAAGATTAGAAGAAGATTATAATACTGATGAAACGGGTGATCAGTTTGTGCAACAGGTAATTTATACAGACTTTTACTACTTTAACATTTACTACCAAGATTAGTGCAAACAGGCTACCAGAGAAGAATTGCCCCTGGCAAACTGATATTTTTTCAAAAAGAATATTTCAGAAGAAACAGTTTATAAGATTATAGATATAGATAAACACTAACTATTATAGGTGATGTCAGGTATGATTCTGTCTAACAAGGGAATATCAGAGAATGAAATTCAAGCCGTATTCAACATAACATCACATGGTTGGTCTCCTTTAAACTTTGCCTTAGAAAAATTTACCATCAGCCATTTTGGTTTACTCAAGTAAGTTAATGATGTGTGGGGAAAATCTTTCTTATTACAAAATTATTGCAGACTTTTGTTAGTTACATGGTGCAGGGGTGATTTACTGTCAAAGAGATTTGAGCATAGCACCAAGTTTCAAGTCAGTCGGAGTGGTGAACATAGGAAAAGCGTCTTGTTGTTCAAATGGAACTTTAAATTCAGTTCTCATGTGCTCAAAGATTCAGTTTTTTGCCATACACCTTGAGTGTGGGATTCAAAAATGTTATAGCATCTTTACTTGTATCAGGGACACTTATTATGTCTCTTTGCAGCTTTTTCTTTTTTCTTTTTAATTATGGATAAAATCTTTAATTTCAGACTGGGATTCATTGAACTACACCAGGCAGTAGAGAAAAGATATCTAAATAATAACCCCAGGTACATCATCTCTTATATATTGAATACTGTATCAAAATCTTTCTTGGTTTTGATGTTAACATTAGTTTAATGAGGAAAATGAAAATTATGCTTAATAATGTGAGAATATATAGAATATACAGTAACATGTTAAATGAATTAAACACAATATCAAATTTTACTATTATATGAGTATTATTAGAAATATTAAAACAGAACTTGAAACAAGTTGTTACTTTGTGAAACTCTGAGTAACAACTTGATTCAATATCTGTTTTAATATTTCTTTTTCTATATCACTCTATAATTGTATTGAGCACTTTTTAACAGTAAAAATATTTCATTATTATTGCTTTGCGGATGCAGATGACAGAGCAATGATTTATTTTCAATGCTTTATTGTTCCTAAGGAAATAATATATTCTATTTCAGTTTTAAAAAGATGATGTGTGAAAAGTTGATGAAATATTTTGAAGAAAGAAGAAAGGTATGATTGTATGAATTAGATAATTCTGGAAACACCTGGATTTGAAGCCTCAAATTTTGACGTTGAGCTGTGAACACTATTACTGATTGGCTTGGCTAAAAATGTCTGTTTCTGAGACCAAAGTGTGATTGGTAAAAAAAAATGTCCCTTTAAGATTCTACAATATTCCATAGTATATAATTTCTATTTAATTTGTAGGAACTTGGCTCACTAGGTCAGGCTAATCTAAGGGGTAACAGTGCCTTAGATAGAATAGCCAATGAATTACCTTATCTACAGAAATTATTAGATGATAAAACAGGATTATTACGTACAATTGTTGATATACATATCTTTCATAATATTATTAGGTAAGTATAAGCTTAAATATTCAGAGTTATTGCCCTTAAATCTACCAAAATATGCCAATGATGCAGTTTTATTCTTTTGAGCAACATCAAGCTAGGTACACACACAATGTTAATAGAACATACAATGGAGTAGATACAATAGGTGATACATGTAGATTTTGTATCTTCCTAACCATCATAAAGAACTGAAGCTTTGGTAACCTGTTTGATTTCTTCGGGTAATGAGAATCTGTCCCTGGGTTAAGCTGGAAAATATTTTTATCATTTAGGACTAGCATGCTCATAATAACCCACAGTGCTACATCATTATTAAATGATTAAAGTATATGACAGCTAGTATAAGTTGTGATGCCTTTAGAATTCAGTAGCGTAATATTTTAAATCAACTACCTGCAATTCCTTCATCAATAAAATTAGTAAAACTTTATCATACTACCTTGATTAATCTAAAGTCTTCTTACTTTGTTTCAGACAAGAGCGATATGAATTACTAGACTTGGTTTATTTTACTGGATTTAAATTAGATAAAATTGCTTGTGAATTTCTGAAATCATTTGATCAACATATAGCCAATGTTTATATAAGAAGATTAGAAACTGAAAAAGAATGGACCAAATCACCCGGAGAAGCTGTAAGTTTTTTTTTATCATTTTTGCATTGGAATTTGAAATATTGGTATTTTCAGCCAATTTTTTGTCAAAAAAAATTACCTTGAGCGATGGCCATCTTTATCAAACAGAATGGTCAATGGCAATAAATTTGAGGAGTGTAACAATTTTTTGATCAAGTGTATGATCACTTGTTTTATAGTTAGTTTAAATAAATTGCAGTTTTCAATTGGTATTTATGATAGAACCATGATATTATTATATGATAATTTTAATGTTTATTTTAATAGTGTATGTACAATCTACGTAATATGGGAATAGTGATGGAGTTAGCTGGTAATTTTAAAGGATATGAAATAATATCATTAAGAACTATTCAGTTACTTGTAAGTATTTATTAGACATCAGACATCAATTACTTATACTGTTTTTAACTGTCATTTTTATCAGTATGCAAAAAAGTTCCGACAACTAATTAGATGTTACTGTGTCAAAATCTCACAGAGAATAAAGTAAAGAAGAATCTCTTCAGATCATGTATGATAAATGTAGTAACATGAAGAAACAACTAGATATGCATGGGAATCAAACTATGTTGTGTTTGTAGGAGAATTTAGAAGGTAAAATGGATGAAGTAAAAAGATCAACAGAGTTAATGGAGGCTAGATATTATATGGCTTGTAATTACGCTGATGCCGAGAAATACACCGAAGCTGTCGATTTACATAATAAAGTTATTGATTTTCTCACCAAGTAGGTTTTTTAAAAAAAAAAATATTTCCCAGATCTTTGAGCTGAGCTTCATGTTAAAGGTATTTCAACAATTGAAAAAGATTAGGCCTTTTTTTTATAGCTGGCAAGTCTAAATGTTTCTCCATGCATAATATGAATCAGCATTTGAGCTGAGACTTAGACTTTATGCACTATGGGCTCATCATGTTATAGATGTCTCAACAATTGGATGGAAAGCAATGGGCAAAAGTGGGTTAAATGAATGAGCTATCTTAATTTAAGAAATTAATTTTTTTTTGATAAAAATTCAATATATTATATTTTTATTCATTCATTAATTATGACTTAATTTACATATTGGACATTTTTTTTTACATTAATTGCTTCCAGTCTGTTTTATCTTTTATATTATTCTAAGTTATCTATAGAACTCAGTCTTATCTGCTCTTATTCTTAAGGTTTGTTTGCGGTGGGGGAAATGTCAACAGAGGTCTGTAAAATAAATGTTTTGCACTTAAAAAAAACATGAAATATATATTTATTGTAGAATAAGTAAGGAAAAAACCTTAACCAAAGATCAGCGGCAAGTTTTAGCATTTGCTACACATGGCATTGGTGTGGTTTATTTGAAGAAAAAGGATTTAGAGCCTGTAAGTAATTGTTGGTTTATGATTTTTCTGACTAGTTTGATTTCATTGGTGCACTATATTTGCACTGGTGCCAGATTTTCACTTTCACTTTCACTTATCTACTGAAATATTGTCTCAATGAGTATTGAAACTAATAAATATTTCTTCTTTACCATAAAACTGATGTTGGTATATAAGAAAGTGATCCAATATCATTTAGAACTGGACACTTTATGTGGATAACAGTAAATTGCAACATATCGATGATGATACTATCATCTTTATCAGGCAATGTTATAGTTATTCATATTATTTTGTCTAGTTATTCATTCTCCAATTACTAAATGCCCCTTCAGTATCTTCAATGCTTTCGTTGCAGTGTCGGAAATATTTAGAAGATTCTGTTAAAATTCATGAAGAGAATGATGATGAGAATAAAAAACGTCACATAGCAGAAGCTAACATTAATATTGGTCTAGTTGATCTTTACTCTAGAAATTATGATGCTGCTATTGAAAAATTTCAGTCTTCTTTAAAGGTAGGACATGAAAGAGAAACCTTAGAACAAATTTAAAGGTAAACTCTTGTTCTGTTGATCTTTCTGTTGTATAGAATTATTATATTCCCATGGCTTAAGAACTTCCAGCATTCTAAGAGGATTCAGACCCACATTAACGTATCGCCTATCCATAATTTGATATTGTTGTAACTAATGTAGCTGAGTATAAGAAGAATAAGAGTTTATTACAAATCCTGTATAATGTGTGGCTTAGAACATGGAAAAACTTGGTTGACTTTATTAAAAAATTTTTAGTACTGGGTTTTGAATATGAAACTTAAATCTGCAATGAACTTGTCAAGTGGAAAAGACCTTTTTAAGAGTTTAAGAAAATTGGGAGAGTAATTTTAAGATTTTATGCTATGTATCTATGATTCATTATTTATCAGGCATATGAAGAAATATATTTTGGTCAACAACCCCATGAATTAGGTAATTTATACACAAACATTGGACTAGCTTACAGAAGAAAATCTGATTATGATATGGCAGAACAGATGTATAGAAAGTAAGATAAAGTTGGACTTATGACATTGGGTTTAATAAGGATGCAGTTGATCTTGTCTGTTTAACAATGCCTTTACTTTACTTTTGAAACAATGAACAAACTTCAAAAGTGTTTTTTTTTTCAATATGTATTTTAATTCCACCCAGACCACTTGTGCTCCATTTTCACTTGGTTTGCACTACAGCTACTTTAGACATCTGGCCCTGGGGATAACAATGTTAGGAACATCTTTTACTGGACTATTTAAGAGACAGTCAGCAGCAATTCAGTTATAATAGTATTATAATAATATTATGTCACAAATATCATTTTCATACGAGGAGCCATATTTTGTGAATTTTTCATGCTTTTTCTTTTTAAGTAGGCCTTTGCGATGATCTTGATGAGAAACAACGCAGGCTTAATTGAAATACTTTGATATTGATAATTTTTTTTAAGGTCTTTGGTAATCAAGGCTAATGCTGTAGGTTGGGACAATCCAGTAATAGCTGTAACTTACATGAATCTTGGTACATTACAAATGTTCAGGAAGGATTATGAGAAAGCAAGAGAATATAATCAGAAGTGTATTGATGTTATAGAGGTGAGAACATAAATTTACTGATATATTGAGGGAAATAATGTTGTAAATATAGTGGAGTGAATGCCAGGATAATCCTTTAGCATCTTCCATTCCAAAGGGTTGAATGACAGATAAGACAATAATCCAATGCATGTGTGCCACAAACTGTACACACTAAAAATCACAAAAAAGGTTTCAACTTCACCAAAAATTCTTTTATATCTGAAACTCATGGGTCATTGGATTGGCTGAACTTGTTTCTGATCCAAAACATTATTGAACATCATATTTTCTTGAGCTAGATGCACTCAAATTAGGGGCTCTCTTGTTTACAAACCAATTGGTTGTATTTTATACCAAGATAACTGAATATATTGTAGAAAAATCACCGTAGTGAGGAAGATATGTATTATAGAATGGCTCTGGAGAATATTGTTCAGTCGTATGTCAAGGAAGAAAGATTTCATGACGCTCTTCCAGTCTACAGACGCATGTGTAAGTTTCTACACATAAATTTTACAATTTATGAGTCTTGTTGGAAATCAATTAAGTTCATTAGTAGATATTTTAAATATTTCTAGTTTGAGGTATATTTGAAAGGACTATGAAATTCTCTTACACTTGTAGTATTTCTGAAAACTAATTAAATATATTATGTAAATCAACCCTCAAAATTGTTGCCCTATATTTACTAGTGTTGATGGACTTACATCAACTTTGCCTTCTGATACCTTACCTAAATATGAACTTTATATTTAACAATAAGAAATGTGAATGTAAAACAAAACTAAATTAAAAGAATAAAAGAGATAAAAACTGTGCATTATACACGCAAATATACAGTAATTAATGGTAAATCAAACCTTGTAAAATTATTGCAAACTTCCATGTGAAATAGAGCTCTAGTAACAGGTAACCCAATTAATTACTGGACTGTGTTATTAAAAAAGAAACTTAAACCAGTTAATAAAGATTACAGTTTATATTGTATTTATAATCTTCAAATGACATTTAGAAGTAGATAGAACATTAAATAAAGAAGAAAGGATAATAATGTTCTTATTAATATACTGTAGTTGATATACTGGTGAGGTTAAATCAGATGAACAACTGTCTACCAGGAGCTCATCGTGCCATGATCAAATATCTCATACAGAAAGGAGAGCTAACTGAGGCTGAAGAAAAAACTATAGAGTTTTTAAAGAGTAGTAAAAGTAAACCAGATGATGTTCTATTGTTACACAGTATAGATATTGAGAAGCCTTCAGATCAACGTCCAAAGCGTCCCTACAAAATGACTCTTCAATATGCTCTTGATCAGTAAGTTTCAGCAATTAAGATAGCAAATCAAGGTTGTAATATTGCATTTAAAACAATGTTACTAAAGCACAGGCACAGGATTATGAATTAAGATAGGATGAGTTTACCCATTTAATGTGAATGTTATTTTTATAGTTTAGACAAATTGAAGCTTGGCAGGAAAATCAACATACATCTGAAATGAAATTAAATGGTGCAGTCTGATTCTCAGTGATCCTGATTAATAAATATTGTTTTAATTTGCTTGTTATAATAATAGTTAACTATTAGAAGTGATATATATTGTATATATTGTTCTTTTTCTCATTCAGAAAACCAGATAATGTTTTAGTTCGAGAAGCCTTCCTTCAGAGAGACTGTCTAAATAATGACAAAATTATTGATGAAAATTTAATCAACTTATTTGAGACCCATAAATCGGATGAAAAGTGGAAAAAAGTTATTTATGAGTTTGTACTTGAACACGATAGAGAGGATCTGTTTTCTAAATTGGAGAAAATGGAAGGAAAAGAAAAAGAAGCTGAAAATCCTGAATCCATGAATATAACAATTTGATAATATTGGAATTAACTTATTCTCTGCTCAATTTAATGATCTTGTTAGGAAGAGAATTTCTGAGATGTATTTTCATTTTGTTTGATTTGAACATTATTTATATAGCATCTAATTTGTTCTATTACAATGACTCAATCTTTTTTTTATGTAAAATTTAAAACATACAGGGTAATATTGCTTATTGAGTATTATGAAATTAATTAAGAAAATTGCATGAAAATGTCAAATTTTAAATTATCTAGAAATATTTCTTGAGTCTCAGATGTAATTTCTATTTATTAGTACTATTAGAAGAAGCAAACCTCTTTATCAGTATGTGCGGCTATGTAGGGTGTAAGAATCCTATGGTATTATAAGTCTTTGAGTACTTTGGGGCATATTATTGGTATAAATTGTTTAATATCATTTTTAAATAATTGTTTAACCTAATATCTATTTAATCATTATATTATAAGATTTTATATTCATCATATTTCCGTCCAAAGAGTTTCAACATATTGGCATATTTTGTATTTTGATGCTGGTTCAGTATCGTCCATGAATACTATATCAATTTTTTTTTTCTGTTGAAAATGCTAAAGCTTTAATTATTTTGAAAATTACTCATTATGAAGCCTATTTACATTTTTTAAGAACTATTTATATGTTTATATTTAATTTCTGTGATCTTATTGTGAATTTTACACAAACTTATGTTATTGTTAACAATGCCTTAAACACATAAGTATATAGTTCATTATTTTTATGAAGATATACAAAAGGTATATATATTTATTTTCATGACATATTTCAGTCAACAAGGCATCTTTATTTCTTTTTTTAATATTTATAAAAAGGTGTTTGTTACTCTGTTTTAAAAAGGGCATAATTGTTTATCTTATACAGGGTATTTCATTTCATCATCATGAAAGTAAAAGTTTTCTAGAAGAAAACATCTGCCAGTCATCAGCCATCATTGTACTTTTTTTTTTAAATACAAGTTCTGTACGCGTAGATATTATTGATAATGATGGTTCACAATTTGCAATTTAAACTCAGGATTTTATTGAATAATTTATCCTTATCTGTGATATTATATTTATAGTACATCATGGTCCTATTTAAAACATAAACAGTCCTTAGTATAAAAGTGCGGGCACACAAGCTGTCTTGGTCAGAGACTTTTGCTGCCGATTAGAGTTTCAACGACTGGCACGGGCACACGGAGACAAAAATCTCCAGTCGGTCGTTTTCCACCTAGTCAATAATCACATGCGGGGCATGCAATTGAAAGAAAAATGAATCTAATTGGATGATGACGGCCTGTCTTGCAGACGATAAAACTATTGGAGACAATTATCAAACTGGTTTGATATTATAAATCCTGTCGGCGACACAATAATCTTGTTGTGGAAGCACAGGCACTCAAGATTTGAGCCTGAGACAAAAATCACTTACCAAGACTGCTCGTGTGCCCAAACCTTTAGTATAATTACAATGAATATTTGATTTATTTAGTGTCAAATAAGGTCCTGTGTTTATGTTTTGAATCAGGTCGGGATGTGCTAGATTTTCTTTGCTCATTTGTGCCACATCTAGGACTATTTCAAGTAGCAGTCCATTTTGTTTTGAGGTAGCATAAATAGCAATTCGAATCAATACATGCCAGGCTTATGTTGTATTCATAGTTTTACAAACTAAAATGAAAGTGGACTGTTTATTTGATTGAAATTGTCCCTGGGGAATCACGACAGTGATATTATACAGTAGTTTTTTATGTTTTTATCAAAGTAATATTAATATTTGTTTAGCTTTTTGGTTGTATCTTGTTTGTTTCATTATATATTTATTTTATTATTTCTCGAGTGGTTTTTATTTTAATTTGTTAAATTGTATCATTTTTCTACACAACTGTGATCTTGCACATATTTTTTCTATAAAAGAAAATTGTATAACTTTTTGGTGTTATAAATGTCATAGAGTTTCCAGTTCACTATGAAGACACTGTGTGTAACAATTATTGACATTTTAAAAAGATTATTGACATAACAGTAATTATGAAATTTGGACAATCTCATTAAAATAAGACCAAACTTTTGTTCTGTTATTTATTAGCTTTTATTTTTAAAATAGCCACCTCAGTCAGGGTCCAAAGACAGCCTTCTTGAACATTGGTTTATTTGACACTGCCAGCCAATCAAATTCCTGCCTGTCACAAAATCACAGCATTGGAGATGGCAGGAATTTGATTGACTGGCGGTATAATCAAGACGGTCTAACTGAAATAGTTAAATTAAAAATAATAGTCTAATTTGAATTTGAATGAAATTTTTTTCACAATTTATATTTGTCCGAATGCTAGATGTGACAGAAAATTTAAAGATTTGTGGTAATTTGTGTTTGTATTTCTGTTTAATAAATTATGGATCATGTACAAATTTACAATATGATAAAATACAAGAAATGTACAAATTCTGATCAACAGAACTAAAGGAAAGATCCATTTCTAATGTTCTTAAACTTACAATTGTCTCCACACATCAAACAGTACATATAAATATAGAAAAAACAGTTCAACACCATTGATAAGAATAACATTTCAAAAATTCATCTCTTTGTGGGTAACATTTGTAGATCAAACTTTCTATTGATATAATTATAGATTTCAGTACTTCTTGCAGCAGAAAGTTTACCATTAATTTCTAGTACTTTAGCAGAGCTGAAAGAAAGATATGTATAACACATACAAGATATAGAAATAAATGGATCAGAAGTTGAAGGTCTTTTTGAAAATGATCAAAATATGGTCTACAGCTCTCAGTGTAGCATTTCCTTTTATGTCATATTCAACAATCAGACCATCTTACTTTGTATCTTACATAAATTGAAACTCTATTTAATTAATATAAACTAAAAATATATTTTTTTAAACTTGCAATATTTAGTAGTTTGACTTCTACGCTCAGACTTCACCATGATAAACACTCAACTTACCTATTCAAGAATTTTGACACATTTTTAAAATTAAATACAAAATTCACAGCTTGAATGTATGTCACTTTTGGTATGGATAAATAAAACTTCAACATCTGAAAGAGAAAAATAATGAATATATACATACACAATATATTAAAAAGAGAGAGAAAAGGACAGGATTTCCCAAATATATGAAAGTCATCTCTGAATACCTCTTTATATGGTTCTAAATGTCTTACAAGGATTAGTATAAGTATGGTCGGTCATATTGTAAGAGTTATCTCCCTTTAGAAAGTGGTTGAAGGCCTGAATAAAGATATTGGTCAGTGTGTTTTATCCTTTTATCAAAGCCCTAATAGAAAACTTAATCTGTAACAGAAAAATTTTTTTAGGAATTTCAGCAACACAAAACTGTAATCAAGATCATTGGAATGGGATTGTGGTAGCTATAGATTACAACAGGGATGAAAACAACTGAAATTATAATTAGTTTGTTCAGTAACATACCTGTTGTTGGTTTGTATTAAGAGATAATGGTGTAGTGATAGACAGCCCTTTTTTACTCTCTAATTCACAAAGTTCAACTAATATATTACATGTATCTTCTAAAATAAAACAATATCACAAAAATATGATAACTATAAGATCTTATAGTAAATTAAATAAGCTAAGTTAATATAATGCTCCAGTATCGTATTACAGGCTAGAGACCCCATTATCCTATACTGATCTCTCTGAATGGTAACATGTTCATGGTAATATTAACTGAAAATGAACCCACCTTGAGAATCTGTAAACAACAGTCTAATATCACTCTGACTAACTGTACATATCAACTGATCTACATACTTAGTTCTGTGTCTGAAACAGTTCAATATTCAGTCCATATAAAATTTTAAATATCTTCAGATTAAAATATTATATATCACGCCCTGCTTACAGTTATCTGCTATTTAAAGCAACTTTCACTATAGTTTTTATTATTTCGGATGCTGGCTACTGAAATTTTGAACCATTAAGCAACTTGATCTCTAGACAAGACAATTATGATGCTTTGTTAGGTCATGCTATCTTCAATCTAGAATTCCCCAGGTGTTAAAAGCAAATTTATAATATGAGACAGAACACACACCAATAACCTTCTTACTACTTACAGTTTCCTCAATCTAGTTTTCCATGTTGTGATTTGACTATTGGAATGAAATTGGATTAATTAAACAAGTACATTTTTGGACATTAAAGTCCATCACAATAATTTGTTTTAGACAATAACAACTTACTGTTTTCTGACAGTTTTATCTCCAGTCTTGATTTTATCTGTTTCTATAATTAAACAACATCTATCATACAGTTCTTTCATCTTCTGTAATCTTTCTATAACTTTACTGTGATTAGATCCATTACTAAACTCTATAAGTAAAATAATAAATAAATACAGTTACAAATTCAAAGAGTTCAAAGGGAAGTGGTTTATAAAAGCTCTTACATGAAACATTGGCCTGCCGCCTTAGATATATAAATAAATTGGAAATGTCGAAATAGGCACAGTGTTAGTGTTCATATCATTAGTACAGATTTGAAATTTAAAACAAAACACAATTCTACTAACATCTTACATGCAAATCATTAAGTTTATCTAATGCGCTGTGGACTAGGCCAGTGTTTCCAAAGACTTGTCTCAATACAAATGATATTGAATTTGTCCTCTGCACTCGTGACTGTTGAAAGGAAATTGAAGTAATTACATGTGTACATACATTTTAAAGAGAGACTATGTAGACTCACCTGACCAGACTTGTCTATCTACAGCCAGTCTTGTAGACAAGATATAATCACAATAACTCAACTGGCGAACTTCTACATTTATATTATGTTTTATACGTAGATTAGAGATTATTTCCTGTAAAATATATTGGTAAAATATATATATCAAAGTACTGTGATATAACAGGTTAAAGTATTAGAGAAATTTCTGTCTATTTGTCTAGTTATATAGATACAAATTTGATGACAATTGACTACAAGAGACGGTAAAACCAATGAAAGAGGTCATTTTTTGTTTTTATGATGAATTGAATGATTCAACATCATCTAATCATCTAAAAAGAAAAGGGAAACCAAAATAATAAGAATATCATTAGGCTACAAACCTGAGCTCCACTGATTTCTCTTGAGTCAACTAAAATACTTAATTTGGCTGTTTTCTTAGGCCAAGACTAAAACAATACAAATAGTATATAAAAGATGAACAAGGAATGAAAGATATGAATCTAGGAGAAAACACAGATTCTTATGTAAGAGGAATCTAAACAAAACCAAAGTACATCATCCAGAAAAAAAATTTTGCTATGAAGTTAAAATTTATTTAAAGATTAGAATTGACCATCAGACACTTTCAGCTGTTTCTGTACAGCTGAATCTACTTGAATAATCAATGTGGTACTGGAAAAATTGGCTAAAAGTGAAAGTGATAAGTTGCAGAGTGCCAGCTGAACTTTCACAGTGAACTATTTGAGCCTCAATATTCTGAAGAAATAACACACTGTCAAATATAAATACCTCTATGATGAAATCATCAATATTGCTATCACTGATAACAGTAGAACTCATGTTACTACCATTTACATTGTTTTCTTGTGTTTTAACAGTTTGATTTTCACTAGCTTTCTGTTGTTCAAGTCTGGATTTAAATTTTTCCTGTAGTTTTCTTTGTTTTTCCAGTCTTTCTTGCTTCGACTTCTCCTGATCTGATAAACATGTCTTACTAGTATCACTTGATTGATCAAATACACATCTCTCCTGGTTCAAATTGGTCGATGGTGTTGTTTTCTCCACAGGTGGAGGTGGCATGTCATCATCCAAAAACTCTAGTTCCAGATCAAAGTTAGGAATTTCAACACAAGGCACAGATTTTGTAGTCACACTAGACACATTTGCATTTGGTTTACTTTTTGGAATATAATCCTGATTATTCTTATCTACAGAGTTGGTCTCTTTGGAATCTACACTGCATCTCTTAACCGAATTTGAGAACTTTGACTTTTCACAACTGTTTATCACTGCCTTAGAGGTACTCTGTTCTTCATCCTCACTACTTGAAAAGAAAGCCCTTTTCTTTATTTTAGTCATGGGTTGAGAAGTATTGAAAGACGCTGTATTTTGAGTTAAGGGTATCACTGGTCTCATTTCATCATCACTGGATGATTGAGACATCTTACGTAGTCTCTTCTTTCCTTTCACTTCATTTAAATTTTGTACTTTTGATTTCTTTTTTGGCTTCTTTTTCTGTTCAATCACTGATATTTCTTCTGGACTTATTACTGGAATAGACATTGAGAACTGGTCTTATTTATGGTTGAATTACATGAACACATAGGAAGATCTAGTTAAGAATCAAAATTGGGTTCTAAATTCAGTTAGCAACTGTTAAAAATATCTATCAGAGACTGGTAAAAGTAAATGGGAATGTGGATATAATGTGTTATTCAGTTTACTTCATTATCCTTTCACTGAGCTAGAGGTTTAAATGGCTTCAATATATTTCTATTGACTGATTAAGTGTCCTTTAGTAAAAAATATACTTACACGAATCTTCATAATCATTATCAACACAAAAACTATCTTCAAGATACTCAGAGTTTTCATCTTGATTTGGTACTTGTGAATAGACATCATGATGTTGATAATTATACTGTAGTCTATAGCGACCTTTATTAATTGGACTTCGTACTGATTTTAAATACATAGCTTGCATATCTACAATAGAAAGTTAACAGTTAAATTCTCAACAAAGCTATAAAAAATTTGTGTGTTTAGGTGTGTTTTTTTTGTTGTGAAATTGAAGTGATGTCTATTGTAAATCCTGTACTAACCTGATTGATTATATGACTGTGTACAAATTGAAGTGATGTCTGTGATAAATCCTGTACTAACCTGATTGATTATGTGAATGTAGAAATAGAACTGATGTCTGTAATAAATCCTGTACTAACCTGAATGATTATGTGACTGTAGAAATTGAAGTGATGTCTGTAATAAATCCTGTACTAACCTGAATGATTATGAGACTGTAGAGATTGAAGTGATGTCTAATAAATCCTGTACTAACCTGATTATGTGACTGTAGAAATTGAAGTGATGTCTGTAATACATCATGTACTAACCTGATTGATTATGTGACTTTGAAATTGAAGTGATGTCTGTAATAAATCGTGTACTAACCTGATTGATTATGTGACTGTAGAAATTGAAGTGATGTCTGTAATAAATCGTGTACTAACCTGATTGATTATGTGACTGTAGAAATTGAAGTGATGTCTGTAATACATCATGTACTAACCTGATTGATTATGTGAATGTAGAAATTGAAGTGATGTCTGTAATACATCATGTACTAACCTGAATGATTATGTGATTGTAGAAATTGAAGTGATGTCTGTAATACATCATGTACTAACCTGATTGATTATGTGACTGGAGAAATTGAAGTGATGTCTGTAATAAATCCTGTACTAACCTGAATGATTATGTGATTGTAGAAATTGAAGTGATGTCTGTAATACATCATGTACTAACCTGATTGATTATGTGATTGTAGAAATTGAAGTGATGTCTGTAATAAATCATGTACTAACCTGATTGATTTTGTGACTGTAGAAATTGAAATAATGTCTGTAATAAATCCTGTACTAACCTGATTGATTATGTGACTGTAGAAATTGAAGTGATGTCTGTAATACATCATGTACTAACCTGATTATGTGACTGTAGAAATTGAAGTGATGTCTGTAATACATCATGTACTAACCTGAATGATTATGTGACTGTAGAAATTGAAGTGATGTCTGTAATAAATCCTGTACTAACCTGAATGATTATGTGATTGTAGAAATTGAAGTGATGTCTGTAATACATCATGTACTAACCTGATTGATTATGTGACTGTAGAAATTGAAGTAATGTCTGTAATAAATCCTGTACTAACCTGATTGATTATGTGACTGTAGAAATTGAAGTGATGTCTGTAATACATCATGTACTAACCTGATTGATTATGTGACTGTAGAAATTGAAGTGATGTCTGTAATAAATCATGTACTAACCTGATTGATTATGTGAATGTAGAAATTGAAGTGATGTCTGTAATAAATCCTGTACTAATCTGAATGATTATGTGACTGTAGAAATTGAAGTGATGTCTAATAAATCATGTACTAACCTGAATGATTATGTGACTGTAGAAATTGAAGTGATGTCTGTAATAAATCCTGTACTAATCTGAATGATTATGTGACTGTAGAAATTGAAGTGATGTCTGTAATAAATCCTGTACTAACCTGAATGATTATGTGACTGTAGAAATTGAAGTGATGTCTGTAATAAATCATGTACTAACCTGATTGATTATGTGACTGTAGAAATTGAAGTGATGTCTGTTGTTAATCCTGTACTAACCTGATTGATTATGTGATTGTAGAAATTGAAGTGATGTCTGTAATAAATCCTGTACTAACCTGATTGATTATGTGATTGTGTACAACCATCATACTGTGTTTCATCATTGATAAAATTACCACTAAGTTGTTGGTGATCACTATCATAACTCTCATCTGTTGATTCATCATCGTCTAATATATCAGCTTCATCTTCTATAAACATACATTTTCCTCCTCTCTCTCGTTTCTTTTTCTAGAAAAAAATATTATTTATACCCTTAACATTAATAAATATAATTGTTCATCACACCATTGTTCAATACATAAATAACAGAATTGATACACAATGGGGAAGCAATTATTTTCTATGAAGCATTGAGCATTCTATGAACTGTTTTTGTGTCCAACTGCTTTATTAAAAATCATACATATTAAAGTGCTTGGGAAAACCTTAATATAGTGCCAATAGAAATTAGAAGTTTGTACGAACAACTGTTTTACCTTTTTCAGTTTTGAAACTTTGTCATCCTTTTTTGGTTGTATTCTTATATCTGAAGCTGAAGAGAAATCAGGCTTAAAATATATCTTACAATAACACAGTCCGTAGTGAGTGAAATTGTTGTCTGCTGGGCAATTAATTGCTGTGATTCCAATCCTGTTATAAGAAAACTTCTGATGCCACAGCCAGAGCTTTTGAAAGTATTACTATAACAGAATAAGGTAGTCTTTTAATGGCCTTAAAAACTGCCAAAAATGCACTACCATTGGATAGGTGAAGAAAATTAACTGTGATAAATAACTCACTGTCAAAATCATCTTCCGAATCCTCTTCATGTCTTAAACTCTCTAAACCTAGAATTTTATTGACTTCATTTTCTTCTTCACTCGATATATTTAAAGGCTAGAAATATTGTACATTAATAATAATATTTTTATAGGATATAACTCAGTTCTTTTTACAATTAAATAACATAATAAAATCAAAATAATTCCAAAATGAATTCAAAATGGATTACTTTTGTCTTGCAACATTTTCACTGAAACTCATGATATAAACAAAGATGGGAGAATTGTAAGACAAGTCAAGAAATGGCATTTGTCTGGAATTTATTCTTGAATATAGGTATTTAATTAGTCAAAAGATATTCCTGATTACATTACTTACGTTTATTTTCTTTCTGGCTGGTTTAGTTGGAGTTTTAAATTCTGAAATATATAACATACTAGTATTATCAAGCCTGATAAATACTCTAATAACGTTGTTTGGGGTAGGCTCATCTTTCTCGGACACCCTACACCACTCTGCAACCTGTCAGAGTCCTAAATTAGATATTGTGTGTCAGTTGGTTGTATAAGTTATGTATTATTAACAATAAAATAACTACAAATTAAATACCTGGACTTTGTATTTTTCTACATCTCTTCCTTCTATTTATAACAAAACTGTCTTCTTCATCTGTAGATATTGTATCATTTATATCTACTTATAAATAAAATTAGACAAAAAGTAGACAATTTTCATGTTTAAAATGATTCAAAAGCTGTTTTGAAAAAGAATAGAAAAGAGCATGCATGGCTTAGATCGTGTCTTGGTAAATATTCCTTTAAATTGGCACTTTGCTAGATAATTTTAGCATTTCTGAATTGTTTTCAACCCTATTAGAATATAATATTGTTTCAATCCACCTGTTAATCATTAAGTTGTGGGTCTGTTGCACCTGTTAATCATTAAGTTGTGGGTCTGTCATGAATTAGTCAAAATGATATCAGTGATCGTTTTGACCTTCTGAACTTACAATGATTCTGTAAATATCAAGGTTTTGAATTGTTGTATATGCTATTACCTGTTTTAGTTGATGAAATCTTGGTACAATTATTCTTCAAAGATAATCTGGATTTTAATGATACATTTAAATCATTTACATCATCATTTCTGACTGTGTCTGTTTCTATTTCATCTATCACATCAGAGTTAAGTCCCATGTTGTTTTTACGTATGTTATCTAGTATTTCACGTTGATTAGAAATAAAATCATCCAAATCTTGATCCTCTTCAAATAAATCATCATCAGAATGTTGATCACCTTGGGTAGATGTTATCAACTGTTTGAGGATGTTTTTTGTATCTTGGTCATCTTGAGAGTCTTCGTCTGACTTGAGAGCTTCAGGCTGAGGTGAATGCTGCTTAGACATTTCAAAGGAATGTTCTGCTGAAGAATCCTTGTTGTCAATGTTTTGAGAAGGTAATCTTTTAAAATATTTTTTGTTAGACCTGTCATTGTTAGCCATGGTGTCATTTTCAAATTTTGGTTTCTTAGCACTAGAGGGAGAGAGGATTGAGAAACTTGATTCAAAATTATTCTGATTAATTAATGGAGACTGAGGTAGTTTTAGTGTTGAATGATTGTTTACACACAGGTCTTTTAATGGAGTTGAACACTTGAGAGACACACGATCTGACACAACATTCTGTTTGTTGAAATTAGACAATGATTGCATTGCTGGTGAATTTTTTAACTTAATTCTTTCGAACACTGATAATGATTCATCCTTTTTAGCACTGTCTAATATTGGTGAGCCAATCTCTATAGATGAGAGTTTAGTTGGTGTACATACATTTTCAACTTTATTGTCATTTTGAGGACATTTCTTCAAAGAAGACAATTGTCTACCAGAACCCTTGTCACCTCCATTGCTATCATTCAATTTGCCTTTGGCAGCAGTTATATTTTGACTAGGATGGGGGAAAGAATTTGATTCTGGGGATGGAGGAATCATATCATCATCATCTTCTAAATCAAATCCTAAATCAAACTGAGGCATCTCAATTTCATCATCAAACAAATCTGCCAGGCTTTCATTTGCTGATTTCATTGCTGTTGGCTGTGCTATTTTGTTTTGATCTAAAGTTTTTGAAGTGAAAACAGGACTGACTTTGCTATTTTGATTGTTACACAACATCGAATTATCACTAGAACTTTCATGATTAGATTTTAAGATAATTTTTGAGTCAGAGTTTGTAGAAAGGTGTTTTTCAAATGCACTTGACATTTCTCTTTCAGAAACATTTTCTGGGAAATCCTCACAAGTCATATTGTCTTCGAAATCTTGGGGAATAAAAGCTTGGGAATCAGCTGTCTCTAAATTTCTCTGGATACAATTCTGACTTTTCCCAAACACTGGTGAAGATGAAAAGTCTCCAGAAGAACCTTCTTCAGTTATAGTATCACATTTGTTAGAAGGCATTTTATGTTCAGTCTGAGTCCTAAAAGATGAGTCAGTTTTATCAAGAAATGATAAGGCTTGTGTCAAATTAAACTGTGTCCCATCTAATTCATGATGGGATTTAAATTCAGGAGGTAATGTTAAATCTTTTTCAAACATGGAATCATTGAACATTTCAGCATCCACAAAACTAGAACTAGTTTTAACAACACATGGGGAGGTACTTTTCTGAACAGAATTATTGGGGGAGGTACTTTTCAGAACAGAATTATTCATGCTTTTCACAGTGCCAAGAGATGTACTTTTACAAACTTCTGTCCGTTCACTATTGCACATATTAATGTCTAATGGACTAGAAGTTGCTCTATCAATTTCTGTATCAAATTCCTCAATATTTTGAGTATCCAACACAGTTGTTTTAACAGAAAGATTGGAAACCATTTTATTTCTAGAGGAATGTTTGGATTTTGATTCACTCAATACCTTTGGAGAAATTGAGGATGGCCTATGTCTAATTTTAATACTAGGCAATTCTGCATCAGAATTATTAGAAATGTCTTTAAAAGGCACATCACAAGCTTCCTGAGAATCAATTATATCACAGAATTCTTCATTGTCTTCGTCTTTTATACAAACTGAACTCAAAATGTTGAATTTTGGACGTGATTGCACAGAGGTTTCAAATTTTTGAAGTATCGTAGAATCATTGTTTGTTACAGCGCTTAAAGAAGTCTTGGGTTGAGCTAAGTCAGGAATAGAACTTCTTATATTGTCATTTCTTAACAACATAGGACTAGTACACACTGACATTTTTGGCCTAGATTTATCGTAAATCTTAGGTTTTGATGTTATCTTTCTGGCATCATGACTCGTTGACACAATTTCGTCTTCTGCATGCCATTTATCGACTAGTTCAACAATGTTTACATAGGGTACTTCTGTGTCACCAAGTTTGTCAAAGATGGCTGCCACTTCCTCAATAGGGGGCGGAGTTTTAACATAACAACGGCCTCTAGAGGGCAGCTCAATATCATCAACACTGTCTTTAACAGGAGTGGAGTCTGGAGATATCATACGAACATCATTGTCACTTTCAGATTTCTCTGGCGTCTCAGGTGATTTTTCTAAAGTTTTAAAACTTGTTTGAAGATTAGATTTCATCAAGACTCCACCATCTTCAAAATCATCATCTATTTCTAGAGGTTCTGTAAAATGTACAGATCTTTCAACTGAAGAACGATGCCTCTTCTTCTTCTTGGAAGATTTCATTACCTTTGAAATATTGTCTTTTGCTAGTTCTGGATTGAGATCTGATTTTAAACCAACAGATTCAAATTGAGGTAGTTCATTGGTACTGTCATCACTTTTATCAAACTCTTCAACTTCAATATCAGGCAATATATCACTGTAACGCTTCCGTTCTCGTTCTGTCTTATCCTTATCAGTACTGTACTTTGGTTTACAATATTGTTTTATGCCGCCTGACTGGTCCCTGTTACATCTAATCAAATCATCTTCATTCAAAAACATTTTCATTTCTATCCCATAATTATCTTCATCATCACCCAATGTTTCTGCGTAAGTATAAATATAACTTTATAAACTTAATCTAATCAAAATAAGACTAAATTTCATAGCAATCTTAAAATATATTTCCATTTGCTGTTCTATGGACAATTTTTTAAACAATGTCATGTATGTCCCATTTCAAGACTTGTGTGATAGGGAAACCAAAAGTAGAGTAATATGACAGCATCTTAAGCTATCTCACAATTTGTCATGTCACTTTTCTGTATTTTAATAATACCTGATGATCACCTACACATAAAATATAATCAAATAATGCATTCCTTCACTTTACCTTGTAGTTCCAAGAACTGTACTATTTCAACTAGCTGTTTAGATTTATTAGAATGTTCTACTGTATGCGTGTCTTGTAATCTATTCTGCCATGGCATCCATTCTGTCAGTGATAGTCTATTATCATTACTTATATCATTACTTCTTTCAACCACCTTCTAAAAACAGTAATAAGCACACTTAATATATTTTGAGCTTTGAATTCAAGTCAATAGTAAAATTTGAATTAAAGCTCTCTAATACATCACAGTGTTTATAGATAATCATAAAATAGTATTGAAAACATACGTTAGAATCAGAATTATGAATGATACAATTAAATAATGAACCAGTGATAAAACAACGCTTAGAATTGGTCTAATTGACAGAGAATAAAACATCTTCTGTTCATCCACTAATTCAGCCAAGTAATTCAGTGTTCTCACCTGTTTACTAAGGTCTAAAGAAACTATTTCAGAGCTAATTACAGGTAGTTTAAAATCATTAATACCAGTATCAAAATAGTCTTGTAATTCTCTATATTCCTGTAGAGTTATATCCCCTGATTCTTCCTTTTTACCTGCTCCTTTCTTGGACTTGTTACCTACAACATGGAGGGTCATCCTTTATTCATCTATTTTTACAATTTTCATAACATATATGCAGCATTAAAGAAAGGTTCCCTTATTTCCATTTAAATGGGTGAGCATCCCATGATCTCCATTAGGTATTTTTCAATTGACTAATTTTGCCAACATGACACTTTACCCAAATGTTACACTGATATCGTTCGTTAATACGTGTTAATATGTGAAAATAGGCATTCTCAACATAACGCTCTAAATATATAACATGGACTAACCTGTTTTGATGGTAGATTGCTTCGAACTGTTTCCTGTCTTACTTTGTTTAGAGTTTTTATAATTATTTTGCACAGTGATGTACATTTTATGACATTGTGGTATCAAACCATTAGGTATCATTCTAGGATTGTGTTGATAAAACTGAAGAGATTTTCCACCACTCAGTATAGCTTTATGAATTGATTTCTTAGAATACTGACTTTGGTTATAAATCTGTGAAAGAATTACCAAAATTAGTCATAAGAAGGAATAAATGAAATCTCATACAATCTACGTGTGGTTCTTACATGGAAATAACACATACGAAAGTGGTTCACAACAATTTTGAATCACTTCCTCGAATTAATAAGTAGAATTTTACAAAGGATATAATATTTCAACAAAGCCTTCAAATCAAATCATATTCGTTTCTAAACCTTTAAACGTGATTTAAAGGCCTTGTTGAAATATTATTGCCCTTTCAAAAAATTTGACTTAAGTCGAGGAAGAGATTTAAAATGGTTGTGACAGTCAACAATTCTACAGACCTGCTCTTCCTTGCCTTCAGTCACCAACATAACAATCCTTCCTTCTCTCTTTCTTCCAGTTCTCCCCATTCTCTGTACCAATCTAATAGGACTCTTATGGGCATCAAAACAAATAATCAAATCAACATCTCCAATATCTAATCCTTCTTCTCCAACACATGTTGATACTAGAGTATTGTATCCTCCCTCACGAAATTCTTTCATTACCTATATCAATCAGAAATCTTACGATTATACACATTATCTTTAATAATGCAGGAAACCACTTATTTTATCACGAACCATTGGAGTTTACAAGAGAAAACATGATTTTTTAACATAAAAACATTTTATAGATATACTAATAAATACAGAAAAGGCTAAAGATGCTCCATTTATAATTAATTAAATAATTTCTTGAAGACAGAGAACAATTTTTCTCATAAATCCTCACCCTCAACTGTTCTTTCTGAGAAAAACCTTTAGCAGCTTTACCCACTGATGACTGACCAATAAAACTCATAGCTTTAATTGTTGGTGGATGTTGATTTAACATGTTAGTTATTTCTATCACACTGTCTCGATACTGAGAAAATATCATTATCCTAGTTCCTCCTTTATCTATAAAATCAACAAATACTAGTGACAATGACCTAATGACATTCTATAATTCTATTGAAATATATATATTGCAGGAGAAACAGACACCAATTTTAAATTCTGAAAAAAAACTAATTGATACAGCAAATAATTGAACCCCAATTACATATCATATAATTTGTAATATTTAATGAACAATGATATATACCTTTAAATTTCTCAAAATGTCGAATAGCAATCTCTAGTAACTTGTCCATTTTAGGATGACCAGCTATAAATGATGGCTTTTGACTTGCTGATGCACTGAAACAAGAGCAAATTGTTACATGCATAAAAGATTTTAAAACATGTTGATATTAGTATCTCTGTTGAATAGTATAAATCTTTTTATCTTGTCAATATATTGATGATCTTTGCAAATGTTTTCATTTAATTTCATTCAATAATTAACCATTAATCAGTACAGGGTATTCTACTGGTGATATTGGTTACAAAAATGCAGGAAGAAACAGAAAGAAAGCTCACATCCTGTATTCAAAGATTTTAAAACTACCTACTCATCATATTTAGAGAATTTCTGTGATAACATCTTCATGATATCATTAAAATCAGCATTACGTATCAATTCAGCTTTAGTTCTACCATACCCTTTGTCAGTATTCACTATACCATCTAAATAGTTATATAATGACCGTAAACCATGCAGTTGTAATAACTCAAAACCATGATATAAACTTATAGCCATAGCAAAATCACCTTCTACAACTCCAAACTGAGTTGGCTGAAATAAGAATTCTAGAAGTTAATATGTGTATCATTATCTACATTCAATCCCTATCTGGTGGAAGAATGGTTGACTGTGAATTCCCCTTAATACAAGAGAACTCTATTTTCTGTCTGTAGATGTTAGATGTACAATCGCTCAAACAGTACTGCTAAGAACATGCGATTTCTTCATTACATAAAATTATATCAGATGATATCAAATTAAAACAAATCTTACAATTAAAGATTCAGGTGGGTTCTGTCTGAATTCATCTCGTGATTTTAACAGTAAGAATTTAGAGAAACTTGTAGTAGGCCGATTATATACTACTCGTAATTTATTTAGTCTCTTGATAACTACATCCATTATCTGAAATATAACATAACGGTACAAGCATCTAATAAGTTTAAATCAATAAATCAACAAACCAACTTTATATTTCATGAATTTTTTATAGGAGCTGTGTTTAAATATTTAATTAATTATATAAGAAAGTGCAAAAACAAATGCAAATGTTTTTCAACACTCCTGAAATATTAGTTCACGATATATTTTGAAATATTAAATTTAATCATAGAAATCCTTGCTTCAATGTAACATAAATAAAGACAACATATCATAAGAGCTTGTACAACAATTTGAGTGATTAAGGATTTATCTAAAGAATACAAAATGTAACCACAAAGAGATCTGCTTACCTGAATATATTTTGTCTTCACTTTATTTAATTCCTCACCCAGTGGTACAACCACCTTATCCACCTTTCGTTCATGTGTATATGGTTTAATATCAATACTATCTTCAGTTCGTATTTCAATATGTGATATCAATAAATTAGTTAAAACTTGTTGTACAGCCTTAATATCACTACCTGGTGTAGCACTTAAAGCCAATACACGAAAATTACAGGTATATTTAGATAACTCTCTTATCACCTGAAAATAGATATATTGGATTATTATAGTTATTTTTATTCAAAAATTGATATAAAAAGCAAATTTAAGAATTTCAAGACCTATTTAAGAAACGAACAAAATCAATGAAGGTATATTGTTCATTATTTGAAGTTCAATAATTTTAAATAAACTAATCACTTGAATTGTGGTAAAACAAGGTACCTGACAATAAGCATGATTTCCAAGAGCCTTGTGAGCCTCATCAACAACAACACATTTCACATCTTCAGCAGGACAGGATCCACGACTTAAATCATTGGTTATAACTTGTGGTGTGAGAAAAAATACACGTTTTCCTTTCCATGCTTTTAATCTTTCATTGGGCACCATATTACCTAGGGCGAAAGGGAAAAATTCTTACATAGATCTTAGAACTAGCATGGCTGTTACCTCATGGATTAAAACTGCATTACTAGATTGGAAATTACTTCAGTTTTTTTTTTTAACATACTTACTTATTCAGTTAGTGCTTATAAATAAAAATATTTTTTTTTCTTTTGTCTGTCTGATGGAATTGTATCCCAAACATAAGTCAACATAAGATAATTTCTTGTTGTTCTAAATTCTTTGACTAACATTAGATATCAGTCTTTCTTTAATAGAATAAACACAAGTATCTAATTATTATGGATTATGGCCATTATGCTACAAACCTGTCATTTCAGCAGTATCTGCCTGGGGAATACCCATAATATTATAACAAGCTTCTATCTGTTGAGCAACCAGTGGTTTAGTTGGTGCCATGAATATAATTTTACCCTGAGGGTACCATCTATAGTAGTTATACATTACAACTGAGGCTATAAAAGTTTTCCCCAAACCAGTTGGTAGGGTCACCATTGTATTCTTAAACAAAGCTTGACTGACTATATTATACTGGTAGTCTCTGACAGGATAGTTGGTGGGGTAGATCCATAATTTTCCTGCATGTCTATCAAATCCTGGTATGGTTACAGAAAACTGGGGCTCTGATTCCAGGCCAAAGGAAATGTTTCCTTCATCTTTATTTCCATCCTTGCTTTCAGTGTTTTTATTCTTTGTAAAGAGATGATCAGCATACAGCAAACTTTCATCTAAAACCTGAGCCAACATTTCATCTTCATCATCCTCACATAAATTGATGATGTCATTATTATTATTATAGTTGTTAGAAGTTAGTTTAGATGTACTTGGTTTATTTGTTGTGCTAGTATTTTGTTGTTCTTTCTTTCCCCAGGATTGGAATAATGTAGACTGTTTTGGTTTGTTAAAATTCATCTTGGTTATTTCTTGAATTCTTGTTCAACCCATCATTTGTCTTAATGGAAATGTAAACTGTAATGCAATGTAAATACTGCATGTATATTATAATTCAGCAGCACTGGTAAATTTATCTCATTCTTCCGTGACCCATGCATTAATAAATTAGGAAACATATTTCAATATTGTCCTCAACAAAGTCAAAACAAAATGGAAATTGAAAAGTAACTGACTGAGAATTTGAAGTGGCTATTATTAAATTGGAATCGTGGGCTATGAAACTAAATATTTCAAGCGTCTTGCTAGAAATCTAAAAGTGATATACCAGGTATTAACATTTAAGATATATTTTGAGTTGAAAAATCCGCCATCATTAAAATATAGTACCTTTTATGGTTTCTAACATTAAAGAGCCACTGCGTACAAATGTATTTTGGATTGAATAATTGGTCTAAAATTGAACATGGACCTTACAAGAAATTTACTCTAAAATCAGTTTTACTGACTTAGTAAGCCTAAGATTAGAATCAGTGTAGGTATCTACTATCAACTGATCCAATTTTCGTTGCAATGCAATGGCTTAAGGTAGGGGTAGTTATGAACAAGGCAAACTACACTGAAGCTTCATGCATTACTGGAATAACAGAGGAAATTCTGACTTCATCAATGATTAAAGGTTGATTACAACAAAAATCGAATATTGCAAAAAATTGACTAATGCAGAAATCACACTCAAATGAACTTATTGGTAAACATTCAATTTATCAAACTCCCGCTTAATTTCTTCCCTTACAATTGCTTGTTACTTTCACAATTTTCTAGACTGTCCGTTTAAGGCTTCTTTCCTGGTAGCTCAGATCCCTGTAGTCATCATAGACACAGAAATTTAGTTAAAGATCAAGACAATCTTTTCAAAATTAAGCACTTTTATTTCTACAACAATGACACAAAACAAAAAACCAAACTTGTAAAGTTCAAAGTAGTGTGTTTACATCAAAACACAATAGAAAAGAATCAATAACAATAAGTATATGAGAAATAAACTCTAAACTGTTAATTATATAAAAGAGAATATTGTAAAAATGTTCAATAATCCAATAAAGTGGTCCTAAAATATCACAGTAAAATATCAGCAGAGTTAAAATTCCACTGAAAGAATAATGATTGTGAGAATGCAATTGTAGACCTTGAATTTGCTAATAAAATAAATAATATTAAAAAATACTAATTATGCAAATCAATTTGTTATTTATCAATAGATATATATTTTCTTATAAGTTCAGATCATTTGAAAAAAAGTCATATAATTAAAAAATATACATCATAGCTTACAAGATCACTGCTGAAGAAAAATAAATATATCTTTTGTGCTGTTATAATCACAATCTCATTATGATTTTTAGTGCAAAGATTTGATAACCTCAAATGTAGTGGACAACTTGAAACAGGCTCTACCAACTTAACTTTTTTTCATAAAATTATAAAATGGTGGGCTACTATACACATATTGAAATTGTCATGTTTTTGAATATATAATAAGTGATTAATGATTCCCAAAAATGTTTTGTATCCCAGAAAAAATATTATACTCCCTAAACTTCTGAAAAAGGTTTCTGAGACCAGGCAATTAGAGTACGACAAATGAAATACAATAATATAATATTTTACTGTCAAAATAGTGCACAATACATCAATTGTAGAGCGATATAGAAATAATAAAACATGACATGCATAATAAAATAAATATATTAAATAAAGATATTGTCCTCAGATGTGCACAAATATTCTTGCTTGTCTATTCTACTGTAGCTTATATATATATATATAATAGATAATATATAATATATAGATAGAGTTGAACATAATATCATTCGACAAGCAAAGATATATGTGAACGTCCAACCTAAAAACCAGCAGTCTTTATTTTGAGGCAGAATAAATAGTGATTGAAAGTAAATAACACCAATCAAATATAAACATAGACAAGCAGGCATATTTGTGATCCAGGAATGATTCAAGACATACATACAGTCTTTATTTTTAGGCAGGAAAAATAGGTAATGGGACTAATTGAGTTAAGATTATATTATGTTCATTACATCTCCAACTACCTAAAAATACTGTGTCCTGCATGAAATGTTGTCATATTGAAAAGCCCACAGAGCTTTATTACAACGTTATTATTAGTGCAGACATATTGAGAACTTGCAGTTCATAGCATATGCATTACAGGGAGATAACAAGTATATAAAGTAAGACAGATATTGTCACACTGAACATGCTGATGTTTTGAATCTTCCTGGGTACACACAAATATTCTTGTTTCAATATAAATATAGAGACTATAAATAACATTGAGCATAATAGAAATAACAAAAGTTATCACTTTATTTAAAAGACAATAAATCCTAATAAATAACAGCCACAGAGAAATACTGGAAGTGCTTTTTTAACAAATGCAATGGTCTGACTATCAAAAACTGTAAACTTCAATACCCTATATCAAAACCCAGGCACTTTAAATCTTTGATTTAAATTCTAAAATACAAGTTATATAAAGAGATTTCAAATTTTGCCCTGAGATTTTTCAGAAATATCAACACATTGATAAAAATCTTAAAAAGTGCTTTTAATGCAATGAATTATGACAAAGACTTATTGATATATACAACAATATTTAGATTCAGCATACATACAGTCTCAGCAATTTGGTTTTTAACAATTTATTATTTCTTTAAATACTGGCGTTCAAGAGTCCAGGGGACTTTTATTGTCAAGATTTTAACTTATAATTCCCAATATTCAAGACATCTGGATAACATAGTGACTTAAAAATACAATAAACAGCTATTTTCAAATAAGAACACAAGATTGAGAACCTCCTTTACCAGATGGCTTGGCCTTTTTTCTTTCATTTTTATTCTTTTTTTCATTTGAGCCAGACTGGCTTTCCATCCCTATGGCACCTTCCTCTGAATCATCTTTCTCTTTTCCTGTGACACCTTCTTCAAACCTGTTTTTATCTCCACCTGTGGTACTACCTCTATCTTCTTTTGGAAATATATTAGTTCTAAAACACTGTAATGTTTAAACATTAGAAGACATTTGAGGTTCTTACATTAAGACATTGAATTCTGCACAAGAAATAGATCAGAGTGATAACTGCGAACAACCAGAATAATATATTATCTGTAAAATTGCTATCTGAAAGTTTGGCAATTGATCTACAATGCACATCTCCACTATTTCAGATAAGTCAGCTAGTTTGAAAATCATTTAAGGGTTAAATGTCAATAGTTCTAGTATATGTAGTTATTACCCACCTTTTGTACAAGTTTATCATGAGTTTTATTTTGATCAATACTTATTATGTTTATCATATTCTTCCAGTCTTTACTGTAAGGTAAAAATGTACAGGTTGTATATTATCAGTCTTTGGCTAAACAGTTTTAAAACACAAAATATACATAATTGAAATTACACAGCACCTTTAAATAACTAAGCTCATAAGATTTTAACACCAGTTATAAAAATACATCGCATGTCATTTGATATACATGTGATTGCTCATAACCTGGACAAATTTGTAATAATTTAGTTGTTTTTGTCGCACGATTCGATTAGGTAGATTAGCTATTTTGTGCATTTGTGAGCCAGGACGTTTAGGCTAATCGGTGCATTTGTGAGACAGTTTACCTAAACTGATTAGGCTAATCGATCTAACTGTCCCAGTAGGTGGTTAGGCCATTCGATTAGGTATGACGTCATTGGTAATTTATACTATTGGCTAATTATATCAATGTTGTCTATATAAACATAGATGTCATTGGCTAATATTAATAGACAACCTTCTTTTGTTGACAGTGCAGTCAGCCATATTGCCTAATCGCTGGTATCACATTTGTGGGCCACTGCAAATCGTACCTAATTGTACTAGCAAATCGAAACCTAATCGAATCGGGTGACAAAAACAACTTTGTACATGAGAGTCAAACTTATCATTTATTTGGTTCCAGCACCCAAGTGACATTCTAATAAACAGATAATATAAAAAAGGGTTCTTTTTCATGAAATTAGATTAGACTATCAAATATTGCAGCTTTGTTTGAAATAATATGGCCTGGCTTTAAATGATGGATTGATTTCGAAAAAAAAGAATGAAAAAATAAATAGCCTTACATTGTAACCAATCCATAAGACAAATCCAATGCAGCAGTCTGTAGTGCCACTATTTCTGCAAAATGATAGTTATAACTCCCAGCAATACCAATTCTCTTAATAATAATTGATGTAGACTTGTCACTGTGGTATTTCACCTCTCTTATCCAGACTTTATCTTTTAATGAAATACTGTATGGTACAATACTCATAAATACTGGTTTGGTCTGTGAATGAGATGCATTGATCAAATATACAATGTTTTGAGTAAGAAAAGCTCTCTGACGACACATGGCTATATGAAATTCTTCCATTAAATTATTTGATTCTATATATTGTTTAGAGATTATTATGACTATTCTGTCAGCCTTGTCCAATAAACTCAGTCTTTCATTGTGATTTTCACTAAGAAATATACACTCCAACGTTTCATTTGTTTTTTCTATATACTGACAAATAGCAGCTGCATACTTCAAACAATTCTGAGAAAAACTGAAGACAATTTTTTGATTTTCTACAAGGGCTGTCTTAAGCTTCAGATTAACTTTATCTTTGTCAAACTTGTGAAGACTGTTAATTATATCTGTTCTTTTATTTTCTAAAATATCTTGAACATTCGCTTCATTGGTAGGCTGAAAAATCAATTTATAGGTGTCTTACAATCGTGTTATACAAACATGTGTCCATGACAATCATTCTGGTGAAATCGTCTATCTCAAACAAACAGTATGATCTAAATCATAAAGAATACAATATAGTAAATTGGATTACAAACCAAATGTATCTTAAGACTGAATGTTTAAGTGGTTGTTAACAGACAAACAAGATATATGACATGGACACTAAACAAGTTTTATCAATAGTGGTTTTCCCAATCAGATCTCAATGCTCATCTGAATCTCAAAATTATAATTCGGCTAACAGTTACCTCACTATAAAGAACAGAACCAGTTTTATCAACATCACAATGTTTAATATATTCTACTAGTTGTTGTAATTTATTGTCTTTATCTTGCTGTATATCTATCATTGGTATAGCAGAGAACTTGGCTGGTATTTTATCATCTTTTACACCACAATATAATGGTACCACAACAACATCATCCTATTGGATAAAATATTTTCACTGTTAAAACTGTGCTTAATACACTTGTAGAGTAATATAAAATAGAGAACCTGTAACATGTGATTCTAAGTTTCACGCTGTAACATTGACTATAAAATCAATCACATGCATTAATTTGCATGCTTTCTTAAACTCCATATTTGTCTCTAAAAAACTTGAACCAATCAATAGATAAATCCTGCAGAAGCCAAACTAGGATTTACCGTGATCTTAAACAAAATGAACATATACAGTTACTACAGTGCTGTATGCAAAATAATATTTTCAATTTCAAGAAGCCAAACTATGTGCTCAATTAATAATAAATGATTGACTAACCTTAAGGTAATATCTAGCTAATGCTATATCATATTCTTCACTACAAACAGTAGAGTTGATATAAGCATCAGATATAAACATGACAATAACAGATGCATTATCTATAGATTCATATAGTGACTTCTGCCATACACTTCCTATAAAACATGATTGGTATTAGTTAGAAATGGTAGAATAAATAAGTTGACAATCAGAGGTGTTACTAAAGGATTCACAAGCTTTACCTCAACACTCATTGAGGAAATAAAGACAGCTCATTTTCAGCATTGGAAATCATCAGGACAGAAGTTTAATGAGTTTATTTATAAAGCTTTAATGCCTTGAACCTTAATTTGTAAATTTAACTCCCATTTCCTGCTGATTTTACAGAATTTGTAATACCTTGACATTGTTAAGATGGCTTACCAGTACACAGTTCTCTTTTGTCAAAGAAAATATTTAACCATGGTGAATTAGTCTGTAATAATCCAAGCATAGATTCAGCTTCCAGTGGTGTCCTGTGAGCATAAGATATAAATACATCATAATGGGGTGTTTTTTTTACAGACAAGACCTCTACTGTATCCTCTTCTATAGCTTCTATGATTATTTCACAGGCTTTACCAATTAATCTCTCATCATTATCACTCTCACGCCGAATTCTGAAAAACAATTATAGAAATTCGTTAATTGATCTTCTATTTCAAAGATACGACTTCATCACAATACAAGCAGTATTCATGAAATGTAGGAATGTACAATGTATTCATAGGAATGTACAACGTTTGAGCAAAGTAACTAATTAGAAATTTTGTTGCAATTATATGCGTAAAAAATTATTTTAAACGTTTGGTGTTCAAATTTTTGGTTAAGCATAATTGAGATACATAGATGAAACTGCAATGTAATAAAGTGCATTGATAAATCAATATTTTTGGAACTTATACCCGAACACCTACCTACATTCTACATATTGTACTAGTAACATATACGATGGAAACGATGGTATAGTTTCTATGTAGAATGGTGCCAGAACTTGTTTCTTCTTATATCTATTACAACACATAGCCATATTAAACTGTTCTAAACATTCTTCATTAGCAATATAAGCTGGACTTAAAATTACAATAATTCTGAAAAATAAAAAAAATATAAAACAGTAGGCCTGATAAAATTGTTTTTTTAGAGCTAGAACTTTCATTATGTATTTTTTGTATTTGTAAGCATTTCAAATTTGAGGAATCTGAAAACAGAATGGACAAACTTGAGATTATGTAAGAACTATATTGTAAAAGGGGGACAAGAGGACAACCTAACACTAACACTAGCTTAAGACATGATCTTGTATTATGACTGAAACTGAAATTGTGTCTGATTAGCAACTACAAACTCTTTGGGGACAGAAGTCAGTTCTCTGTGAACTCTGAAGAGTCTTTGAACTTTCTTACCTTTTTGATTTAACCATAACATCAAAGATCTTCTGTTGCCAAACATCATTATTACTAAATGTGATAATCTTGGTAAATAATTTGATTTCTGGTTTTACTCGCTGTAATTTGGAAATTATTTTCTGGGATGACTGTATGTCTGCCTCTGAATAGGATAAATACACATCATAATCATCTATTTGTTCTGCTTTAGCTGCCTGAAATATATAATACATACATAGTGCTTTCATCATCAATCAGCTGCCCTAAAAAAACAACAGATATCCAGAGACTCTATTGATAGTCTATATTGATAGTCTCAATACATACTTAAAGCTATCATGCTTTAATTACACTCAAATCAATTATTTGAAAAAAATAAAAATAAGACTGTTTGTCCGCACTTGGTCCGCAATATTTACTACTAGCAGTCACTATACTTGTTGAATTTTTTTAGCATAATCAGCACATGATAGCTTTAAAGTGCTGGATGAAATGACCTAAAAATGGATGATCACAGGGGACAAAATGGATGAACACAATGGCTAAAATGGCTAACATTTGGAACAATTATTTTTCAAATGAAAAAATTTATTTCTCAAGCTCGATAATCTTTTTTAAACTTTGCCAAATTAAGCGGGAACACCACACTACATAATACTACAACTTGGCCCTCTGACATCTAATACTACTTTTCCTAACCAAAGAACAGGTATGGCTACCCCTCAACTATTGGTTACTTTAAAAGCAATATAAAGCCACTTACCTTAGATTTGCTGATTTTCTCCCACTTTATTTTCAGATTTTTAAATTCTTCAACAGTTTCTACATCACGTTTATAAATCTCATTAATTTTCTTGGAGTAAACAACCAGTTTCAGATGGCGTAATGGAAGACCAGATAAAATCCATCCACAGGCTCCATCTACCATAGCTGTCAATATTTTCTTGGTAGAATGACCCTGAATCACAAATTGAGTAAACATCCTACTTTTAAAGAAAACAACTTTATCACTTTAAAGGACCAAATTGACTATAATTTTGTAATATATATAATACCAACCTGGTTCCCAGTAGCTAGTAAAGGGCTGATTACTGTAGTTTCTTCATTATTGAAGATTGGAGTAAAGGATCGATAAACTTTAGCTATTTGTTCTGATACTGATCCACCTTGATAAATTCTGGAAAAAAATATCACAAAACAAATTGAAATGGACAATGTTATGTAAGAAGCAACAACCATATTTTTTGTCAAAATATGTCAAAAATTTTGAGAAGAATTAAATGTTTTAACCAATTCCCAGTTTTATTCATGGAAAAATAAGCCACATTATTTCAAATTAAAACCCTTCAAGCCATTTATATTAATCCTAGCTATCAAAACATGAAAGCCTCCTACCTTTCAAAACAAACCAGTCGTTTATATGGTGCATGGCTTGGAAGAGCCCCAGAAACCCAACATGAGAAATTTTTTCGTAAATCAACATCTTTGTTCACTGCCAGTCTTTCAACATCAATGCCTAAATAGGAGTATAGAGATCCTATCACTGTTCCTCTTACTGCACTATAATCATCTACAATAGAACAAATTCTTAGTTGGATACATCTGACAGATATGAGTAAGGGAGGTAATCAAATACTTTATAGAATTGTATATTACAATATAAAAATTTATCAAAATTCACAATGAAAAGAAATTACAAGAACATTTGAAAAAACACAAGATTGATAGGACTCTGAATGTGCTGCACCAATTTTTTTTTTTTGTTAGCCAATTATTGACTGGGATTTCTGGTGGAAAATTCCAAAAATATTAATTTCTGTCGATAAACATGCAAACATACTTGGGAAGGCTGAGATGAGAATATAATCAACTTTATCTTCTATAGGTAGTCTAGTAATATCACCACACATCAATTCTACAATACAATCACCCTGTCTAGTTGATAATACAATCTTATCAATACTTCCTAAACCTCTTTCAAACGCTTCAGCATCATCAATTTTCCCTTCTCTCAATTTTCTTTCTACGCACTCTGGTACTCTACAACATAGAAATGAAGTTTTGTAATGTAAAAGCAAAACTTTCACTTTCATATGCATGAGCACTATATTTACAATACAGTATTTAAACTTTTATAGGAGATTGTTTATGAGGGTAGGGTAAGGTTCAGCTACTGTCAGCTTTGTTAACATTGTATGTATTGTCATGAACTTCATAATTTCAAATAGGGTTCATCCTTGAACGATAATGCATAGTTTAACCCATAAAAAATATACCACAAACTGTCATCATGAGCTTTTACCATCAAAAAATAACTTTCAAATACACCATCATAAATCTTTTTTCTAATTTTAGATAGAATTCATTCCGTGATTCCATCTGCAGGGAACACATAGAAGACAAACTACATTTTATGTGGTCTTATCCAAAGGAAACTTACATGCCAAACAGATCCATTTAGTAAAGATGTATTAAGACTAATTTCATAAAAGTATTTAACTATATCATGAATATAAAATTTATCGACTACATAAAATTTCAATTCACTTGTGAAAAAAATATAATAATCATAATATATACATAAATCAATCAATCAATCAGTAAATCTGTCATATTTTTATAACTACTTGAATTTGATTGCAGGTCAATTAAATAGCCCTGATCTAAATATAACTGTTAGTCATATCCATAACTTAAAATAAACCCATGGTAACCAAGCTAGATTTTATATTGCATCCTAGCTTAATGTCAAATCATTTATTTTCATTGGCATCAAATTTCATTGTTTTTTCTTCTGAGGCATATTTGAAATGAAATGAAATTCATTAAGATGCAATAGCCCCAAAGCGTGCTATATAGCACTAGAACCAGTTAGATTAGAAATTAATATATTACAAAACCAAAATAACAATAAAAATGTGGCAAAAATGATATCACAGAGGTGTTGATAGTTGTTGGGAAGTTAATTCATGGATTCCTGTTATCCAAACCTATTTATTCCATACTGGTCCGGTAGCTTATCAATTACATCTTTTACAGGTTGTATTATCTGATTATTCCCATATATATATATATATATTACATAAACCATTGTTTGTTAATCTACTTTAACTCAATTTAAACAATGACAGAAATATTAGACATTCAAAGAAATACACTTAAATTAAACCTGTATTTATAAATATTAATGATATACAGCCAAGTAACCTCATTTTGTGCTAACCTATTTTTCGTGCATTTCCGGAAAGGATTCATAATTTACGTGTGTGACCTAGCGTCACCTCCGCATTTGCTTGTTTTGATAATCATTTGTTATCTGTACAATGACAGTTTGTAGAATGAATCCAGTAGTTTCAAGCAAGGTAAAATGTATAAATGTATACTTTGACAAATACAAAATGGCGGATTTCACTTATTACCAAAACGTCACAATTTTTTATCGGCCGAATTTCCTTATAATCCCTAGCTGTAATTGGAATTCCAAGTGTCGTCTGCTAGAATGTAGTCCAACAAATGAAGTCACATGATCAACTAGCGGATTCCGTGTATAAAAATGCTATGAAACACAAAGCAGGCCATATTCTTATGTTGTTTCAATGACTTTTAGCAATAAATCACGCTATGTATCTTATTTTGTCAGTCACTATTTTTTTTTTAAATCGTGGTTCTTTGAAGGAATTATCACTTAGTTATAATGAATTGATACTAAAGATAAATACTAAGAGAAGTTAATTATACCACCCGGTATCCATATAATGTGTTTTTCTCGACTTATTTATAGATCAAACATTGTACACGAAAATAGGTGACGCATTTTGCTGCCATTGTCGAGTTGGTTACTCATGAAATATGGGTCAAAGTGAGGGATTCACAATTTTAATTATTTTGTAGAATATCTGAGGAAACATCTAAGACATAAAAAAGAAAATTATGTTTTTTTAACTTTGACGAAATTTGATGTTGAATCCTTATATGCACGAAAATAGGTTACACCACTGTATATTACATAAACCATTGTTTGTTAATCTACTTTAACTCAATTTAAACAATGACAGAAATATTAGACATTCAAAGAAAAACACTTAAATTAAACCTGAATAAATATTAATGATATATTATAATTATACAGTATCTGGTAGCAGAACATGCAGGTTTTTTAGATTTATTTTTTATAAATTTGGACATCAAAGTTAAATCAGCCCCATGTTTCATCTAGGAAAAAAACCAATAATATCATCAGTTAGTTAATACTTACTCAATATCTATTCCATGCTGAATGGTTTTATCTTCAGACATTTTTCAGCAGTCAGGTTATCACACTTCTAACAAGCCATTTCCTTTTTGTAGAGGCAGAGGCAACCTAAATACATCATGAAAAGTGCAAGGAAATAAACTTTATATTTTTATTTAATGATTAATGTTTAAGATGAATGCAAAAGTGACATAAAAAACAATCAAGTGTTTTGTGTTATTACTGTTTAATGAAATATATCTATTTTGATTAGAAAAAAATAACATTCCACCATTAAGTTGGAATTATATTGCGTAATATCAAAATGTTGCTTGGAATTGCATCTTCATTTAAATAGCTAGGCCAAGATCTAGTCAGAAATTGCCTAAAAGTAAAAGATAAGGCCGGTATAAAAAAAAAACATGATGTGCGCTCCTTTTCCTTTCATAGAAGAAAGAGAAGGAATGCCACAGCTATGTTTCGTCAAAAAATATATTTATATACCGGTACTGTTTTCAAATCTAATTTTACTCACATGAGTATAACAGCATTTTCTCTGATTGAACTTATTGGAAATGTCAAAATTGATTACTTCGACTTCCGGCAGGTACTTGATAGTCACTATTATCAAAATTTAACACTTAACAGTCAAAAGAGTTACTGGACAATCCAACATATCGGTCACTACAGTAAACAAATATGGCCGACGATGAATCAAATGCCGAAAACAAACCCGAAGAAACAACAGATTCCTTCAAAACACAAGCGACCCTGGACACGGTAGCTGGACAAGAAGAAGAGAAAAAGATCGAAGAAAAGGAAGATAGCTCAAAAATGACGGATGCAGATGTACCGACACTGGAGAAAGAGAAAACATTTGTCGATTCTGAAAATTTCAAAGATGATCCGTACAGTGAGCCATTACCAGATCCATATGGAAGAGCTATCAAATATCTAGAGAAACATAATATAATGCAGTTATTTCAGGTACGTTTAATAGCTCGATTTAAACTTTAAAAAATACAATAGGCCTACTGATATATGAAATAAGAAACATGTGAACAATCACGCCACCAACCACCTATTGAAATTCAGAGGAGGGCCTACTAACTAGATCTTTTCTCTAGGTATTTAAAGCTACCTTTGCATTAAATTGAATTAGTGGTGTGTTACAGTTTTATCAATAAGCGCAATTAATGATTGATAGCGTTTGCCTTTGGATTAATGTTGCATATTACTTTATTAGTGTAATATTCATTTATTAAGCATAGATCTAGCTTAATTTTTTATCCAATTTGAAGGCACAGAGCCCTTTCATTTCAATGCAGACCAGTTTGACAATTCTGGTATGCAGATTAGAGTTTTTATTTGAAATGTACTTTTATAAAAGCAGACCAAATGTATTGTTCGCCCCCTGTAGATCGGATTAAATTTTAATTGCCTCCATCTTATCTATTTTCAGTCATTAACTAGTAAAATAGTTTACCATAAACCAGATGATCCTATCAGTTATTTAATGTCAGAGGTCAGTAGGATTAAACAGGAAAGAGATGCTAATAAACAGGAAGATGGAAACCAAGCAGCAATTAATTAATCAATTCACTCAAAATAAATGTATGATGCTAGATCTAAATGCTGGGAACCCTTTTCAATCTATGTGCCAACAAACAATAGTATTGGGTTTTACAATCACTTTTGCATCAGATTTTAAACATTAAAACTTAGTGTGTTGGGCTATTTCCTTCTTTTTGTTAGATCATGGACTGTTGAAACTTCACCACATCCTCTTTAATGTCTTGGATCAAATTGTTTTGCTGATCTGGTATAAACCTGTTCAATTAGCTCAGAACCTTACATATCTTTTTAAAGTCAACTCATAACCAACAGATAAAACACACAGAATAAAACAACCAGTCTTCGAGTTAGACTGTTTCATTGTTACCTTAGATAGGACTGTCGAAATGTCAAAATGTTATGGATCAATTCATAAGTGTCAAAATTTCAACATATACCAAAGACCCAGTTAAGAAATGCATGTTTTACATATTGTTCTTCCTATGGTATATTTTATTTGTTTCAGTGTATATTGATAATAATGAGATTAATTGTAGAATATCAAATATATTAAATATTAACATAGTTTTAATTATTGTGATATGTATATTATTTTTATATAATCTGTGTTAAAATTATAGTTTACAATTTCTTGTTTGTTTTATTTCAATTTAAGAGCAAAAGAAACCTAATTTATTGGTCAATCTTTTTGTTACATGAATCAAACTTATGCATGGTAAATCTAGTAAAATGTTTGCAAGATGAATCTTCACTTGGGATTCATGGAAGATTTAAACATTTGCTTTTCCGGCAGATGTAGCTCAATTGTACAGAACAGATTTTATTCCGTAGAAAGGGCCACGATAGCTCAATTACAGCTAACATTTTAGAATATAAATTCAAATATCTGTGAGAAGGTTAATAATCTCCTGGAAGCGATAACAATCCACGATTTGAATTTAAATTAATGGGGAAGCAGACACCAGATCTTAAGTTTTATACTTCTTCTACATCAAATGGTTTGGTTATTATTTCTGACAAGATAACAATCATATTGGCTCCATATGGTCTGTGATCCATGATTATTTATATATCAACTATACCACATATCATAAAGCAAACATGGAGTAGAAATATTTATATATGAAATAAATATGAACAATATACAATAGAAAATAACAAAGGTATCAAAATATACATAAAATATCACAGAACTACAACAAATAGGCTGTTAGAAATAATCATAATTAGGACGGAATACATTAAACTGGACATACATATATTGATGGTACACAGAGCAAGGGTTTAAAAAGGATGAAAACTGTTTTAAAACCACAACACTGAATTGGTGTCCAAACGGTAAAGGACTGTTTTGGCAAAAAAATTAGATCAGCAATTCTCTTAACAATTTTTATAATACAACTGAACAAGAATTAGATTTCTTTACATGAAAACTTCTGAAATAAAGGTATATCTCAGATATCTTATAGGGTGACCTATGTAACCCATCACCCAAGTTAGACTCACAATCAACAAGAGTTTGATGTCCAATATAGGACTGTTTTAACAAAAATTTCAATATTTTGAGTTATTTCATAATACTTTCTGTAGAAAGTTCACAGAAGTGTTAAAATTTTTCATAAATTTAATTATCTCAAATAAATAAATAGGAGAGATTGAGAATGAAGCCATTCATATTGATATGTGCATGCGATCTATTTTTAGCAAATTCTTGTTAACACTGATTACACCTATTGTTTCAGGATTTCAATATGTCTTTGGTCCCTTAAATGATACTAGTGATTACTAGTGACTACTCTTAAACTTGACTCATTATGCCAATTAGTGAAGAAGATGAATTTAAAAAAAATAAAGATGAATATATATGATTAAATAAGATAATAATATTTTCAAAAATTTGAGCTGCGTAGATAACCAAAATGTGAAATCTACAAAAATATAAATAATTTAATCTACATCATATCTATAATCTTCTATAAGGAAAAGGCAACAGGAAAAAGTTAAATGTCTTGATATGGCTGCCTCTGAGATCTCCATTTTTAATTCTCCTCCATTTTATACACACTTCCATACAAAAACACTGAAAAAACAAATCAAATTATAGGTTAGAAATCTAAAGGTCTACTTTTAGTTATTACTGCTTGCTGGTGACAGATTTATCTAAGATGAATATAATATACAGAAGCACATGATAAAAAAATGCTTTTGCCTTATTTTCTCCCAAAAACTATACTAGACAGACATGAAATAGAAATTATAAACTTACCAGCAATCATCTCCACCAGTACTAATCAGATGTCTATCATCAGATGAAAATCTTACATTGGTGACATGAGCTGAATGTCCTACATAGTTCTTATGAGAAGCCTATAAATACAATAATAAAAACTTTATTCAGTTGCAATCCTTAGTTTTCACAAAATGTTCCCTTCCCTTCAGTTTCCTTTTGATATAGCCCCACTAATTCAGTAGAAAACAACACAAACAGCTTTGAAAAGTTTTGATTTAGAATGTAGGTCTGTAGCATTGAGCATATATGAAAATATTAGAATTCATAGGAAACATACAAAAAGGCAAAGATTGACATTTTATCCGTATATATTGTCTTATTGGAGTAAAGTTTTACACCATTTCTTGCCTATAATGATGAATAAGCTTAAACACAGCACTGTTCAGTCAAGACAGTCAAGACCATTATGTTGTTAGTTAATTTGATTGTTACTAGAGGGGGGGAAGGCCATGCATATAAATTGATTATGGAAAATACATAAGGTTTTCTTCAACTTGTTATCCTTTCAACAATAAGAGAGTAGAGCTAAATAGTATTGTCACAATTTATAAAACAATTATAATCAGACAGTATTAGCCTAACATTAAGAGATGACAGAATAATTTGGAGATAACATCTAACATCAAGAGCTCATAGGGTGAAAATGAAGTTTTAAATTTATTACATATGCTAAAAGGTTTTGAAGTTGTAATAAAGGTACAGGTTTTGTACAAATGCTTTCTTTGTTTGAGTTTTACCTATAAGCCTGTGAGGTGCATGCATAAATATCTTTTTAAATGTGCTTTGCAAAAAAAGTCATTACATGATCATTTCTTACCGTATTCTATACAGAAGATAAAAAATTTAAAATTTATAATAAATATCATATTAATTTTTGGTAAAAAGCCTGAAGACAAATAGTATACAGTCAACTTTCTAATGACTGTTGTCTTTTTCGATCATAATCTTGAATCAATGTCTTCATACGATTCCTTATATGTCAGTTGTAGTAAAGTACTAATTAAATCACTTTACGTTGACCTCATACTGTTGTGTAATACAAATATCATAGAATCTAAGACATGTAAAAAATATTGTTTGACATTTTCAAATTGATCTTCGTTGATCAAAATACTTGTAGATGATATGATATGAATTGAATTGAGTTCTACATCCTACTTTTTTCAAGATGATATTAACACAATGAGATACTTACATATCTATCCGAACATGGAAATTCAAACAATTTAACAAAACCATTATCATCTCCAGTAGCTAGAGAACTTCCAAGATGTGAGAGATGAGCACAGTTGACGTCTGCATTACTTGAATCTCTCGGCCATATTCCTATTACTTCCTCTCCTAACACACTGAAAATATAAATTGAATGAAATGTAGTATACTTTCTACTATTAGCAGTGGTGGCGCTAGCTTCAAAGACTGGGGATACAAATTGGGGGTAGTCTGATTTGATGAGAGAGGGGGACAACTGTTGAGGTTGAGATTCAAAATTCGGCAGCTGTGGAAGCACCATAGGGGCATGAAGTGTCTGAGAGGGTTTTACCCCAAATTTAAATTTGTAAAAAAATACAAATAGGGGGCAACCTCACTGCTACTAAGAATAAAAATACAGATGAGGTTATTCCTGGCAATAGGAAACCTATACCTCTACTATTTATCTTCAAAAATATAGAAATATTTTAACCTTGTCCAAGATGCCCAAGTGATATTATCTAAGATTTGTTTATCTTCTACCAGTGTACCAGCTGGTACTTTAAATACATGAGGTGTATAATCACCTGTTCCAACCTGTAATATACCAATAGTTAACTGATTAAGCTTGCTATAATTATAATTTCCATAACAATACTTAAGGGAGCTTTTATATTTTAAAAACCACACAAGTTATCATGAGATTTTTTTAAAAAGTAAGAAAGCCCATTGCTATTCTCAAATCATTAGTGTATCATAAAAGCTTTATTGACAAAAACAATTCCTTCCATGATCTAATTAGTTATAACTAAATAAAAAAAAAAGCATCATATTTGCAGCTAAAAGGAGTTACTATCTATCAGAAAGGTTTACTGGATAATATAACCATAAGAAAACATAGAACTCACCCTTATATATTTACTATCAGCTGAGAAATCCATCTGTATAACAAAACTAGGTATACCTTTACAAAAACTACTTCTATTTAAACTGGGACCTTCAGTCAGGTTATAAAAATCTACACATTTATCTTCCGATCCTACTGCTAGGTATTTATTATCAGGGCTAAATCTAGAACATAAATTATATCATGATATCAAAAATTTCCTTTGGTCTTTCAGAATTTGTTTGATTACTCACAGTTAAATATTACTTATCTTGAAAATATCATTATATATCAATCATGTCAATTAATTTTCCCATCATATATATGTAGTTATTATGTATGTATGTGTAAAATGCTGCAAGTGAAGTCTATGTTTCTCACTTGGTGTCTAAAAGGCATGTTTCTTAGGTTCTTAACTTATGACATGTTATGAATCATGTAACTATTGCAAACACACTAAAACTGAATATTATGCCATTTGACCAAAGCCCAAACATTATACCCTATTCTGAGCTTAACCTCACTTATGGAGAGTCTATATGGTTAATAATATACTCACTTTACATCATTGATGGCACCAGATCGATCTCGTTTTTTACCCCATAATTTCAATCCATTGACTGATAGGACCAGGAATTCTCCATTATTCAAACCTACAGCTATCAGTTCACCATCAGGACTAAAAGCTACACTTCTAGCTGAACCTACTTCTAGTCGGGCTAGTAATGTCTGTAATATAAACCATTAATATCATATTCTGTTGATAAAAGGTAAGTACAAAACATTGTTGCAACACAGTACCTAGTTGCTGAAAGCAAACTCCCCAGGACATTGGATGTAATATCACAGATTGTCTTTAAAGGATTCAAATGCACAGCATTATATCTTAGTATTAGCTCCACTGCAAATTGTTCTTGTAGGTCGAGTCATATAGCTGAGTGTTTCTACATTTGTTTAACACCTAATATCACTCTATAACCGTAGACCTACATGTCAACTCATTTTCATTGAATTCATACAGCTAATAGCTTATCTATAAATGAGGTTTTTATCCATTATACAACCCTCTTACCTTTTTGGCTATATCCCACATCCTAACAGTACCATCAAAACTGGCAGTGATAAAATGGTTGAGGGTAGGATGAGTATCTAATCCCCAGACTTCACCTTCAGAATGACCAGCAACCAGTATCTGTATATTACCTTCTTTTTCACTCAGTTCTAGTACAGAATTATCTCTAGTTCCTACTAGGATCTTACCCTGAAATAAAAGCAAATATTGAGAATGGACCATATACACATCAGATATTACAGAGAGATGGTGAAATCTTCTCCTAAGTACATAATGTTACAACAGTGGATCAAATTTCTCATTATTATCCCAAGTTTCCCTATTAAGACTAATACGTTGATACTATTTAAGCATTTGCTTAATGAAATGCATATTGAACAAACATGTCACAGTCAGATTATGCCTATGATGCTAAGGTTAACAACTCAATATTTCTTACCTTACTCCTACAAACTGATTTGACCACATCGGCTCTCTTGCCTTCATCACGGATAGGAAAAGCTTTACATCTCTTCATATCTTGATCCCATAGTTTTACCGGCCCATTATCTTTACTTCTGCTAGAACAATTATACAATAGATTTTAAAATATTGTTTAAATAAATGTTTGTTTTTTACACATCAAATTTTGTTTTGAGAAGTTTTCTCCTGCCTTAAATATTAATGACCATTTCTGATTGACCTGCTATACTTTCAAAGAATTTTAAAGGCAGACTTACTGAAGAGGTGGAATGTTAACTTTCTGTTGCTGTATTCAGATGCTAAATTATAAGAAAATCTATTGTTACTTACGGTAGTTCTTTACCACCAGTTACAATAAGTCCATCACGTAATGTAGTAAACATAGAGAAGACAGGTCCAGTATGGGCTTTCTGTACTAATCTTATTAATGTATTCTCTTTCCATACATAAACATCACCACTCAGAGCTCCAGTATATGTTAAACTATTCTGTTAATGAAAAACAAGAAATATTTGAACATCTTAATCAGGCTTTACTCAAGAAAACAAAGGGGTAAAAATTAAAATATAATTTATGATGACAAAATTTTTCACAGGTGAAAACTCATTAAGCAGTGGTCTATCTTAGATTTATAAAATATTCTAAATATCTCACAGATATAATATTATCATGACCAGTACTTGAAGGATACCAGATATTCACTAATAAATACAAATGTCATATAAATAGATTTCAAATACGTACCATCTTGCCATCTCCAAACAGCTAAATTATGATCATCTTCTAACCCAACTGACAGGAGAAGTTTACCAGTACATGAGAAATCCACAGAACAGACACCTTTAGAATGGACCCCTCGTATTATAGACAGTGTTTTCTTAGTGACAGCATCCCATACATGTACTGATGGCTGATTACCAATCTGACCTGTAGCTATGACGTTTTTAAATTTAGGATGTTGGTTGACATCTAGACAGATGATATCATCAGTGTGTTCGAGATAAAATGATTGGCTTCCTGAAATCAAATCAAAATGAAAGTATAGTCAAGCAATTAATACCTATCTACCATCAAAAGTTGACTGCTTGTGTTTATCATCTTTTCAAATAACTTCAACTTGCTTCTTATAATTGAGAGTCCAATATGTAGGCCTACAAATGTGATTCAAAAATGACAAGAAACAATGCTAATATGCCCTTATAAGAGCACAAGCAGAATTTTCAAACCTGAAAACTTTAGATAAAGTAATATCAATGAAACAGTGAGTATTTACTGTACCTGTGGACATATTTTGTACAATACCAGCACCAGCAGCGTGAAATACAACATCATTGGCATCATTACAATAATACAGATTACTTCTAGCATCAAAACCACGGTAACCATGAACATACTCTAACTGTAACTCCTGTTGAAGAAAATTATATTTATTGGGCAAGGAGGAATCTAAAGAGATGAATATATAAGTTTGAATCACTATGATATGATTTTGCAAGTAATGTTTCGACCACAGTAAACAATGAAATTCTATCATAAACTGCAAAATGCTTTGTTGAGTCCAAAACATCCACTCCTATTCAATAGATTTATAAATTTCTAGGATTCAATATAAAATTACTACTCATCAAAGTTGTTTAGGACAGTCATAGAACACACTAGAAGTACTTACATTAACTGGTGTAATTTTTCTTCTCTTACCACCAGTAGATGGAGGTAGATCAGCTTTCTGTACTAATGGTGCTTTATTAACATTTCTACTGGCAACAGGTTTACTATAACAATAATATTTTAACAATCAGCAAGTGTATATTTCTCATTAAAGCATAGATTTGGAGCACATATCTTATGATTCTGTCACATTTTAACATTAAACATTGATTGCATACTTCAATATTATGTTTATATTCACATCAACAATTGGTCACGTATTTACAAAAAATTAAGAATTGACACATTTTGCTTCTATGTACATGAGTGAAAAACCTATATGAAGAAATAGTCCTGGTAAGGATGTTTATACAGAAAAGGTTAGACTAATAAACAATAAACAGTCATTTATAAGGAACATAACTTACTTTTGTGTAGATTGTGCTTGTTCCTGATTGTGAGGTTTCACACCCTCTTTCTCTCTAATAGGACTGATATATATTTTACTGGTATAATCCATTTTCTTCTCTCTTTCTACATCACTGTCATAACCTACATTATCATAACAAAGATATAAACAGGAATAAAGCTAGGAAACAACTACAAATAACATATTACAGTTTTAGGTGTAATTCAAACTTTATCAATTTAGTCCTTGACAGAAATATTTATGATTTTATATATCACTAAATTTCAAATCCCGATCACAAATTTAAAGAAATTAATGAGTGAACTTTCCTCACTGTTTACTCTGTAAATGGACCCATATAACTTGCTATAAGATCCTTGCCAAAAAACTTAAGACTGCACCCAAGCACAGGAAATATAAGAAATGAGCCTCTTACCTTCTTCCTCTGAGTCTGTATCTGAATCATCACTTTCACCACATGTAGTAGTTTTGTTGGTAAGGGAAAGCAAATAATTTCACAAAACCAAAATCATCTGCTGTAGCTAATAAACTTTTATCTTTAGTTTAACTGGTGGAGTTGACGTCAGTGACATCACTTTTAGGTGGCCAGATTCCCTCACATGCTGTCCCTAATACACAGGTCCAACTGTCCCAGTTAAACTTCTCTATATCATTAGATTTCATGGTTATGCGATGACCTCTTGGCGCTTCGAAGAAAAGTTGTTCTTTGGCTCCTGAGTTCACCATTAATACCTTTCCTAAAAGACATAAATATGTAATTTGATAACTAGATCTTTTTCATCTAACTAATGTGATCTCTACCCCTAAATGTCACTAAAGGATTAAGATATCATGTATGTCCAAAGGTTTATAAGTGTTACAGTGGCAAGTGTTACTTTTGAGACTACATAGGAATCAGTATCCATTCTTAATCAATAAAATCAAATATTTTTGCTGAACGAACAAAAGACAAAACTGATTTTGATTAATAAAGACTAAGAAATAAGAAATTGAGTAAGGTGTTATTTCTTATTTTGAGTGCTGCAACTTCATGGAATTAATAACAAATATCTTACCATTACTACCCCAGTCTATATGAGTGATATAACTTGATGCTCCTTTACAAGTTCCTACTCTTTTAGTACTCTGTACATTATAAATATCAACAAAATTATCATGGGAGGCCACAGCTAGATATTTACCAGTATCTGAAACAATATTAATAAAATAATAGTAACGTGGCTGTATAACTATCAGACACATTATAAACTTTCATTGGAATTAATTCTATGACTACTTGAAATGATTCCTGAATTTCAAAATGATTTATCAAACACCAATTTTACAGCAATAAAAATTCTTCCTAAATTTAAATAAATATCTTAGATATTTCTAATAAAAAAAATCACTGATAAGATAACAGTTATATGTTACCCGGTGAAAATCTGATATCTGATATCTCCTCCTTTCTATGATGTATATGTATTATATCATCCATACTCTCAGCATTTACTACCACAAAACTTCCTGTAATAACAAACTATTCTGTTAGGTAGGGGCAACAAGAGGTGTTTTTTTTTATCCAAGAGAGAAATAGGGTATTCAATGTTATTATGATCTTTGTCTACTGATGAATATTGGACCATCATTCACAGATACAATAGAGTTTCCTCAAAATATCTTATCCTTCTTCATCTTAGAAATTGGAAACTGTACAATTACATGTGAAATTGAGTTGTTGAACATGACATCTCAAGTACTGAGCTTTATCTGTGAACTATTTCAAGCTTGCAAGATGGCATAATTAATCACATTAGTCAACACATTTGCCTTTCAATATGTTAAAAGAATCAGCCTAACACTTACCATCTTTCTGACCAACAGCTAAAGCTTTACCATCAGGACTGAAGGCAACACATCTTGCAGCTTGTTTTAATTCTTTAAAATTCAACATTCTATGATCTGTAGCTAGATCCCATAATCTCAATGTTTTATCATCACTAACTGTAGCATAGATAGCTTGTGTTGGGTGACAGTCTATACCCCATACTTCTCCCTCCATATGGCCCTTAAATTATAAATTTATACAACATTAAACACCAATATAAAGACCAATATTGTGGTATTACTTCTTTCATAATTAAACACATAATTTTACACCACAAGTTACAGGGGTTCATTTCAAATGGAGTGAAATGCAGAGCGGAAAATTATTGCAATAATCGAATGGTCGAAAATGAGCTCTTGACTGTGTATGAATGTTTTGCTCCATTTTTGCACTAATCTTTATATATTCATAACAAGAACATTGATCTGCTAGTCAATATACAATTTCTAAAATAGTATAATAAAAATTGAGTTTCAATTATGACAATCAATATCTCAAAAATAAGGAAACTCACTAAAAATTATCCTTTAAAAGAAAGAAAAAACAAAGGAATTACCTGTGTAAGTAATGTCATGGGTCCAGATTTATCAACTTCAATAATTTCACCATTTTTAGTACCCACTAGTATTTTACCATGGCCTAATACTATAGCTCTAATAGCTGGTGATTCTTGAATCAGCATACCTCGTGATCCTTGGGCAATAGCAGCTCTTTTAAGAGCATAGGTCTTTAAACATCTGTCAAACTGATCATCCCATAAACCAACTACTCCATCTTTACCTCCTGTTACAAATCCCTAATAAAAAAAAATTTGCTTTTTTTTAATATTTTAATCAGTTGGTAATCATGTTAATACACTCTCTCCCCAGAGAGACATATTTAATAGATTTGTAGCATCAATGTTCGCAATTATGACTTTTACTTTAATTCATAATCCATAATACATGCAGATATATAAAAATATATTTCTTGAGCTTTAGATTATAAGATAATATAAATTCTATTGGTTGGACTAGATGATGACAAATGATCAGGATCACCCACATACTGGCCAATAAAATTTTTTGATGTTTTATATATCTCTAGGCAACTAGCGTGCAATTGACACAAGACTACTATGAAGTGCCAGCAAGTATGAAATAGAAGCAATTACCTTATCCAGAGAATGCATGGAGAAGACAGGTCCTTCATGAGCTTTTACTACTTTCTGTAAGTTTAAACCTTGCCATATAAAAACGTTACCATCACTACCACCAGAAAAACATAAATCATCTGATTTACCATAGGCTACACATAACATATCACATAGTTTAGCTACTTTACCTAGAGTTCCTCGGTTGGATGTAAACCCACCTCCTGTAAGGATAGAAAATATACAATTCAAATGCTATTTCATACTTTACATAGCATTAAATTGTTACTTATGCCATATTGTGCAAGATGACTAAAACTTTGCATAAACAGAAATGATATACCGGACTTTGCCATGTTGTGCTCATTGGCATACAAAAACTGATTCCATCACTGACTTGACCACTAAGAAATAAAGACAACAAACCTGTTTGGGTCCAGAATTTGATATGTTTAACACCAACTGATACTAATTTACTACCATCGAATGGATTCCATTTTACTACAAATATCTTGTCTTTGTGACCTCTGAAGTAGATAATAACAAAAAATTACTTTCAAAATATCCAAATTTACATGACAATTGTTACTTTATTAATACACTTACAAAATTCTCACCAGCAGTTCTTACAAACTGCCATAGTTAAATCAGCTCATAGTTTGGTAAACGTTTTCTATTTCAAGGTTAGCAAATGACAGAGGTAGACATACTCTTCAAACCTTCAATAACACTCTACTCTTATCAATTATAATAAAGAAGACTTACCTAGTAGAAGCTAACTTTTCACCCTTTTTCCAGTCCCACACTACTATAGTATGGTTATCATCTAATCCTACAGATACTAGCTTTTTACCATCACCTAGTAAAATAAAGACAGTAATAAGTGTTTCTTTCTCTTAATTCCAAATCATCAGTTACAAGACCTGAATCATCTGATACATTTTGTCTGATCTGATCATCTATCTACAACTTCCATTCCATCTGATTCAGAATAGTGTCATATTGATATCATTAGTTCATATTGTGGTCTTAAAACTCATTGTTAAGTAAGAGTTATCTCCCATATTTTCCTTCTCAGTAAAACAGAGTTGTCTGCTCTTAAGGTAGATTGTTTGCATAGATATCCTATAAATAACTAGATGGAACGTCATAGCGAAGAGCCAATGAGAGCAGTGAAGAACGGGAAGTCAGCCATTAAGCTACCAACGTCCCGCGTTAGGCCTATTGACGTCGTGTTTTTCTACACAAATCCTAGATACATAAACTCCAATTTGGGTGAATAAACACAGTATTTCATACCTGTCCTGTAGCCACTAGATCTTTCAATGGATGGATACATAAACACAGTATATCATACTTGTCCAGTAGCCACTAGATCTTTCAATGGATGGATACATAAACACAGTATATCATACTTGTCCAGTAGCTACTAGATCTTTCAATGGATGGATACATAAACACAGCATATCATACCTGTCCCGTAGCTACTAGATCTTTCAATAGATGGATACATAAACACAGTATATCATACCTGTCCAGTAGCTACTAGATCTTTCAATAGATGGATACATAAACACAGTATATCATACTTGTCCAGTAGCCACTAGATCTTTCAATAGATGGATACATAAACACAGTATATCATACCTGTCCTTTAGCTACTAGATCTTTCAATGGATGGATACATAAACACAGCATATCATACCTGTCCTTTAGCTACTAGATCTTTCAATGGATGGATACATAAACACAGTATATCATACCTGTCCTTTAGCTACTAGATCTTTCAATGGATGGATACATAAACACAGTATATCATACCTGTCCTGTAGCTAATAGATCTTTCAATAGATGGATACATAAACACAGCATATCATACCTGTCCTGTAGCTACTAGATCTTTCAATGGATGGATACATAAACACAGTATATCATACCTGTCCTGTAGCCACTTGATCTTTCAATGGATGGATACATAAACACAGTATATCATACCTGTCCTGTAGCCACTTGATCTTTCAATGGATGGATACATAAACACAGTATATCATACCTGTCCTGTAGCCACTTGATCTTTCAATGGATGGATACATAAACACAGTATATCATACCTGTCCAGTAGCCACTAGATCTTTCAATGGATGGATACATAAACACAGTATATCATCAGTATGACAGGTGTAGAATTTCTGTTGATTTTTCTCTTTACTATAAACTATACCAGTGGCAGCAACATGATACACTATTTCACCACTTTGTGTATAGAATAAATTATTACGACAATCATACCCACGATATCTGAAACGAAAAGCAATTCATAAATATCCAAATAATAGATACATACAAGTATAATAGATTTTCCAATGAAAAGATAGTCTTCGATAATTTCTACACTCTTTTGAAGCTAGGAGATTGAAATACTTTAAAATGCCTGTGTAAAGAACACATAGAAACTGTACAAAGAGTTTAGATATGGTATCATGCATAATAAGCCCTGTTCTTCATATTTACATTGAATCATACTATACAATACACTGATATGGGAAAGACAAAAACAAACACAAAATTCGAAGAGCCTATTAAATTCTTAGACCTACCCATGAATATAAGAAAGTTTAAGACTATCAATGGGTCCCTTTTTTCTTTTATCTCCAGCTTTCATATCTTGTCTCATCAATTTCTTCAGTGATTTGGTATCTTCTTTATATATAGCTCTATCATAGCTCACTTGTTTCTCACGTTCTAAATCACTATCTAGTTCTCCTACATCTGATAGGTCACTATCACTAGCTTCACTGTTACTATCTAGATATGCTAAAAGTATAAATATTAACCCCGGTCTTGTAAGAATCGATAAATTTTAAAATGTATGTATGTATCAATACCATAAAAAAATTATCTTTTTTGACCAAATATTATCTCAGTTTATTAAAGATGAAGACCTTTTACTAAATACAGTTGACTTCTGTTACGTTAATTGTCAATAATGCGAAATAATATAATCTGGCTTCTGTACTGATGTGTGTTGATTTTGTGTACATTCATATGTCATAGTTTTTATTTTTAATTATTTCATCAATTTTGATGAAAGGAATTATGTGTGGTTTGATACAAGTCATGATAAACTTACCATCTACACCTCCAAGACTCAAGTCATCACTACCAGATCCTTGTGGATAAAATTTCCATTGAAATATAGCATGATCAGCACCTCCTATAGATATCACTTTCTGTTTATCAGATGAAAATCGAACATTACTAACATGGGCGGAATGACCTGTATACTTTCGGAATTTAGCCCCTGAAAAAAAAGTTGCATATCATTACCCAGTATATGTTTTATTGTTATTATTCTTCTTTCAAAACTGTTTCGTTTTATCACTTTTCTAAGATTTATTCATTTTGAATTGTTGCAATTTTAATCATATTTTGCTGAAGAAAAATTTTGTTTTGCCACGCTTTATTTATGAGTTCTGTAATAAGCACAACACTTTTTGCTTATTTGTCGCTATTTCCTTCTGAAATGATCCAGGTATGTCTATCAGGATAATTCATGCCCACTCATGCTTGTACTCTTTGACTTTTGGACAGCACATGTTTGTTTTGTTTGTGTAATGCAACTCACCTTTCTTCAAGCAAGGGAATCTAAAAAGTTTGACTAAACCAAAATCGTCACCAGTGACAACAGTTTGAGCAGCAAAATTAGCATCTACAGCATTGACATCATTAGTATCAGTATATTTCTCCCATATACCACTGACCTCTGCTCCCAGTACACCAGTAAATGATGCCCAGTGGATAGACATTATCTCTTCTTTATTGGTAGCTTGTTTACCCACTGAAATCACAAAACAATTTACAGGTATGAAAATTTCCTCCAAAAATAACTGCAATAAGTACTGTATAATTGTAAATATAGCTTAGAAGCAAGTGTTTTGCTTACCCCATTATGACATTAGACATATGATTTAAGCACATGTTTCCTTACAAATACACAAGATCAGCAAAACATAATACAATATTTTAATGATAAGTCAAATAACATGTTAGATCTTATAAAAATATATTAAATAGTAGTTTCAACTAACATACTGATCAAACTGAAAAGGACAAGAATAACATACCTGGCATTTTAAAGAAGAGTCGTTCTGAAGCACCACTATTAGTCTGAAGATATTTACTGTCCTCTGACCAATCAATATGGGTGATAAAACTAGAACTACCAGAACATGTTCCAACTCGTTTGAATCTCTGATCCACGGAATAAATATCAACAAAGTTATCATTAGATGCTACAGCCAGAAACTTGCCACATGGTGAAAACTTCATTTCATGTATAACTTCTTTACGATCTTTCATATGGATCACCTCAGATAGGTCTCTGTAACAAGGGAAGATAATTCGAATAAAAATATCACCAGATGGCTGATTTTCTGTAATGTTGAAGTTTGAAACATATTTTTCCATATAACAGAATATTGCAAAATGTGAATAGGATTGCAATCATTTATAGAGCAATATCTAGTGCTCAGTTCACTGTCATTTGTTTCACAAAAAACATGTTAAAACATATAATTTATGATGATGATAAATGATAATTTAGAATAAAAACATGTTGAGGTGATAAATTAACAGTTTGTTTAAAATATATGAAATGAATATCAAACTTTCTTGAATCAATGCAAACTGCAAAGAAATTGTAAAGAATGTTACACAGAGGGTATTCATAAACTAACCTTGATCTTAACACCATGAATGAACCGTCAGTAAATCCAACAGCTATCTGGTTTCCATCAAAATCAAATGAACACGATCTGATTTTATTCTCTAGGGTTGTTTTAGATAAGAGTTCTGAGTTGGTCATATTCCATAATCTAAATAAAATAAATATTCATAATGTAAAATATGATCAGATGGAACATAGAACAGAACGAAGGGCAATCTTAGAGCCAAAGAGCACATGCTTCCATCAAGAAGAATAGCTCCCCTACCTGCTTCTAACAACCCCATGATTTTATATATTTGTACTTATATAATAGTCTTTTAAATAATTTATGAATAGAACTACAACTGAACTTTTTGTTGTATATAGAATAAGAGTATCTACTATTTAGGTAAGGTTACTAATCCCTCTAAACTTTTATGCAAATAAATAAAACAGATAGATGTATGTCTACTTCACTTCACAGAATGACAATTCTATTGAAAAGCAATGAAGAGAGTGGCTTTTACAAATGTTCTATTTAAGAAAAAAATTCTGAGCAGCTATCATTTTAAACTTTGGTACACTAGCATACTGTGGGCCCTCAAGCAAATTACAAAGAGCTAGCATTTTTAGCTTTATACCATACCTCAATGTCTGATCATCACTAGCAGTAGCGAAGATTGGTTTCCTAGGATGAACAGCCAGGGCCCAGAGTTCACCTTCAGCATGACCTTGAACTAAGCATTGAGGTTTATTTTTGTCTTTTACATCAATTTCAAATATTTCACTGTCTTGTGTTCCTACTAACAATCTATCAGCTCTCCAACATACACTACGTACACATAATCCTACAAAACAATGAATAGGTCTTCAATAATGTATATTTTATAGGTATAAAGCTATGGTACTCACATTAAAATAAATAATTTGAATTTTATATGAGATATATTTACATTCAAATGACACAAGCAAATCCATGCCCTGTGCCATGATAACGTCAGACTCTGCCTACAGTTTTTTTTTTTATTGTCCATGGCTCTTTCAAGTATAGAGTTTGTATAGACTTGCATTAAGTCTTGTCATATTATGCCAATCACCTGTCAATTTAGCCTACAAATTTCGCATCAAATATGTAAAAGCAAGCACAAGTTTTACCATGGATATTAATCACCTATCCTTGTCCTGTCCTGGATCTCTTTAGAATTTACAAAGTGAGAAATACTCATCCCATACCTTTATAGCCATCTTGAGAGTTAGCCAAATTTACAGCTGAGATAGGCTTAAAATCAGTGTCCCATAGTTTAACCATAGAATCTTTACCACCAGTTGTATATCCTTCATCACACATATCTAATGTATAGATAGCTCCCTACACAAAAATTTAAATATACCAGTTTAACACAGACATTTACTACTAATATCATTTCATTTAAATTTCTTAATCTCTCCTGAAGATTATCATAATGGATGAATTAAAATAAATTAATGATATCTTACTTACATTATGTGCCCCCTGTATCACACTATCTAGTGTATTATCTTTCCATACATAGACATCACCAGCTAGCGTACCTGAGTAAGTAATATTACCTGGTCCAAACGCTAAACATAGTATAGTCTGAATCTCTCCTATCTTACCAAATATACCTATTAAAACAATATACAATAAACTCATTTAGAAAAGAACAACATGACAAAGACTACCATTTACAGCCTTCAAGTAATAATTCTCTTTATAGTAAAATGACAACTTCATTACTGGAAAGATGCTTTTATTACTTTATACTTATTTTCACTTCATTGGTGAAACAATTATCATATATATATTATCATATATCAAACAATTGGTCTTGTATAAATACTTAAAGCATGTGCAGCAATAAGATCTCACCTTTTTTAGGTGTTAAGGCGTTACCACATAACGTCCAGAATTTAATATGTTTAACACCACATGATACGATAGTATTGTCCATATAAGGATGGAACTGTACATCAAATACCTAGAAAACAAATTTTTATATCATATTAGAGATGAAAATACAGAATTCAGATGATCCTCTCTACTAGCAGGTGCTTGGTAATGGTGTCTCTCAGTTTTAATATTGAATATGAGTTAACAGCAATAATGAGGAATGCTTACTTATTCAAGCCTCTTAGGCTTTCGCACCCCAAATCTAGACCAAAAGTTTTGAAAGTAAACCAACTTACCTTATCAGAATGTCCTCTAACTGTAGCCAATATTTTACCTTTTCTCCAATCCCATACATTAATAGTAGAATGTTGATCCAATCCCACTGATACCAGTCTCTACAATGTACAATAAAGTTCACACATTCATAAGAATTAAGTTATTCACAACTTTTACAAGTCATCAAAATAAGCAATTAAAAAAACAGAAATTCTAATTTTCCTAAACCATTAAAGACAGAACTCTGTGTAGAGAGAAAGTGACATCAAAATTAGGGCTGGGTAACCAAATTGAGATTGATAATTGATCAATAATCGACTAATAATCGAAATAATTCATTTAAGAAATCCTGTTAATACTAAATTAAAAACATGCCAAAATTCTTAATTGCATGGGTTATTTTTGTTTTGCTTTGCTTGGTTATAATTGTTTATTGTGAGTATGCTATGTGCTGAAGGGAAACCATGTGGGAACGGTGGAGAAAATGAAGCTTTGACATATAATCAATTATGAAATTAGATAATCGATAATTGAAATTATTAATTTCATAGCAATGATAAACAATAATTTTGATTATTTTAACCCAGCCCTAATCAATATAGAGAATACTTACAGAGCCTTCCTTATCAAATCCCATAGCAGCCACCCCATGTTCATGTCCATCTTTTAAAATCGATACAGTTTCACAAGTAGCAGCATCCCATACACAAATATACGGTTTTTTACCAATTTGTCCTGTAGCTACCAGTGTTTTCTCAGGGTGTAGAGTTAAACTGTAACAAATATGTCAACACCCATTAAATCTTTTATTGATATATGATTGCTTCATTTTAATTTCAATCTTGAAATAAGCATAAAATGAAACAAAATGAATTTCAATATATGAACTTTAAAAAAACGCAAAATGTGATTTTCAGATGAATTATGCAAAGACAGTAGATGTGAATATTAGCATGATGTTTGCTTTAGTAATACAATCAAAACTTATTATATCTCCATATTTGAGGTTTTCTTCTATACAGTTATTTATAACATAACATAGGGGTATATATGTATCAGTTAAATGGTAGGCAGGGTATTGCCATTCTGTAAAATGTAGGTAACTATACAGTTATACTATGATATATTTACATATAGTAGTGGATACATTGTACAACACTGTTGTAACATGTTCCAACTTGTATTCAAAATCATCAATGAAAATATTTTCAAAATGCAACAATTCCTAATTAAATTTAATATATTTGCATTTCAACTACTGTTAAACAGGTTTTATTTATCAGTTTCCATAGTTACCTGATAATATCATCATCATGTCCCAGGAAAAATCGTTGTTTATGGTCTCGAACAGAGTAAACAATTCCAACGCCGGCCACAAAATATACAACATCTTTATTAGACGTATAATATAAATTATTACGGCATTGATGACCTCTGTAACCGTAGACCCATTCCAATTTCAGTTGAGATTGCGGGGCTGTTTTGTCTGCCATCTTTCGAGATCGTACAAATCTTGTTTTTTATTATAGTAACTCAAGATACACTCACTCTCCTGGCCATTTCTACCGCCACAGTAATGTCAAGACAGCGCATGTACAACGTCCCCGGTGGTCGATTTAGTTAGCAAAATCGACCTGAATTGAAATCACAGGCATCCGAAACTCTCTGATAAAAGGCATGAATTCCTGTAAAGTAAGTGTTTAATGGATCTTACAAGCATAATTAAATGTATTCCTGTCTAAAGATTTAGTCTGGGGATTGAAAAGAAGAAAATTAGTTTGGAAAGAAGGTACCTAAAAAGGCTAAACATTAGTTTTGTCGCTGTCGTTTGTATGCTGTCTCTTTGGTTTGTTTGTTACCACATTCGTTTGTATCTGTGGTGTGTTTCTTATCATATTCGTTCGTCCCTATAGTTTGTTTGTTTGGTGTTACATTCTTTTGTCTCTGTGGTTTGTATGTTATCACATTCGTTTGTCTGTGTTTTGTATATTATGTCACATTAAGGTACCTAAAAAGGCTAAAACATTAGTTTTGTTGCTGTCGTTTGTATGCTGTCTCTTTGGTTTGTTTGTTGTCACATTCGTTTGTATCTGTGGTTTGTTTCTTGTAATATTCGTTTGTCCCTATAGTTTGTTTGGTGTTACATTCTTTTGTCTCTGTGGTTTAATTGTATGTTGTCACATTCGTTTGTCTCTGTGATTTGTGTCTTGTCACATTCGTTTGTCTCTGCGGCTTGCGGTTGTCATATTCGCTTGTCTCTATAGTTCGTGCGTTGTCACATCCTTTTTTCTCTGTAGTTTGCGTCTTGTCGCTTTCGTTTGTTTCGCCCCTTATCACATGTTGTTGCCTTTTGTATGTTTTTTCTTGTCTTATTTATTTATTCCCACGGTTTGTTTTTTTATTCACATTTGTTTATATATAGTTACATGTGTCGTGGAATAGACAAGTCCCGCTGTTCATGACCGTTTCCATGTGTCCTATTTTCAGTTTTCTTATGACATTGGTTTGTCGCCTGTCACCGTTGTTTATCCAGTTTATGTATCGTTTCATGTCACATTCGCCTGTTTCTATAATCATAATTATGTAATGTTGATAAGTGGCCTATGCATTCTTTGGTTGTCCCGACATGCATTCATCCGATACCTAGTCAGAAACATCTGCCTCTATTCCAGCCTATGATGGATATTTTGACAGTTGTCAGGTGGAGTAGAGTCAGAAGAAAAAGACCCTGTTAAATGGGGATTTTCCACACCTCCAAAGATAATATTGAATTACCTCCAAGAAATTGTAAATAACGCGCACGCAGTTTTAAATAGCCGATGCTAGATCTGCAGTTTCGCAAAAAAAACGTTGATGGAACCAGAGACGGGACATAAATGGTGTAGGGAGAAAATGATGGCATGACTCAACTACAAAAATATTCTTCTTACCAAATATATCTGGGTTTTGCAGATCCGAGGTATCTAAACAGGTTTAAAACCCCCGCACCTGCGGAGATGCGGAATGTCTCCATTTAACAGGGCCTATTTTTTCTGTCTCTACACCAGCTGACATCAGAATTATTCTGTCTAAATCAGAGGCTGGAATAGAGACTAATGTTTCGGTCTAATCTGAATGTGCCTGGAGCAAACTTAAAACTAAGTCTGATGTAAATTCAATATGTTTCAGCTTTTGGAATTCAATACAAATACGCGAGGGTTAAAAAATCTTTAATATTTAATCAAAGTTACGACGATATCCAAAATGATAAAGATATTATAATGATGATAAATGATTTTGTATTAAAGTATTGACAGGTTTCAGTCGAATACGACACCCGTTGCAGCCTTCCTTTTTTTACTATTTGGATTCACAACACTCATTCCAGCCTTTTTAGGCTTTGCCTTGGACGACGCTGCTGCCCCTCTTTTTGACCCAGTATCAAAAATAGGATTAGTTCCCTTATTAGCTGACTTTTCTAACTGAAGTTTGTCAATTTTCTGGTTTGCTACGGACAGCTTTTGTTCCAGATTAATTGCTTTCTCTGCCAATCTGAATAAAACATTTTTCATGTCGGTTTTCTTGTCCGCTGCTTTGGCTTCATACAGATCGAAAGCTATGGAGGAGGTCCCTTTACCAATGGACAACTTCATCTTGGTTCCAACTTTGGCTACAGAAATGTCTCCTGCCACAAATCCATTCCTGAAGACAAGAAAACAAAAGATCAAAACCATGCGGCTTTCAAATTCAATTGATATTTGAATGATTGAAATGTAGGGCCTATTCCTTTATAAAAGGATCGTGAAATAAACCGAAAATATATATACACATACAGTAATATTTCGGACTACAAAACAAAATCGACCTAGGTTAAGAGACCAAAGGCATCCGCACGGCAAATATATCTATTTTTCTGAAGTTAAGGACTCTGCGATAAGAAATTAACCTGATTTTAGAGCAGAAAGCGTCATCTTTATCGATGTTAGTCAATTCTTTGTGGGTCTGAAAATCGTCTTCGTCCACAGATAATCTCCAAACATTTACACCATCCGTGACACAAATCGTCCATTGTAAATCGAAAGTAGTGAAACACAAATATTTTTCATCCCCATTTTGTATTGTTTGATTTAGTTCACAGATCTGGTTGTCTGTAAGAATGTCCTTAGCCATTTCGACTTCAAATTAAGTATTTTTCTGTTTTAAAATTGTTTTATTTACTCTCAAATTCACAAATGGCTTATTATCACGATTTACCTCCCTTCAATGGTGAAGATGTTTGTCTGAATGGTTCTTCTACTCTTGTTCCTTGGAATATAGATTTTAAAAAAATCTTTGTTAAAAGTGAATTTCTTTTCATATTACGTCAAATAAATCAATGATACTAATTATTTTGTCCCTCTAATCATATCTTTTTTGCTTCCGAATTTAGTATGCAGATAAATGACAGTTTTCGGATTAACAAAGAAGCAAGTACACCAAAGTCAATTAGGTCAAATGTTCTCACCGGAAATGAAGAGTTCCATTCAGAAAATCGATTGTTGATTTGCCTGTACCTCCTGAAAAGCGGTTAGATAGGAATTATTTAGTCCAGATTTATGTGTTTCGTAGATACTTTTTGAGAACAAACATGTCTCTTGATCTTCCAGTTAATGAAATTAAATTAGAGCGCGGTGAAACAGGTAAAATCATCATAGATAGGTCGTCAATACTAACAAAATATACCGGCTGAGCTGGATCATGAATTCCTATATTTTCATAGTTGTACCATTCTAGAATACTGATTATGACTTGCCACTTTACAACTGCCTATTTTGATTGAAATGTAAGACAGCCTAGTCTGAAATATCTACTCAGTCACTTTTGATGAAACATGCAATTTGTTGTAGTAGGAAGAGACAGTAACATAATTTGAACTGACACACTACCAATTTCGCATGATTTTAATTTACAGTAACTTACACTGTCACAAACCCTTCACCTTATTAAGAGAAGCCACACAAGTAACTAGTAAAAGTAGTTACAAAAAGCAATGATATTGCTTACATCCCAGTTGATGCATGTGGAGAGCATGGGTGGCAGTGTTTCCCTATTCACATGTGCAATTTTTAAAGTTATTAAACTCGCATACGAAATTTAAAAAAATAAAAAAAACTTTTGGAATTTTTTAATTTCTGCATAGATCTATGTTCTGATGACAAAGGAACTAGAGCAGGTGAAATAATTGTGAACTGATGCTAAATTATGATAAAGTTTAAAATGTTACCAATACTAAGTTAATTTGGGCTCTTTAGATTTAAAAAAACAAAAAGATTTATCCCTAAAGCTAACTCTGACACAATGTTTAAATTGTTGGGCCGTCATTATTGTAACTTTTTTGGTATCATTGAATAGCATTTGATTAGATTGGATTTTCAAGAGTACTCCGCCTTTGATGACACCCATCTCCAATAACCTGAACAATACCAAATGCACAACTAATGAAAAATTGATACAATTTTTATTATCAGATTCATGCATATTGGAAATGTTTGATACCATAATCAATATCCCTGAATTTGGCACAAATAGTGATAAAACTATCACTCATCATAGAATGTTTTCTTCAGTTCTGTCAAACTACTGCCATTTGATTAGATAAATGTATACAATAATAAAATATTTCCACTGTTAAAATAGTGCTCACTAAATTAATTGTAGAGCGATAAATTTACATATTATGCAACTATCATGACACAATGAAATGGCCTCTTTACTAACAATTTCATTGTACATCTGATGACCAGAGACAAATTAAGAGGAATTAATGTTAAACAAAACACAAGACAATATTATGGAATATAACACTCTTCTTTAATAAGGTTAGGCACATAACGTTTCAACACAATATACACGTGTCGTCATCATATGTCATTGAATCTTACAGGAATTAATGTTATCAAATCAAATGGTAGTAGTTTGATAAAATCGAAGTAAAATACACCTCTATATTTTCAAATTCGGAATGAGTGATTGCTTTATCATCAGTAAGTCAGCTTCTGAAATCTCACTGGATCAGTTTTTTGAACTTATTTAGCTCAATTCTCAAACATTGAAACCAAACTTCAGAGCATGTTAAATTCAAACAATAAAACTATTGGATTTTTTAATCTGATTTGATTTTTGATTCCAAATAACAGAAGATCACTGCTAAATAATAATAATTATAATTAATAAAACTGTGACATTTTTTTTTGAATATGTGATAAATCTAGGTATTAATTTTGCAAAATTTATATGTTGATACTTTTAATATTGGAAAAATGATGTCTCGATTTATCTGAGTTGTATGAAATACTCTTCATGTGTGATATATAATAGTCTGATAAAAGTTCCTGGATTAGAATGTGAAATTTGTATGTGAAATCAGATGTTGCAACTTCCTGTAAAAAAAATTTGAATTACTTATAGGTCAGCAAGGTCAAATTTGATTTTCAAATAAATAATTTATAGTGTAAGCAACCAGATGAGTGGAGTTATTTAATTATTGATTAACTACAGTGTATAGATGTACTGCCATAAGATCAGGTGGTTTATATTTACTGGTATACTTTAAACCATATGCTAGGATATGTATAGTTATACATCATCTGATTCTTGTAGCATTGCAATAATATTTCATTTCATCAGAATTAGACTTGTTGTACCCTGACAAACTAGAATTATACTATTTTTAGAACAAGGGTGGGAGGTTCATGGTTGAATTTCACTTGTTCAACTCTGTTATAATATGAATGGAAATACTATTACTTTCTATTACTTTATATGCTCAGATTTACCGGAATCAGTTTTAATTCCTATTTAAAGGTTTTTCTACATATGAATATGGGAAAACACAAAAGATTTTGAGCTTTATGTTCAAAATTCTAAGAAAATTTTAAACCCTGACTATTTTGATAGGATGGGGGTGGGGGTTGGTGATTGACCTCAGGAATAGCAGAATTCAATAAACAACTGGCTTTTCATCAACTTTTAGCAACTGGTGGCATAATATGAAAGAGTTGATTACTATATGTATTTTTGTCAGCTCTGATACACCAACACCAGTTCATGTTCTATTTGCTAGCAGAAATTTGATCTATTGGTAGACCTAGACTCTCAGAATCTGTGATAATGTAGTTGCTTGCTGTTGTTCACAATCGGTTATTCTGAGCAACAGCAACTTTGATGCTATACCCTGAAATTTTGACTCTGTATATTTTAATATCATCTATGCTTTGTCCCAAGCTGTCACTTAGCAAATAATGCAAATTCATAATTTTGACTTTTGCTTTTCAGGGCTAGGTTTCAATATAAGAGGTGGTATAGATATTCCCCATTTAAAGAGTGATTCTGGTATATTTGTGACGAAGTTAAAGGAAAATGGAGCTGCTAATAGAGATGGTAGAATAAAAGAAGGAGACAAATTATTAGAGGTAATTATACAAATTTAAGTTATATAGTAACACCTGTTGATACAGCTCAATTTCAGCTGGTCTTTTCACTGTTTAGAATTCAACATCTAATTCTCATCATTAATTTTATGTAACCACCGTATTGTTTTATTTTAGATAAATGGTACTGATTTACGCAATGTTACTCATTCTGAAGCTGTTCAAGCATTTTTAAGTGCAGGAAACACTATAGCTCTTAAAGTACAGCACGGTGCAGAAAAGCATATTTTGGTGAGATATTATATATTTTTCGAACATTTAGGTTTTATCAGTGTTGTTTGTTAAGAATTCCTACATCTATAGCTTTTTTCATAATATTTATTACTCTGGTGAAGTGAAAACCGTCTAATTGAATTTTTTACAACGACAACTGCAGGACAGGGCATGACAGGCCATACTTATCCTTGTGATGTATGGTGTCACTATGCTATGAAACTCTTTAGTTTAAAGGAATCAACAGATAATTGATCATTGTTTTTGATGGGGCAAGTAGTAATAATATCACATATTGTGCATAGAAAGTGTGGCATTCTTACAAAGATTGTTCTGTTCTGAATAATTATTTAACTAATAATGTTTATTTGCATTATATTTATTCCAATTATTTCAGGAACTACTAAAAGATAGTAAGAAACCAGTGCTGCCAGAGGAACCTGTACAAAAATCTAGTGGATTCTCCTATTTAATGATCTTATTCGGATTACTATCAGCTGGTGGTGTGGCTTTTTTTGCTTACAAGAAATATAAGCAGGGCAATTTGTGATGTAGTTTAGTAGACATATAAAAACATTATTTTGTGTGACTGTAGCAATATAAAATGTAGTTCATGAACTGATGGTAGATGGTCAACCTAATCAACAGAAGATAACTTGAATGAGCAACTCTTTCTCTTTCTGTGGTTGTAGAAATAACTCACCTTTTATTTTTGCACTGGATTTAAATGTTGTTTGGTAATAATGGATTTATTTACTTTCAATTTATTGAATCATCATACTCCAATTGTTTCTTAATATGAATAGGCATACTGTGACCAGTCGTCGAAGATAATTTATATTCATTTATCCGGTACTTCTAGGCTAACTTTATTGATTATTGAAGACCTCTTACATATCAAATATCCGGTGGCTCGGAAAAAACGATAACACTTTCATTTCAGGATTTTTCAAAAAGTATCAAAGCTATGATCATAATATTAGACCTCATATATATATGGATACTAGACAATACAAAATATAAATGGTCACCCTCAAACTCTTGATCTACAGTGTGTTTTCTCTAGCTGAAAAAATTATCAAGGCTATTCGACCTATAAAACTTTAATTTGGTAAAAAAAAGATGTCCATTATCTCTAAAAATATGAAATAATATGCTCATAGATTTGATACTTTATGAAAAATCCTGAATTAAAAAGTGCTATTGTCTTGTTCTGGGCCACGCGATTTATTGTATTACTTGTACATAATATTAACTTTATTTCTTCTGCTTTTGCTCAATATACATGGTAAAATGTGTTGAAACCTTGATTAAATGTCCATTGGCTTGCTAATAATATTTTAAATGTAGTATTTTGATTTTTAGTGGTAGAAGGTTTATGCAGGACTAACCTTACCTTACTTATTTCATATAATATGCTGATCGAGTAAAAACCAGTCTATACAGGCTGCGTATTCTCGAAAGATCAAGATCGCCAAGATTATTTTGAGAATACTTGGTCAGTATTCCATTTTACTATAAACGTCTTGTTTATGAACCTAATTAAGTTATAACTTTTACAAAAAATACTGATTTTTTAAATTTTCAACCATTCAACCATATATTTAACTCTTCATTTTGACTATGATATAAATGTTTCAAAATATACTCTTTAAATTGGCACAGACTGCTACTTTAAATTAAACTGTCCTGATAGAGAGGATGACAAGTTAGTCAGGAATATCCAACTTTAAAGAACTGGGCTCTGAAGAAGCAACTTGCTAATCGCACTGATAGTTTGACCTTTTATATTGTAGAATGTTAATTTTTGTGTGATAGTAATCTCAAATTGTGTGATGTAATTTGGCTGTTTATTGTTTCATTTGGTGCACAATGTTCATTATTTCAATCACTTCTCTTTTTTTTAATAAATTTTTTTTTAAGACAAAACTCTTCTGAAATTAATCATAGTTGACAGCTTTACTGAATACATATTAGGCTAATTCCTGCAAGGTAGAAGTAAAACAGCATTAATTTGCACTTTCAGGGTAACAGGAAATTCTCATATTAGGTGGGATTTTCTTGGACACAAACTGCACAAGAGTAATCATGGACTTATACAGAAACTGACAATAAAAATATAACAATGACCCAGAGTAAATATCAAGGATGAATTCTCCATGTGAATCAAAACCTTGAAGATTTCGCTTCATGTATTTCGTTACTTCAATGTTAGATTTTTAAATATTTTGAGGTTATGCATTGTCTTTTATTAATTTTCTTTCTTCAGGGATTTTTGTTTCATAATTTTCTGATATAAATTTGGCTGAGATATAAAGATTTTGTGTTTTTTTACTAGTCAGTTGAGTATTAATGTTTCCTTTTAAAAATATAATGTCTAGATAAATAATGTGCTCTGTGTTCAAATCAGCCAATCATACAATAGGAATTTTCATCTAAGTGAAACCAGTTCTGAATAGGTATGTTTTGATTGGATGAATTTGAACTGTGGGTATTAAATTCTTGCATAAGTAAATCCTGCCTGAGGCACAAGCTATTTTGTTACCCTTATAATTCCCACTGGAATGTATAGTAGGTGAAATTAGTGTAAGTTATAGTAAAGAGATTAGCTATGAGTGAAGAAAGTATTGATAATAAAGTGTTGTAAATTAGATTATCTACACAGTGTGATCTGAATAAAGTTACCTTATACATACATTTGTTATTTAATTTGTAAAGACAACACATCAGAAACAGGTACATGTATTTTATTTGATTGAATTCAAATATCAGCTGGTTAACTGAACGTGACACATCCATCAGCTGGCGAACTGAAATGAATTAACAGGTCCGTCATTGGTTAATCAAAATGAATTTGACACATCCATCAGCTGGTTAAATGGGAAGAAAGTGACACATTCTTCATCTGGTTAACTGAAACTGATGTGACACGTCCATCAACTGGTAAATTGAAATGAACGGGACTCATCCATCAGCTGGTTAATTGAAAATGAAATGAAATGAATAGAGTTTTACGTCCTAGCTGGTTAATTGAAATAAATTTAATGTAACACACCCATCAGCTGATCAATTGAAATAAATGTAATGTAACACATCCATCAGCCGGTCAATTGAAATAAATGTAATGTAACACATCCAGCAGCCGGTCAATTGAAATAAATGTAATGTAACACATCCATCAATTGGTTTATTGAAATGAACATGTCTTATCAATCAGCTGGTAAACTGTAACACATCTATCAGCTGGTAAACTAAAAAGAATGTAACACATCTATCAGCTGGTGAACTGAAATAAATGTGACACATCAATCAGCTGGTTAAATGGGAGGAAAGTGACACAACCCTCTGCTGGTTAATTGAAATGAATGAGGCACATCTATCAATTGGTTAGCTGAAATCAATGTGACACATCCATTGGCTTGTTTATTTCAATATTCAGTTTCAAATAACAATATTTTATTTTCACATATTCTATTTACAAATCTTCTGATCCTAAATAAATAATCCTGGATAATAGTGGGTTAAAATAATAAAAAAACACAAGTCCTCTGTGATATTTTATTCCATTAAAAAAAATTCAAACAGAAAAATAAATTAAACAAACTGAAATCTTTGTATGCTTCTCACATAACCAGAATTCAAGAATACCTGAAACTTTCAGGATCCATTCTTTTTGTGATAAAATGTCAAAAATATCAAAGTTCTCTAAATATTTGGATTCTAGGAAATCATTAGATCAATTAGAAATTTAACAGGTATATAGTCAGTGGCAGCAGTTTAAATTTTAAATTTATTCGACAAGCTGAATTTCAGCTATCAAACTAAAATTTAACAGCAAGTTTGTCATTAATGAAAAATAAAGATATTCTCCAGCTTCCAAATTATTATCATTCCTGACGTCAATACATAGACCATTGATATATTTTTTAGTTTTCTGTAAAAGAATTTTAGATTACTAAAGTTCAGTTGAATCAGCTGGTAAACAATGTCAGTATGTCTCTTTTACAATATTAAACAAAATATTAATAGCAGGTAGATGCAGGGATGGGGTTTCATTTCAACCAAAACCATGAAGCAAATGATATAAAACCAAACCACAAACTAAATTAAAATGGCAAAAATTTTCAGAAAAAATATAATTGTTGGTCTTGTTAATTGGTCGTTGTAACAGAAAAAAGCATTAAACCATCAAAAGGTGATAAACCCACGCAGCAGAGAATTTCACAACTACTTTAACCCATTAAATTTCAGAGTAAGCATACCACTAGGTTTCATAAAAAATCTGATAAAAACTGTAGCCTATGTCTTGTTCACTAGCAACTGTGGACGATCAGGAGTGACAATATAGGTTCACATAAAAATATTAATTATTCCATAACAAAAAAAGATTCTGTGTTTTGTCCAACTGGATTTCTTAAATTTTCTTTGTACTTTTTGTTATGATTACAATTTAGCAATTTTTAAATAAGGCACATAAAATATTAAATGATTGGAAACAATCTAATAACAAACATGTTGGTCATCAGAAAGTTTTTTAATACAAGATATCCAAGAATAAATCTACAATCCATATTTTGATGATCATGACTTCTTAATATAAAAGATTGTAACAAGTAGAGAATATAATTCAAACCTGGCTGCACCTGCTTTTATTAAGTTGTGTATGAGTCTTCAGGCATTTAATCCTTGCTGAAAGCAACAGACATTCTCATCACAAATAATAAATCATCTATCAGCCTTTGAGCTATATTTCACTGTGACATACATGTGTATGTAATTTAAATTGATCAAGTAGAGTTTACATTAGAGGTAAGGTAAAAAGAATTATTTGGAATCAATCTCTTGGTTGAACAAAAATAGACAACCAATAAAATCTAGTGGTGAGAATAATAGCATGTGGTATCAAAGGTTAATATCAAGGACTCCAATCACCCTTGTTAAATCAATAATTAAGGCCCACTTAAGTAATGCCACAGGATTAACACTGTTCTATTCTTCAACATCACGTTACTTTCTTGCCCAATCTACCAAACACTCCAGGTTCTTTACTAGTATCTGTTTTATTGATAGTTATAAGTTTAGTTGTGGCGGTGGTGGTACTGGTCACAGGCCCCAATCTACCTTTTATTCCACCTGAACCTACAAATAAATATATACGTAGATATCTAATGTTTCAATTACTGAACATTTTTATGCACTAGTGGAAACAGAAACTAAAATAGAGTCTATTACGAAATCAGCATATTTTTTATGAATCATTATAGTCAAGCAAATACATGTATATATTTTTATTCAAAATTATAACGGGCAGTCCACTTTTTTTATCTAAAGTTCAATTACTCTTCATTCTACCCACATATCTGCTCATGTTTTAATTTTTTCGCATCAACCAAGATGTGCAAAAATATCTTTGCTTGGCCATAACAATGTTTATATGTATGAAACCATACCATAACTTAACAAGAATCATCTTACCTGAGATAGATTTAGCTGTTGTTCCCGAGACTTTAACAGATATTTTAGTGGGTGATTTATCTCCTGTTGTACTGCTAGCTGGTGCTGTGATTACTTTCTTTCCTAATCTTTGTTTAGCACTCAGAGATTCTGTATGAGCGAAGGGTGAAAAAATACCAGCTGTACTTGATGAACTCACTGGACATGTTGTGGATATTTCAGGTTTCTGTATTACTACAATAATACATAATGTTTTTTATCTTTCTAAATATTCAATAAGCTAATTTTTCAAACACAAAGTGATTATCAAAATTTACAGATTTCGAATGTAAAGAGGCTTTTCAAACTTTTTATATGTATTCAGGATACTAATGCATTGATTAGAACACATAAAGCAGATAGAAAACCTCTCTAAACTCAATTAGAATTAAATAAACGATAACAAAGCAATGCAAAAAGACAGTGAAAGGTAAGATAATTACCGGTATATGATAGAGGCTTACAAAAACTAAACACTTACTGATAGTTTTCTTTATATTAGGTACTCTTTTTATAGTTGTACTGGTAGTTTTAACTGTAGTAGGTTTCAATACTGTTTTAGGCTTCACTATTGTCACAACTTTAGTTTTTTTAGGAGGAGAATGAGGTGAAGATTTTAATACACCAGCATATTCTAGAGGTTTAGTTATTTCATCAATACTTGATGAAGCTGTTCGTTTTAATGTTGTTTTATCACCCAATCTATTAAAAACTGATGCCTGTAACAACAATATATACATTGCTCAACAATTTTTGTTATCTTTATTAGATGTTTGTTACTTTAATTATAGAACATAAAGTCTTGTCCATCTGTACTTGCTGTGATTCAGTTGAATTCATTTTTATGTTCTCCTCTATAAGCTTGTGTTATGATTAAATTATCTTAAGAAATGGAATAGCTCAGTACTGAGTTTGATTATCTTCTGCTTGTCCATCAGATGCTGTCGCCCCTTTCACCTAAGCAATGTAATAAAATATTTGACACAACAACAGCAAGCCTTGATGTAAATTATAAGACACAATCTGTTATGAGTGATGAAAGATAAACTTACAGATGTAGTTAAACCTGTAACAGTTCTACCTGTTGTAGGCGTTTCTTCACCTAATCTATCAAATACTGACGACCTTTTACCTGCAATTACATTATTCAAATTTAGCCCCAGATCTATTATTTAACAAAAAATACCTGTATCACAATGGGGCATGATTGAGAAGGGCTTTCCTTGATATCCCATACATCCTTGAAATAAAGTGATTTTTTCAAATCTAAATCATTAAAGTAAAAAAATTAAAAACACAGGAAATTTAAGATGATCAGTTAAATATCTAAGAGATTTCACAAAAGATATTTGAAAAAGAAATTTCCCAATCTTGCAAGTAAATATTTGTGAACTTACTGTCTGTTTTAGGAGTTGGAACTTCATTCATTGGAGTAGCATCAGGATATTTTCTCATATAATGTCCTATCGTCCTACTGGCAGCTGGAACACAAGAGACAAACTTTGGTGATCAATTCAAAGGTTATTTCAGAATATATTTCTCTCAATCAAGTTCATTGCCTTTCCTTTCCCTAATTATGGCGCAATTTATATCAGTGCAGTTGAACAAATTCTGAACAACTTTCAAATAGTAAACAAAATTACTATTGGTAACTCACGTGTAGATTTTCTTGGCGTAGGTGAATTGGTTCCTGCTGTAACAGTAACTATAGGTGAGGTTACATTCAGAGCACGATCTCTTGCTAACTATAATATAAAAAATAATTATCTTGCAATTAATTCAGTAATCATTGATTATTAGTATCAAATTGTGCAAATAAGTAACTATTGCAAAGCTTGGATCAATGACTTATATTAGGTTTTAGCAGAATGAAGACTTAATTTTTCTATATCTTTACCACAATGAATAAGAAAAATTTTTTAAGACTTAACAGCAGCCATATAAAAAATTCATTACCTGAGTATGGACAGTTTTAGCATGTTTTAAAATAGCTATAATATCTCCTAATATTGCAATACCCATATCTTTCAGATATTCTTTCGACAAATCTAGTAACATTTCTTTACAGATTCTGTTGTCTGTGAACAAAACAGCATAATTGGCTGAATCCCCTGCTGGAATCCCTGCATCCTTAAAGAAGTTTAACCAATATGATGTTTGGTTATCTGAAAAATGATAAATGGAAAATCTATTATAGTACAGCCTAATAGTATTGTCATAAAACCTGAAACCCTGGTTTGGTAAACTAACTTGCATGAAAGATCAATAGTGAAATCAGGCTCTTTAAGTTACCATGGGCATAGATCATCATCAACATGAGATTTTGATACAATCAAGAAACTATATTGCGTGTGCAATAATCACTTTCCATCAGCTACTCGAAGAAGCATATACCAGCTGTGCTACTTAGGGGATTGGTCATTCAGTTATTGATGCCTGGATGATGCCGATGGTGAGATTAGTCAAACTCAAGAATAATACATGACACTAAGACGGGTTACTAAAAACACGGTATTAAAAAAATACACCCAATTGTTTCACAGAATGATGAAATGAAACATGGTTTAAACGTTACCATAGACTAAACTCCACTTAACAATCAATAAATTGAAAATTATTAAAAAAAAAACAAAATAATTTTTTACCTGACGCTGAGGTGGCCATCTTGCTTGAATTGAGAAGGGACGCAACTCTCATTTTACTAGCCCACAATAGTTTTTTAACATAATTTTTTTTTGTGTAAACTCCAATATCATGTTAAATAAAAAGCGTTACATCGAAAGTGCTATAAACAAAGTAACATTACCAAATAGAACTAATTGAAAATGATTACGAAGAGATATTTGGCAAAAATTCTTTGAAGCCCAAAATATCGAATGAATTACTCCCCTTGTTTTAATAGTCCAATAACGGAACTTGAAAACTGTGACTACAATAATTTGTAAACAATAAAAATGGTCAACACATTGCAGTCTGATACTATTCAAAATAAAACTGTCCCAGCTGTTTGTAGATTTCTTTGTCAAGTGAAATGCTTGACAGAATCAGAAAAATATATTCTCCAAAACTCCAAAACCAAAACTTTAAAATCTGAAGAATTTCTGGATCATTTACAAACTTTCATATCTGATCTTCTCCAAATTCAGAAAGCAGTTGAACAAGATAATGAATCAGTTTCTCAAATAAACAAGGTTGAAGAACAAAATGATCCAGTGTAAGTAACTTTTATAAGAATATTTTTTTGATTTTTCCATAGGCTAGGCTACCGTGCCTTATCTGGCACAATTTGCAGATGACATAGATAGCGAAACCATTTTCTTTCTACAGTAGCCTACTTAACAAGTGTTTATTTCCATTTCAGAGAAACAATGGAAGTTGACAGTTCTTGTATTGATATAGAACACTCTAAATATAAATTCAGATATCCCAAGCTGGCAGATAACATTCAGATTAAAGTGGATAAAAGTGAAATAGACAGAAGAATTGCTTCATTTATGTCACAGAAACAAGAAGAAGTGAATAAATTCAACAAACGTGAATTCAGTATTGGAGCAGTCTCTTCTGGGGAAGGATGTGCACGCACAGACTCAGTTTTTATACCTAGAGCTGGTTCTCGAAGTCATATCAAAATAACAAAAGTTGTCAACACGTATGGTCCTCAAACGCAGCAATCCTGTACTAAAATAGAGCAAAATGAAGGTTGTTCTGTGAAACAAGAAGACTGTATTAATTCTATTATTGAAAATAGATTGAATGATATTGAAGCTCATACAGATATTAAACCAGATTCTAAAGATATCTGTACAAGACTTAAAGTCATTGAAGAAAGAATCTTATTTTTAGAGAGTCTGTCCCCAGAATATTTTAATCAAATTCCAAAACGAAAGATTAAGAAAGAATCTATTGAGAAAGTATCATCTAGTGAAAGGAATAATTCAGGAGATAATTATTTAAGTTTATCACAGATTGATTCTAAAATACAAACTTTAAGAGATGCCTTACTCAGAAAACAGTTAAGATAATAAAATTCTCTCATCAAAATTTAGTATTTTATTTTTCTTAGTTAGTCTAAACACATTTGGAGTAGGATACAACTGTGTTTCCTACATGTATTTTGTAACTGCAGTGGAGTGTTTTTTATTGAAGCTATAGTACATCAAGGTCCAGAATCCAAGAAGTTGATATAATAATAGAATGGACAGTAGGCTACCAGGGCACTCACTGGGACTAATTTAATTTTATTCTTACTTATATACTACCTATGTAAAGATGCTGAAGTGCTCTGAGCACTGTCAAATGAATTAGGCCTATGTTAAATTATGTAACCATTTAATTGCCAGATTCAGGGTATACTGTATATAGAATATATTTAGAACCCTGAGGTCAAATAACATATCCTGCATTCTGTGCTTCATGAATTAGCTTCTATCCCATGCCATCTACCTGGGCATAAAGTACATAATAAATTACCCCTTGGTCAATTAAAATCATCTCCTGCAACTCATGCTTTCACAAATTAAATGCCACTCAAGGAAGAAATTAAACACTAAAATAATATAAATAGTTTATTGATACAAGTTAATGATGATGAAGATAAATATGGTCATTGAAAGTATCTTAAAGATAGTTTACCTTTTAGAATGTACATCAAATTTTAAATCCACGAACTTACCAGATATGAATATATATTCAGTAGACTTCCCTGGTGTCATAACTATACAACAGAATCAATGATAAATCCATAGAGGAAATTATTAAAAAATGCTTTAAATTTTATGTTTATTCTAGGAGGTAATATACCATTAATAAAGCTAGCTAGATTGTTAGCACAAATATTGCAATCATTATATATATATAAGCTAATATCGTGATATTGTAATAATAAAGATCATATACAATTAAGTGAATGATGGATTATATCTTTATTGTTGTATAATTTTGTGTGTAAAGTAGTGAAATTCTAAATAAATCAGAAATTGATCTTAATAATCTTGAAACTCTGATTACTCTGAAACCACAACAATTGTTCAAGAATATATGGTCATTCATTAAATGAAGATTGGATCAAATTCGTGTTTTTGTATCTGACAAAATGAGATTAGAGTTTTTTCATCACAAAGACTGTGTTAATAAAATTACAGCTGATTTGTCCAATAAGTACTAATAAAATCATTGCATGAAGTATTCGGAAACATTTACCAATTTGGCATTTAATTTTACATCTGATTACTCGCGTTATAAACTACTTCTGTAATATTGTGGCTTTCAGAATTTCAAGAAATTAGACCAAACCTCTCCTGAACACCTTCATAATTTACAAGAACCACATATTGTACATATTGCTTAAATACAAATTGTAAAGAGATGAAACCTACATGAGCTTAATATATATCTTATGATCAAAATAGGAAGAAAAAATGCTTTTACCTGAGGCATAACATGATGAAAATGGCAGCTGATTTTCTGCTTAAGGTACAATATTTGGTTCTTATTTCAAACAATTTTTGGCATGTTTCATTGCTCTTCTCTAAAGCTGCGTTTATTGGCACTGGAATACCTTAGTCCCCAGCAAGTTTGATTGTCCATGTTAAGCAATAAGTTGCCTTTGGAGTAACAAAAATTTTTTATGTCTGATGCTATTGCAGTGTTTTGAAGAATCTACCCAATGATTGCAGAATACATTATTATATATGATACAATGCTGGTGACCAAATACAGAATTAAGATAATATTCTGAAAAACTTGTAATATACTTCTAAGCATACTGGCCTCTTCAATATTTATATTATACAATTTAAGCGTAGCAGAACAGTTTCTACAAATAAAGCATGTTTACATCTAGCCTACTTCCCATCTTGTTAAAAAATATGTCCTAAAAATAAGAAAATATCATGAATTGCCACCTCAATATTAAGTAATTTCAATAATAATCCAATTTAGTATTTTTTGGTATCCTCATTCAGATTATTCCACTTGCTCCTTTAATTCACCCTTGTCAAGAGGTCTGGCCAAGACCAGCTGGTAGACAGGAACCTATGATCCTAATGTTGTTAATCCTTGTAAAATTGGCTAAAATTGATAAATTATACCAGAGTTTTAGAATGTAAGTAATTCATTCTCAGAAGCTATACATAAACAATTGATACAATGAAATATAGCTCTAAAAGAATAATCTGTATATACATACATACATGTTAGTTGCAAAGCCAGAACGTTTAATGTGAATAGAATAAACTTAATATATAATATTAAGAAAACATGAACAAAATTATAATTATTAAAATATATGACAGATTTAACAATAAAATGTGAAAAAAGCAGAAAAAATTAACAAAGAAAGGAACTTCATTACAATAAAATTAATAAGTAACAGAGGTAAGAAAGATATCTTGTTAACCTGCCCACAGCAGCAATCAAATTGAATCATTATAATTCAGATACTGGCATCACACTTAATTTTGATTGACAAGTCAATCAAATGAGGTCAAAATTGATCATTGATGTACATTTACATACAAAACCATATCACGACAAGCTACTTTTGATGAGATATGGCAGTCAAGGGCAGTAACTCAAAAAGGGTTCAACAAACTGTACTAAAATCCTACTCATCATCATAAATATGCCATTGAATCTGAGCAAAACTGTCTCTATCACTTCTACAATTCCGATGCATTTCAGCGTCAAGAGCAGTAATTAAAGTAATGTTAATTGGAATTATGCCAAAATCAAACTAGTCTTAGAAAAATGATGACCTACTGACCAACTAACATGAGTGACAGCGTTATACATAATCATTTTTTCATGTGGGCATATTAAATTTACCAAATAAAAGATATTGGAGTCTTCATATATTTTGTATGACTAATATTCTAGTATTATTATAGTTCGTCGATACTGCATGTCAAATTAACTTGATAAAAGTGCAATTTCAATGAAATTATTCATACCCTGTATATCTTTTATTAAAAATTCTAAGAAAGGAAAATAAAAATGGCATCATATCTCAGCAGTAGCAGGTGATAGGGAAGAAACCTAAAAATTATGTCAAATGACGAAGAAAAAAACAATCAGAAATGACTAAAATATTTGCCCCTAATGAGTCAAAGTAAGGATGATATTCTAGAATATAGCCTTTCTTCAGAGGTAAGGCAGTATGTCTAAATATGATCATTGCAAAACTATTTCTATTACTATGCAGAAAAATTTATAAATTGTATCAGAACAATTTCAGTTTATTGATTCATAAAATGGACTGAGCTTGTATTAACTTTACATTTAGAGAAGACAAAACCTCTACCCATAAAGAAATTACCTTATATGAGCAAAATATAGACAGATATTTAAGGTCATAATGATCAACAGAAAATAAGGAGAAAGATAACAATACACCATGTTTCATACTAATAGTGACTAATCAAGGCTTGTAAGATTAGGATAAAATATTATAGGTAGATTTTATATTGAGGAAGATTTTGAAAGATGAGCAATATCAATCTAGTATCATTCATTTACATAGTGAATCACTTCTTAAATGAAAAGGAAGATATCCTTATTAGGTATTGTTTCCTCTATTAGATTTAGTCATTTTTCACAACCTGAGCTAATATAAAATATTGAACAAACTGCTGATCTAAAAGTAGTACTACGAATTAGAGAAAACAATTGTAAAATAATCTAAAACTAGTTGCGAAAAAGGACAAGCAAAATACCTGGAAATAAAATTTGCCTAAAGAAATAACACAGTTATGCAATTACTGGCTCTCATTTGATAATTTAAAGAAGAAATTAGTAAAAGTTGTAAACATCTACATTTTCTTGTGTTTTTAAAAAAATAATGGCCTATGAATCATTGAATTCAATGTTTAAAATTATGTAGGTAACATTATTTAATGTTTGGTGTAATAATAGCGCAAAATTCATATCACCTTCAAAAATGAAAACAGAGCATATTAGCTGGCAATTATTTGTCTGCAATAACAGATACCTTTAAAGTTATATAACACATGATTTTCAAACATATAACAAGATACGAAATATGGAATTAGGTTGGTTGTTCTATTTTTCTGTACCATGTGGGCTAATGAAGACCGGCAATGCCATGCAGCGTGCAATGAGGAAAATTTTGCCATGATAGTGGAATTAACCTACTCTTTTTCTTTTTGAACACAGGGCCTCAGTTTATTGTCCAATCCAAACAACAAGACACTTTCCATTTCAGCCCCTTCGACCTGCATCACACGATTGAAAAAAGAGGAAGGTATTATCTCGACCTATGCTGGAATTGAACCCTGGACCATCAGGTTAGCAAGCAAGCTTCAAACTCACTGAGTCACTTAGGTTGTTCAAGGAAACAATAGGTGAGATATAGTATGAATAAACAAAGTATCAAAAGGAAAGATTAAAACATTACTATAAGAATTTCTGTGATTTAAATTTAGGTTTGATATAAAAATGACGTGTATTAAAAACCATTTGCTGCAGTACTGTTATTAGTCTCTATGGTACCATTATGTTTATTTACAAACGAATACTGACTATTTACATGTCCTCCTGCCACTTCACATGATAAAATACGTTTCGAGTCCATATTAATGTAACTTTCTGAAGATTTATCAAGATCAGCTTTTAATCGTTTTCGAACCTGTAAACTTTCTTCCTCCTCGTTGTGAATCTCTGGGTCTATTTTATTATTTTTTTGGTCCCATGATGTTGTAATATCTTTTAAATGATCAATCAAAATATCAAAAAAATCGTCAATACCATCATATCCTAGAAAAAATAAAATGAAGTAATATTTAGAAAAAAGGTATTCACCTTTCATAATAAACATTAAGCAGTGAATGAAAACATATAATCATATTTAAAAAGAAATAGGTCTGAGACCAATTAAACAATTACTTAATTTCAGATGAACTTAGTGATTCAATCATCTGAAAGCATTCTCTTACCGAATCAAATCACTGTATTTATTCAAATCTAAATTTTATCTCAGTAAAAAGTTTGTGAAACAGGGAAATGATCATTGTATCACGTATACAGGTTTTGACATGGCCTTATTAACCTGTATTAATCTGTATTAACCTAAACTTACTCAAATCGTTTTGTGGGAATAAGATTGGTGTTATTCAAATCTCACCTATCAGGGTCATGTAAACAAAACACAAAAATCTATTTGCCTTTACATGTTTGAGGAGATAAGAACATGTTCTTCCAAGCCAATAAATATTCCAAAGTATGTTTTTGATTTTCTGTCAGTTTCAATTCTTTACCAAAAATCTTACTCATTTCTGTATCGTCCATATTAATCAAAACATTTAATGACCCACTCCTTTCATTTTGTTTATGTTCGCGATCAAAGCGGCATAGCAAGCGATTTGATTGGTTGAGATTTGCTAGAAAGATTTCAGGGCCTGATTGGACAATATTAAGCTATGAATACGTAATTTCTCTTACTTGTATTACCAAGGAAGTATTGCCTGGAGGAAGTATGACAAAGGGGGGTTTCAAAATAATCAAGACATCCTTTCATATATACCTGGGAATGCATTGATATCTATCACAGCATAGTTTTTATTTTCACTATCAATAATAACATCGACACCAAATAAATCAAGGTGCATGGTATCTCGTATACTCCGACCCACTTCTATCAATCTATTCATATCTGGTTTAATAGGGGAGGATTCTATATCAGATGCATCTAGCTATAAAATAAACAATAGAAATATGATATTAGTGGTTGTAAACACAATATTTAATTGAAATTAAAGCAAAGGCGGAGGAGAGTTTAAGTGTAAGAAGAATAAGTTGCAGCCATTAAAGTCCTTGCTTCATAAAGAGTCAGAGTTTGAAGTTCAATAAATAAATTTGTATGTAAGTTTATGGGAGCGGATCTACAACAGCCTCTGTATATATTTTGGTCTTATCACTTCAATTTCTTCCTTACAAATTGTTGTTAGCAAGTCATCAGTCAATTTGTCATCAGGATATTGACATAAAAGACAACCATCCCAGGGGTAAAAAGATAGGTGACTCAAAGTCAGGTGCAATTATTTAGGGCATCCTTGATTACAACATACACATAAGTCAGTGTGACTTGTCATACATTTTTAGAAAGTTCACCTTGTGGTAAACTTCTGAAATATCTCACCTGTCCTGTTGTGTTTGTATTAATTATTGGATATTACTGTCACCTACCTCATTTAAAAAGTGTGTTGAGTCTCGTTTTGAAACTTCCTGTGTATCAAAATATATTGTTTCCTGATCTGAAAAAAGCATGAAATTTTTTTTATTCCAACAATTCATACTTGGTGTTCACATATTTGTTATATTAAAGCCTTTTAACAAATTTCAATGAAAAAATGCAAATTTACTTTAATTTTTCTAAAACACAAAAATAGTCAATTTCAACACTATTAGCATCTAAACAAGGCTCATAATTATAGGAAACGTGTTGTTCACATACAGCTTCTGAAGCGGCTTTTACAAATTAATGTTGTATTTCTTACATCCATTGTTCAAGGAGTGTTCTAAGGAGATTTCACACAGATTGAAAGACTTTTTCTCAAGAATACAATTCTTATGCAGCCACTGAATACAGTAATTAGAAATATATATGTGGCTTACCTGAAGGGTAGAGATTTTTTAATGAGGGTCTCTGAACAACAAACATCTTATTACCAATAGCAAATATTTTAAATAATAAAGCATTATGATTGATGAATGACTGAGCAACACAAGGTGGATTGACATCCTTTAAACCTTCATCATTAAATATAATAGACATCTGAAACATAAATCAAACATTATCATTAAATATAATAGACATCTGAAACATAAATCAAACATTATCATTAAATATAATAGACATCTGAAACATAAATCAAACATTATCATTAAATATAATAGACATCTGAAATATAAATCAAACATTATCATTAAATATAATAGACATCTGAAACATAAATCAAACATTATCATTAAATATAATAGACATCTGAAATATAAATCACACATTATCATTAAATATAATAGACATCTGAAATATAGATCACACATTATCATTAAATATAATAGACATCTGAAACATAAATCAAACATTATCATTAAATATGATAGACATCTGAAATATAAATCACACATTATCATTAAATATAATAGACATCTGAAATATAGATCACACATTATCATTAAAATATAATAAACATCTGAAACATAAAATCAAACATTATCATTAAATAAATAGACATCTGAAATATAAATCAAACATTATCATTAAATATAATAGACATCTGAAATATAAAATCATAAAAAATACCACTGGCCAGAAAATTAGAGGAATTCCAAATAATATAAATAATATGAATTTCTATATATAAAAATTTCTATCAGAAATATTTCATAATTTACTTACCATGTGTGCGTATTTTGAACCATGTGATGCAATAGGTTTACACACTGTAAAAAAAGAGTTATAAAATATCTTAGCTTGCATTGAAATATTCAATTCATTTCATTTGTACAATTATGGATACTGCCGTACACTTTTAGATTGAACATATAGTATAAGTTTACCCCTTGCACAAAATCTGAAGACAAAAGGCATTAACTTTACATGATATGATGTCAAAGTTGTGACAGGGACAGCTCAATGTTTAAATTCCTTTGATTAAAAATAGTAGAGGAGCTATTTTAACCAGGTGTGTCTCCAATACAAATTAGTGTGAAATAACATTTATAATTTACAAATGTACAATTCATCAAAACTCATGCTGCCACAAAACCAGTATGCTTGTCAACTAGGGATTCACTTTAATGTATTTCAGAGGCTCTTTCAATGAAGTTTTTGATATACAAACATTAATGGACTTCTAGTAATGAAGAGGATGCAAACTCCTCCAGAGCACCTGATGCCATCGTGTATTTATGCAAGTTAATACAGCTCCAATTGTAGATAATTAGATCCTACTGATGTGATATCTTACCTAGAGGGAACGTTACATTAGCTTCTGATATTTTGGTTCTATTCACATCTACATCTTTAGTTGTTAGTCTAACAAAGGTTGGGGTACACACAGGAGAGTCTAAAAGCAAAATACAAAGGCATAAAGTGGTAAAGCATTATTCAACATTATTAGTGAAGCAAATTACTCATATAGTGAGTCCAAAAATGTTCAAAATTACGAAAGTAAAGTCCTAGTAGGGGCAACTGTAAATATGGGAGCATACCCAAGTGATAATGATTCTGATAGGCATACAATTAACAGCAGAAAATGTATTAATGCTATACAAACATAAATATTTACATGTGAAATGACTGAACAAATAATACCATTTCAAGGTTTTAAACTACTGTACATGCAGGTCAACATTTCAACAAAAAAAATGTTTTTGATTTGAAAATATTTACTACCATAAAACAGGTTTGATTAAATAATTTTTTAGAGAAAATAGACTCAAGACCCAAACCAAATATTACTGCAATTGATGTGTTTCTAAAATAGGAGCAACAGATCAAATATAAGTAATTACAAACACAAGTATAGGTGATTCATTATGATGAAAACTTTGGCCACAAAAGACATCATTTAAAAGAGAAGTTGTTTTTGCTTACCTTCACTGAGCATATTACACCTTAAAATAGATTTATACTGTTTATTTCTATCTAATAAATTCTGTAGACTATCTATACGATCTATCATTATACAGTTAGGGTGGTCTTCTACATATTTCTACAAAAAAACAAACAAATATTTGTTATTTCAATTATAAAAATAATTCAAATTGAACAGATTTTGATCTGAATAACATGTCTTGAAGCTAAATATTTATAACCTGTTGAAATGCAAATGCTTAAACATATAAATCAACTATTTGAAACCATTGATAATGAGAGGGAAGAACAATAAAATATTATAGCCCCTCATGTCCTATAAATAATAAAAACAATCAAAAATGCAGTGCACTGTTGCAGAAAAATATCAACAGAGCAGTAGCACCTCCATTCAGTTCTTATGTCTTGTCTTAACAGTTTGTTATTCAGGGAGCTTTCGTCTCAATACTTTTTTCATACAAAAATCATGAAAGACTTAAAGCATTCATCTTCTATGCTTCTAGATTAAAAAACAATAAAATCATACATTCTTACACTAAACTAAGCTTAAATTGGTCTTCTGAATTTGACCTTCACATTCACATTTCAACTGGTTCTTAATAAATGTTACCTGCTTGCTTGTGACACCTGGTCTGATATTAATATAGATAAGTAAAAGTTTTACCTGCATGTTATGTACATATTGTTGAGCAGGTTGATAGCCATCATTAGCTTTGGCTATATAATCTGTTAATTTATGTATTATAACATCAAATGGTCCCTGACTTTCTAATTCTCTAGTTACATCAATCTAGAAATAGAAGAAAATAAAAGTAGAGGAGAAACAATTGGCAATTGTCATGGCTCATCAATTTCTATACAGTACAAAATACATGCAAGCATTTGAACTTTAATTTCTTTTTGTGAAAAGGTGTAATTCAGACCTGCTCTTCAGTAAACAAATGAATTTCAAAATGATGTAGTGCCAAAGTAAAAATTACATTTTTAAACAATTGAAAGTTGTCTAGACATGTCCATAGGAATTGAAAAACTATGCAATTTTATAGTTGAACAGATTACATACAAGAATTGAATTATAATTTGCCACAAATGTGGGTGTTAAACTGTCAATTTTCACAATCAAAAATAACTTAATTTCTTTTGTATGAAAAACTTCAATTCAGACCTGCTATAATGATATCATATTAGATTCGCGTGACTCTCAATTTGAAATTTTTAAAACCAAAAAATTTTGAAATAGTTGGTTTAGTCATCATGATGTATGTACCCCTAATACTTGATCTTTACATGACCCAAGACATTTTACTAAAATTGATTTTTTTTTAAGAAATGATTCAGTTATTTAAATCTCAAACAAGGGTAACAATATCAACCAATCTGAACCAGTTATGAGCAATCAATTTACAGTCATCAAAGAAATTATTTAAGGTCTTTCAACTTTGAAATAAGAAGAGCAGGAAATGAAACTAGTTCCTAATGATTAATAATTGGGTTACACGCGCCACAAAATGTAAACACATGATATGGATTAAAGTTAAAGGGAATGTAAGGAGGTTTTCTAAACTGTTTATGTGCATTTGGGACACTGATAATAATATCTAATTGCCTTTGTGATACTGACTTCTTAAGAACTTTGTTTTAGTGGAATTGCAACAAGCAAATGAATTAAAGTGTCCCCAATACACATTATAATTTTAGAAAACCTTGTTACAACCACTCTAATGTACAGGATAGTTTAAAAATAGTATTATAATTGCATGAAAATTCTGGCTTAAATTCTGATAATAAGGAATTGAATACCTCACAAAAAAGAACCTGGCTCAGATCAAATGTATATAAAAGAACTTAATTGATAGATATAGTGTAAAGGTGAAGTTTGAGAGAAATTTGACCAAAAAACAGAAAGAATATCGTAGGTTAAAACATAAGTTTATCTAAGACACAAGTCTAAGCAAGAGAGATATTATCAATTTTTTTTTATTTTAGACTTAAGTCATCCATAACATTTTCTCATATCTAAAAAAATATGAAACCACCAATATTTATGCTGACTCTCAAAAAATTGAGTTAATAAATTTATATTTGTAAAATATATCCTGTCTAGCCAATCCCTAATCCTGTGATTCATTGCTAAGATTTTTCATCTGACACACGTTTGCTATGCAATAATGATGCTTGATCATAAAATGTCCTAACATATTCTGACTAACAGGATACCAGTATCATAAAATTTGTTTTATTTCAATCCTGGTCAATGTTTTTTTTGTGCATCCTGTTACCATTTCAAGATCTTGATCTATAGTTTGTTTATATCATTTTGTCAAAATAATATGGTGAACATTGCCAAAGGTGCACAGGCACAAAAATTATCAGTTGTTCATAACATTATGTCAAATTATGTAAAAATAACATTGCCAATGTTGCATGGGGGCAAAAATTACCAGATATTCGTTGCTGAAAATTTGCCAAAAATTAACCCTTGCTGGTTATCAACGGTGATGCTAGTTCCCCATGAGGGTACCTGGAAAATCCCAATGTACATTTTTCAAAATATTATTGTATTATGTATCAATCATGTGACAAGACCATTTCTATCAACAGTGCCAATAATTCAATATTCAATCAACACCTTCCGTTACAAAGCTTGCATTTAACCTGTTTTATACTTAATGATTTACTTCTTAAAAGTAATAAATCTAAAAGGTTGGTGAAATGAAATGAATGGAGATTTATGTTCTACTTTTCTGCACCTGATAGCCCTATCACACTAGAAAGCTTTCTTTCTGTGGTGCTACTTAGATGGAAAATTGGCTAAGAGAATGCTAAGGTTGCCATAAGTGTGTAGGACACTCCAGACATGCAATGTCTGCTAGGGCCATTGGTGCAATTGTCGCCGAGTCATAAACAAATGCCAATGATCAATGATCTGTCCTGAAATGAATTGAAAGCACCATAGGATCGAGTTGTAACATCTATTTGAAAATGCAGTACATGTATGGCAAAGACGCTGCAAATATGTAAGAGAGCAATATGGTCGCAAAATTCGTGGTTAAAGGTCGACTGTTGTTAAATTTGTAATTTTTTAGGGAATGTTTCTCTAGCTTTCCTCAGGTTTGACCGCGACTAGTATATTTCATGTTGCTGTAAGTTCGCAAATGGTTGCAGTCTGGTGTGACAGGACTATATTGTTCTTATGAAGACGGTTAAAAACTGGTAAACAAGGTCAAACTTTGTCAAAGTATGTTGTTTTGGGACCAGGTTATTGACAATTAATAGATGTCAAATCATACCAAAAATCTAATTTGTCAAAAATATTGTTGATTTAATTAAACACAAAAAATTGGCTATAATACCAATCTGGGAGAAGGTTTGTTAACTCAGATAATCCACATAGCTAATATGGTTACTTGTAAAGTTATAACAAAACAAACATTTGAAACAATATTCTGTTTATGAAATAGACACTTATGAAAATTGAGCACATTTGAAGTATGTACAGTAAGTAGACTGATATCAATACAGTTTATAAATAACAATGGCTCAGTAACAATGAACTAAATATAACATGTCCATATTTCCACATGTCCAAACTTATTTTGTCCATCAAATACATCAATATTTAGTAATTAGGCATATTATTAGAATATTTCAGGTCTTTTAACCTGTTGTGCAATGAATGATATAGTCAGAAAGTAAAAAGTCACAATTTTATGACTGGGGATATAAGCTGAACCATTTGACTTCCAGGGATGGTAAAGAGGATTTCTATACTTTCTATATGTATCGGGTACATTGCTAGCATCAATTTGCATCATTCCAATTTTCAATCAGAAGTCTTGGTTCCTGCAATTCAATAAGGTCACTAATCATGAAGGGCCTTATGTGATAACATATTTTACTATTAGTGACATCATTAAACACTTATTTTTGTGGAATTTCAGGAACCACATACGTCTGACTGAAAATTGGAATGGTGCAAATTGATGTTATCAGTGTCCCTGATAAATAAACAGTTGTAATAACCTCTTTACAATCTTTTTAACATTCTGAGAAGCTTTGTAATGACTGCAACAGTCTGTTCATATATAAGCTTATACTGGTAAATTAGTTGCTGGTAGAGCAGTGTCAAGTGTTCAAAGGGTTAATTTTAGTGGTTGTATATCACGATAAGAATAGGTGGGTTAATAATGTACACAATATAATCTTATATCCAATAAATCACATGTTTATCTGTTTCCCTTATCCTAAACCACAATAACAATTTTATCTCTTATTTTATCTAGTCAAATTTAATTTGATTTTATATGTGCTCTAAATAAAATTATGCAAACTCTTCAATTTTGTTTTACAGATTAAATATTTAACATATATGTAGCTCTATTAGTCTATTGTCTGGGCAAAATAAAAAGTTATTTGAATTTTATTCACTATTTTAATGGGAATTGGAATATCGGCCTCAAAACAGTACTATAAGTCTTAGAATGTCTGTGTTGATAAAAATTTAATAATGAGTACACATTATACATGTCTTCAAAATTAGTTATAACAAGAGGCAAAGATATTCTAAGATTAACAGTACTATTTTGGGGCTGCTATTCCAATTCTCATAAAAATAATAGAAAAAATTCAAAAAACTTTTTACTTTGCTCAGAGCTGGTTTTTCAACATTCAAGTAAGATATAAGCAATAGAGAAATATACTAGATACAAAAGAAGTGTAATTACAAACAACTTATCAAATTATTAATAGAGAATAAACAGTTATACATACCTTGACCAGTTCAAAACCTTCTTTCCTGAAATATACAAACACAGATTGTTAGTTTTCAAAATAACAGTTGATGGAAGTAATGAACAAGTTTAGTGGAATAAAAACGTTCAATCGAAAATGTTACTGAGCGTATATTTAAAGTGTGTGTGGTATCTAAGCTTAAAATTAACTGCAGCTGATAATCCATCTCTTATTTGCACTTCTGCATGTCACTGTGCCATTACTAAATTTATTTAAGAGAATAAAAAAATATCAAATGTGCATCATATTTTGTGCTGGAAATCAAGCATTCAGCACAAGTGAAAATGATCTCATATTTCAAACAATATAGAAGAAAAAAATTAAAAGAGCATTTTCAACAGCTGGGGGATCACTTGTATATATAATTCAAATCACTATTTTACCATTTGTCTTAATGGTCCTGTCAAAGGACAGAGGATCAATTTGGAGTCTTTTTATAGAAAGCAACATTTGGAATTAGCCCAATTTTGAACATCAGAAATCTAGAGAGGTAGAGAGAAAGATCAATTGAATTAGACTGAAATGAACAATTGGTGATTTTCTAGTTGGATTAGAAAGAGAGTAAAGAGTCAATAACTATAGCCAGTTTATACAAGTCAATTGATTTAATAGTTCTAGTCTACTCTTCTTAAATCTGACCTATAAAGCAAAACCAGCACTTGATGACTGAGTTTTCTAGACAATTCCTATTCTTTTCAATCCTAAAATCAATAACTGAACAAATTAAATAAAACAATTGGTGGCTATTTTTCATCATCAATTATTGACATAGGTATTCATCAAGGAAAACATAAGGGTATTGACCCTGATCAGACATAATTGAACACTGCAAGGTATCGCCTAAGCAAAACTAAACGTCATTTCAATCCACTTATTGCTAGACATGACAATAGGACAATAATACAGATCCTAAACAATATAAATACATTCTTCAGAAGTATATGAAATTCTTGGCATATTCACATACATACTATTATAGTAAAGGACAATTCATTCACATGTCATTTAGTTTACAATACAGTAACTACCATAAAGAATGTACTTTTTCACCTACTATATATTACACTACAATGTACAAGAATTATTTAATGCTAATTTCCTTAAACATCAAGCGAATTTACTTCCAATATCACACCTGCAATTAATATTGGGTACAAAATTTTCCATTCTAACGTTAGAAACTGTATTAAGAGACTGCTCGATGGAATAATCCAAAACAGTCTCTTCATGGAGGTGGTCTCTTAGAAGAGAATTGGATCAGAATAAACACCAACATTTTTTTGTTTTGATCGCTATCTTATATCTTTAGACTATCATAAATAATCAACAATTGAATAACCTTTCGAGGATTAGCAAATTGCCAATTAACAATAATCTCTTTTAATCTCACCTGTATGTGAAACCATGTGATGTTTATACAAGGGAGATAATGATAACTGTTATTGTTGCTTAATTGATTCAGTTTGCTTACATAGTAGCATTAATACACGGTTGCTGTTGGTGTAATGAAGGTCATTAATTATATTGAAAAGTTGTAGGGGGTTGGGTGGTGGCTTAATTGTGGTCCCATATTTGTTGCTTAATAAAGGTGGTTGCATGAGCAGGATTCACTGTAATAAATTTTGTTTTACCAATAAAAAATAAATGTGGAGTTATCCCTTTAAGTATGAATCATACTATTCTAGCTTGTTTATTATCATTGGAGTCTATAACTATATCAGTGTATATTACTACTCTTAATATTTCATTATTATATATTTGAAGATACCTGTTCTTTTAATAAAATCAATTTAAAGCTTTGTATAAAATATATAACTTGGTGGGAGGATTAAATCAATCTAACAGATAGCTATCTATTTGTATCTTCTTGTATCTTAGAGTACTTGTGTTGTATTTTCGAACTAACAATAAACCGTCTAGCTCAGTAAGGAACTGGTACTTGAATAAAGCATTGTTCAACAAAGCATCAATCATTCATAATATTTTCATTAGGATATTGATAAAGGTAATACAGCTTGATTTATTCATGTATAATATATCCAATAGTGAAAAAATATTTGCATTTTAAGATGAATTCTTGGGGGAATATTTAGAGAAGTCCAATAAAGTGTGAATTGTTTAATGTCATACAGCCAAGTGATTTTTATTATATTCATTGCATCTTGAATACCTTATATTATATATTATATTACTGATCTTCATATAGATTCAACATTATAATAAAACTTGGCTTAAATTCTAACTTGAAAAGGTTTGACCTCTGAGTTGAATGGTACATATTGTTCAAAAATTCTTCTGGATTTATCAGGTATTTTTTTTATATAACATTTGAAGCATGAAATACCTGAAGTGAACTAAAGAATGTCAAGATTTTTTTATAAGGTGTCTCTTTTCTTCTTGATCCCGATGTTGTTAATTTGCCCCTATAGCCTTGCTGAGTATATCAAGAGATATAGCCTTGACAATATATCAAGTGATAAAATCTTACCATTATATCTAGTTATATAGCCTTGCCAATATATCAAAGGATATGGTCTTGCCATTATATCAAGAGATTTTGTCTTGTCATTATATCAAAGTGATATAGCCATGATATTATATCAAAGTGACATTGCCTTGCCATTATATCAAGATATATAGCCTTGCCATTATATCTAGTGATATAGCCTTGCCATTATATCAAGATATATAGCCTTGCCATTATATCAAGTGATATAGCCTTGCCATTATATCAAGTGATATTGCCTTGCCATTATATCAACTGATGCAGGACTGCCATGATATCTAGTGACATTGCCTTGCCATTATATCAAGATATATAGCCTTGCCATTATATCAACTGATGCAGGACTGCCATGATATCTAGTGACATTGCCTTGCCATTATATGAAGATATATAGCCTTGCCATTATATCAAGATATATAGCCTTGCCATTATATCAAGATATATAGCCTTGCCATTATATCAAGTGATATAGCCTTGCCATTATATCAAGTGATATAGCCTTGCCATTATATCAAGTGATATAGCCTTGCCATTATATCAACTGATGCAGGACTGCCTTGATATCTAGTGACATTGCCTTGCCATTATATGAAGATATATAGCCTTGCCATTATATCAAGATATATAGCCTTGCCATTATATCTAGTATATAGCCTTGCAATTATATCTAGTGACATAGCCTTGCCATTATATCAAAGTGACATTGCCTTGCCATTATATGAAGATATATAGCCTTGCCATTATATCTAGTGATATAGCCTTGCCATTATATCTAGTGATATAGCCTTGCCATTATATCTAGTGATATAGCCTTGCCATTATATCAAGATATATAGCCTTGCCATTATATGAAGATGATATAGCCTTGCCATTATATGAAGTGATATAGCCTTGCCATTATATCTAGTGATATAGCCTTGCAATTATATCAAGATATAACACACATTACTGATATTAATTGTAATTTTATATTTAGTATTATTGTGGTTTATACATACTTTCTGTTTTGATTTATTTGTGAATTGTGTATTTGTTTTTTTTAAGTGGATGAATATTTCATTTGCATACTCATATTTATTTCAATGTATATTACTGTATACTTTGATTACCATTAGTTTTTCTATAATTTATTCAAGGATATACCATGCGATAAAAACAAATATGAATAATCATAATAATGACTGAAATTTACATTAAAAGGGCATGAAGGCAAAACCAGCTAACCAGGTATCCTAGATGTCAACTTTTAATTAAAGACCCATGTCTAAATGGCCATAAATACTAAACATAGTAACATAACTATTATTAAGTGTCCTTGATTTCAAATCTAACAATGCTCTGGCTCATATCTAGGGCTGTGTATTGCGGCTGAAAATCGTATTGCGATACATCCCCCTCTATTGTGATACAAATTGCCCTACATCTCCCTGTATTGTGATACATATTGCGATACATCTCCCTGTATTGTGATACGTATTGTGATACATCTCCCTCTATTGTGATACACATTGCGATACATCTCCCTGTATTGTGATACATCTCCCTGTATTGTGATACACATTGAGATACATCTCCCTGTATTGTGATACATATTGCGCTACATCTCCCTGTATTGTGATACATATTGTGATACATCTCCCTGTATTGTGATACGTATTGTGATACATCTCCCTCTATTGTGATACATATTGCGCTACATCTCCCTGTATTGTGATACATATTGTGATACATCTCCCTGTATTGTGATACACATTGAGATACATCTCCCTGTATTGTGATACATTTCCCTCTATTGTGATACGTATTGCGTTATATTGCGAAACGCCATTCAGTTGATATTTCAGCTTTTTTTCCCAATTTGTGAGCAACTTAGGTTATGTTATGCATACCATCCTTTTTAACCTTAAACCTGTATGACGTCCACGAATCTGTTGGCAATGACACATGCTTTGCTGTTCTCATCTGATCTTGTCCCATAGTTTTGGCAAACAAACCAGGAATGAGTACCTCAGAAAAATGGGATCTGCTAGAAATGCGATACCTTGGTTCTAACATCTTCATTGTTATTTAAAGCAATAACAACACCAAATTTGAAGATATTAAATATTACGACAACCACAACTAGGGTCTGGCACATGAAAAGTGAAAGTAGAGTAAAAAAAATCGTCAATATCGATGAACGCAGAACTGTATCGATATATTGCTTCCCATGTGTCCTGTATCGCAATACAACTTTCAACACGAGTAATTCTAGACATATATAGATTTGAAGGCTCAAGCTTTCATGGTGAGCTGTGTCAATTTAATTATTGTAGATGTCTGATTTTCGACTGGAAAGTCCAGACGTAATTTAATAATGTTTAATCAATGACGGTAAAAAAAAGTTTTGAAATCAACTCTTGTCACAAAAAAGGAATGTCCACTTTTTGAATAGTTTGGATACCGGTATGTAAAAAGATATTCCACCATCAAAATTCGGCAATTTGGAGAATAAGTCAGTACTCAAACAGGCTACAAACTAAACTATTTAAACCAGGCCTGTGCAACCTTTCCGCAATGGCGGGCCACATTTGAGGGATGCGAGTAGGCCGTGGGCCACATAACCAGCCATCAATGAATCATGGAACTATAAGAAACATGCAATGTTTTCAAGTCATTTATTCAATAATATATTTCAATGTGCATTGCAAATTACAGACATAAAATCACTGTTTCATACGAGGTCGGACCTTGTTAACGATTTGATTTTTTATTGTCATACTTTGATATAATGGGTTTCAATATCAAAATAGGCAGCGACAATCTGCAGGCCACAGCAACAATAAGAAGAGAAAACGAAGCATTTGCTCGTGGGCCGCATTTACCTCAAATTGTACATGACGCCGTGGGCCGCACGAAATCATCTTGCGGGACATAGGTTGCACAGGCCTGATTTAAACTATTCAATATGGGGAGCCTACATCAAATATTCAATATAAAATTATTCATTACAGGTACCAGTATATATTATATAACATTCTAGCTGTCATTAATGTCAATTGAACAAAACTTGAATTATTAACCAAATTTTGTGTTAATTGAGTTTCATACAATGAGATCTAATTGTCCCTGGTAGTAAACAATACCTACACACAATCACAAAATCTGTTGTTTACCTATTTCATTACTCATTGATATAATTACTTTATTGTTTTCATTTTATGTTTATGTGTAATATAATTGTTGATGTGTAGGCCCCACTCTTTTAAAGGTATAACGGGAGAACTTGGTTGCATTGACCTATTCAGTAACACTGTTGATTTTGAATATGGTACCAGTAATTAATTTGTTTATAGTTTTTAATTTATTACCTGCTAAATGACAGACGTAAGACTGGTGACTGGCAGGGATGGGTGTAGGAAAGGCAAAAATGTGTGACATTTTCATAAAATTAGGAGTTATTTCATTTAGTTACCGGTATAACAAACACAGTCTAATTTACACAATTGTTCACGATAACATTAAACATTCATTTTTAAACCTGCTTTTACCATTTTAGACTAATTAGCTTAATGCAAATATTCCAAAATGTACCAGTTAATTTGAACAAATACATATTGATGTAATATCTAAGGAGTTTTTAAGGTATTATATTAGAAACCTGAATTTGTTCTTTCCTATTGTCTGAGCATAGCAAAATGATTTCTGATTTTTTTCTACATTTTTTAAGAGACCAGATCTTAAATTTAAATATTCATCAATAATTCGAATATATTCTTGAAGATACTTGCAGTATTGATAAAGACTTATAAATAAATTTCAAAGGAAAAATGCCTAATGTCTATTGGGCACAGTCATTTGGGATCCTGTTTTCGGGCTACCCTATGAGAGTGTTTCCGTAATGGCATCGTCAACAAAGCAATCTTGTGGCGTGAGACCTTCCTTGTAAGAACATTTAAGTCTTCATGAGGATTTCAACTTGGATGTGAATGAAAACAATGATATATATAAATAAACATGTAAAATGTGTATGTGTCGTACTGCAGAAATTAGATGGGAATGTAAAAGATGAAGAATTAGTGGGTCTGTGACAAATCAAAATCGAACGTCTATATTTCAAATAAAACAAGGACAAATAACTGTGAAAATATTACCAACCAATGAATTCTCTTTTTCCATGCCATGGCATAATGCTCATTCTGCCAAAAAATAGGCTTAAAATCAAAGGGTAGGGGATGCATATTAATCAAAAACAATCTAATTGACTCCAAATTGACATAACCTGTCTATAAGCTAGTCCTTAATTCAAGGCCTGTGATAGTCTTAGAATGTATTTGCCTTGATAAAAATATAATTTTTTACATTAACATTTCAACCAAAAAAAGTCCCAAATTTTGGCCTTTGTAATAACAAAGTTTGAAGACATATATTTTTTTTGCTCAGACAAAATCGGTAGGCCTCTGGAAATTGAATGGCTGTTTCATCTGCTTTCCACTAAGCTGTACAATATGCCTACATTAATTTTCAATGTAGGCATAGCCTATGGCCCGTAAATTCCACAGATATTCCTATTACTATCAGATAATTATTTTGTTTACATCAATAATAGACAATGTGGTTACAGTCTGAACTCAGTGTAATGCCAGTGTAGAATGTGGCAGACTGGTTGGCAATTCTTAATAATAAATTCTTATCCAGATCTATCTAGACAGGATAATGTAGGCATCGTTCTAGAATCAAACAAAATTTTATTCAAGTTGATTTGTACATAGCTCATTTAAGTGTACGGTAGCAAAGTCAATAATTTATGTCACCCAGTCAAGTCAATAAACAATTCATATTTATTTACCTGAACAGTTCCCTGTGGTCTTCAAAATTCAATTTCTTGCTCTTCTTCTCACTTATCCAATATCCCACTCGCTTCATTATGTCAACTATCCACCGGATCACCTAACCAATACGTTGTCAAGTGACAGTCATCTAAATACTACAAGCATTTTGTAAAAATTTGGTGTTTTATCTTTATCACCTAAATAACGCGTTCGAGTTGCGTTGCTGGTTGCGTTCGAATAGACTCGGCTGTGACTCGGCTACGTTCGATTATATAAGACGAGCTAGTGTCGACTCGGGTCAACATAGTCAAAGGGAGATAACTCCTTTTTGGATCTTATTTTTCAGACTACAAATGAATTTAATATGTTGCAATAGATAAAGGAACGAATTCGAGTTAGATCTAACGATGAATCAACAACCAAACAAATAATACAGAATCATCCAATTTGAACCAATCCAACTACTACGCCTATAAACAACTACCGTACCCAGTTTGCGATATCAGCATCCGCTGGAAGCGAACGTTAACTTGTCATCTACCAACCAACCAACCAGTTAGAATCATGATTAGTTTCAGTTACAGAGGAACGTATATGGATACATTTAAGAATTGGAATGAAAATAAAATTTAGCCAAAAAGAGTAGGACTACCGTATGTTTTCCAAACAGTGGATGACATGGCGTCCTAACATGCACGATTCCTCTATATTATCGGTACTGGTATTCTGTTGTGTAGTTAAAATATTATAGGTAAGTTCACTGATGAATATGTATCCTTTAGTGGGCTAAAAACAATAAGCCAGCTATTCTATAACGATAACTTTTATTACAAATTTACAATTTATGTACATAATGGCTTGAGCAAAAATACTAGCTGTAGGCTATGTGCCTAACTTTAATGGCTATTTTAACAGTAAAATTGTATCCTCACTTTATTTTCAATAAATTAAAAAAAAAAAGGATTTTTATACTTTTTGCCCAAAGAAGATGTATCAGAATTCAATTCACCAAATCAATTCAATTTTTCGAAAGCTGCCCCACCCTTGAGTCAGTCTGACCCCCACCCCTAATTGTACCCCCAGACTCGGGAGGCTATCGCCGCCACTGCCTAAAAGCCTGCTTTGTAAAAAATTATTAAGCGTGGCCTAGCATTGTGAAGCAGTTAGTTGTACTATTTAGTACAGGGTGTGAATATTTTGCTTATGTTAAGGTGTGCAAAGAGGCGTTATATGCAAGTAGCCTGATGGGTCCTAAAGATTGGGAACAAGAGGCGAAAGTCTATATTACAACTGTGGTTAACTTTCCGGGGAAAATGATAATCCTAAGCCCTTTACAAAAACATGAAACTTTATACACGGGTAGCCTTAAACATTCAGATTCAAACCTAATTTTCAATATTCTTTCTATTCCGAGTGATCCTCCTTCGTTTTCGGGACAGCACCATTCTCTCCGGCAGGTCGCGCTTTGTCAGTATTTTTCTCTTTCGGGATTTCGGAGGTAATGTCAATTTCTTGAACGACATGGCCGTTAGCTTTGTGACCACCATCTTTTAAGTTTTTGGCATTACTGTCCTCCAGAGATCTAATAATGTTTTTAAGACTTTTGTTTTCATCCAACAGAATAGTGTTCGCCATTTCCAATGAAGTAAATTTTTTCTCCAGTAGATCGAGGTCCTGCACAGTTTTCACCGCTTTCAAATCTGCTCTCAAACCATCGTTGGTTTTATTCAAATCTGTAATTACAAATAATACCGTATGGTTTTGAAATAAGGATGAATAAGATAATTGCGAAAAGTTTCTGTTGATTGTAGATATGGATATGGATTGCCGTCGAAACCCTACACCCCATTGATGCCACCCTTTTCTTCAAGGTAAGAACTATTTCTGAGTAAAGTCTTGTAAAATGCCCTTTCAACACTATTTTCTCATCTACATGTTTTACTATTTTGAGAGATGGCAGCTGATCTCAAAATATAAGACAAAAAATAATCCATAAAGACATTTATAAACAACATCTAATGACCATTTCACACTTTTTCAACTGGGCCTATATATTACAGTTCTTTGCCTCTTTTTTCAGATTGGTGTTAGTTAGCTCTGAAAGATTAAGTTCTATAGACAACAGTCCTTTAAGTACTATAAGAATTAGTAAATTGGTGCAATGTTTGATTCAACCACGGTCAAATAGTTCAAATACATACTTTTTACTTCATGTTGAGTGTTTTCTAACAAATCTTTATAATGGTGGACATCAGCTTCCAGTTTCTCAATCGTATCTTGACTTTCTACCAGAGAATTTTCTAACTGAATAATTCTTACACTCAAAATATCGACTGTTTCATTCAAACTTGACTGAAATAATAAAAGTGATGAATAAACATCATTTAACATCGCAAGTTACGCAACTTGTCGGGAGTGGGATCGTGTGTTCCGGAAGTAGGCCTATGACCATAAGTTTGTATAATAACAATATTCAAGTGAACATGGGTTGTTTTTTATTCTGATCTGACTTTTTTTTATTTCATAATTCTATAACAAATGTTCATTAGATTCATATCACGTAAGTGCCCATAAAACTAAACGTATTAATGATAATAATAATTTCTCACTGAAAAGATGGACTATAGATGGGATCGAGTAGAGAGCATAACCATAACTAGTTGATCATTCAACGCCGGTTACGTAATAAATCTATTGGTTATCTTAAAGTGATACTGCGTCTTAGAATTAACAAAACATTAAGAATTTTAAACTTGGCGAATAAGGGCCATTTGATATACCTTGTGTTATAAATAACATAACAGGCTCCTTATATAATCCGATAAATCCTAAAAACTTAATATCAAGATTAAGCGTTTTGCAATAATTACTTATTTTTATGAATTTTCCAATTTTCCAGATTTTACAGGGATTCGGTTGTAACTTTATGACACCAGGTAAGCTAAATGATGAATATAGACTAATATTGACCTTTTCGAGAACTTCAATTTTATGTTCATTCTAAGACGTAGTATCACTTTAAGGCAGAGTGTATAGTCTTACCATGTCTTTTTTGAGATGTGACTTGTAGTCCTCTAATTCTCCCATTCTTAATTCTACACTTAATTCTCTTTTATTTAATCGCCATTTTTCTCGTTTTAATGTGGTAAACAATGTTCGGGCGTTATCCAAGCCCTCTCTAAATTGATGTAATGTATAACTCTTGTCTTTTATATCCTCGTTATTCTGAAATATAACATCAGAATATTGGTATGTCTGGGATCTCAAGCATGAAGAATGAAGTACAGATTAAATTGGTTAAAGAACTTTGAGGGATTGGGAATCTGTGTTTGAAATTTGAAAATCTGAAATATTATCAGACCAGCCGAATTTCTCAGCAACATAATTGGACACCGCTGATGACTACCTCATTGATAGGCTATAATACTTGTTTCGAAGAAGAAAATTACCTACCACAATATATTTTTCTTCAATTTCATCCAACAGATCAGCCGTGGTTTCAAAACATTCGAGTAGATCTTCGGCCGTTTCTAACATGTCGTGGTTTTTGGTCTGTAAGCTAGATTTATTTGAACTCGCCATTGTTTTGCAGTTGAAATGGTTGTACTATTACTGTCACTGTAAAAATTTCAAAAACAAGTGTGAGTATAGCGACATTAATGCTTTTGAACTGTTAAAAGAATGCAAGGATTTCTGGTGTTTGTCAACATTCGGAAGTTTCCCAGCTGTCAGTAGATAATTTTTTTAGTTTTGTAGAATCCTTTTAACAGATTCTATAGTTATTCCTCGAGAAAACAATTTCTATATAAAGAAAGGTAATCCTTTAAATTTTAGAAGATGTTCTGTAATGTTGATATACATCCTACAAACATTAAATCACCTGAAATATTGCCCTTCACAAAGACACCTTGATATCCTTATATAGCGCAAACCATGTAGCATATACCTTCTTAATCTTAATCTTTTATATAAATATACCTTTAAGAAAAGATTGATAATAAAAAACTTTCGAAGCTAATAAATCACACTAAAATACAGGTACTTGAATACGATTTGAATATCATCCTTACTTTATCCTGCTTCCTGCATAGACCGTGATTTGAATAATAAACAGGTTTGCTACAAGGTTACTCTCTTAGTCCTTTCTTATTTGCTATATCTGATCAGATGAATTACTATCATTGATATGGACGATTAAATAGATATCACAAAGCTATAGGTTATCATTCAAATCATCTTAGGATCAATAATAAAATAGAGTCAAGTTTAATTGCTGATATTTAAATATTGTACACGACAGGGAAATGAAATTAAAATAAAATACGGGCTCTCTTAACATTAGCATATTGTTGAATTCACACCATTCTATATGGGTTCTCTTGCGCATTATCTCTTATCATTACACTATATTTATCACAAGTGAGCGAAATATAATACTTAAGCCC